GGGGGTTGAAGGACCTGCAATGGAAAAAGGGGGATAGAGAACTTGCTTTTCAGGGGGAAGTTGATTCGCGTTTTCTAGAAGCGGCCGGAATGCATGACAGCGACCGGGACCTTGGACTAATCCGACCGGGGGGGGGGGCGAACTTGAGGCGGACCTGCAATGGAAAAGGGGGGTGGAAAAGTTGCTGTTCAGGGGGATGCCAAGAAGGCGCCGTTGTGCGTGACGGACCTGAAAGTAATGGGCCAGGTGGAACGAACCTGGAGGGAGCCTGCGTTGGAGAAGGGGGATGGTTTTGCTTGTAAAAGTGATGCAGAAAGGCGCGAAACGGCTGACCGCATTTGGGATCGTTGCTTGGATCGAGGGAGGAAGACAAGGGAGGCAGAAACTGGGACAAAAGGCATGACTTCTGGAAACGACAGCAAGGGGGAGTGCTGGAGTGGAGCGTGCACGGAGGACGGAGGGGCAATGGCTCCCAAACATGAAGAGGGAGATGAACGAAATAAGAGCTCTCAATGTAGGCAGCCACCTGAGGTTCGTAGTTGATCAGCGAATGGGCGCTCAATAAGACGGGTAAAAAAAGCCAGGGAAAACCAGAGGAAAAAAGAGCGGACGGCAAAGAAGCACATGCTCTGTAAACTCGTCCAAAACTGAACCATTTAAAAAAGAAGACGTGTCAAGCGTTGATACTTCGAGCTCGCAAAGAAAGACCCGTAAAGCAAGAACCTGATGCAATCGTTATGGATGGCATGTCCGAGCCTCGTCGAGCTCGGGGCAAGTTGGGTTGTAACCTGGAAAGGATCGTATCTTGGAAACTGACACGTGGCAGAGTGAGAGCGCCTACGTGATCGTGTGCGTCGTGCGCTGATGCCGCGTAGTGGCCCCCCTCCTCCCTCCGCTTGGCGGGCAGCGGATCGGAGTACCGTTGATTCCGGTCGGAGTTTGTGGTGCTCGAGGGGCGCGGCAACGACGAGCTGAGCGGCGGGGGGGGGGCAAAGTTGAACCCCGACAAGTCTTCGGTCTCATCCCCCCGGTAGGGCTGTGCGTGTGCTGCGGCGACCTGGGAGGGGATGGGGGTGGCGTGAGCGGAATGATTGCGAGGGGGAGTGTGAGCGGAGCGGTCCTGAGGGGGGCCGGAAGGAGGGGCTCGGTGACTGCCGTGCTCTTTGGCCGACGCCTGTACAGGCGGAACAGACGAGGCGTGAGTTGGTTGCTTGGAGGACTCCTCTCCAAGGGGGGGTGCTGGCGAGGGTCTTTTTTGGGGGGGTCCGTGAGGTTGCCGTGAACTCGTGCCAGAAAGGGCCCTTTGCAGGCGTTCGATGGCGGTGAGGCGCCGTTGTGGGCTTTTGCTTTTACTTGCGGTTGCATGATCTGTGAGCGGCGTGCAGGACTCGAGAGCGTCGTCTCTTGGTTGTGTGCTGTTTCTGTGAGGGCCTGAACGTCCGAGGGGAGGGCACGTTTTGGCAGCGTCATCTGACGGAAGTGCATGGCTCTCGTGCGGGCTCGAGCGAACATCGCTGAGACTGTGGTGTAAGCAATCTGGGGAGGCGTCTGCGAGAGCTTCGGACCAGAGCTCGGAGTGTGCTTGGAAGGGGGTGGGGTCTGTTGTTGTGCGGTTAGGATGGAGTGACGGGGTTGAACTGTGTGAGTCAGACGGGGGGTTGACAGGAAAGGCCTGTCCAAGAAGGTGGGCAACAGTCGGATGTCGACCGGAAGCAAAGATCACGAGAAACAAACACTTGAAATAACGCGGACCTTGTCCAAAGACATGAAGGACAGCACAGAAAGGATGGAAGGACGACGAAAACGACACCGAAATACGGTATAGCGCTGCTTGAAATCCGAACGAAGTTGGAATGAAGTAGTCCCGAAGCAAAACGGTGCATCGCAACAGCTCGCATTACTCCCGGCTCAGTTGGACCTAGGAGCAAGGCGCTTGCAAAAGGCAGGACATAGACGAAACATGGTAAGGGTGGTAGGAGTATCTGAATGTAAAAGGCAGCGCGCTTTACAACACGACCACCCAGTAAGTAACTCAAGTCGAAACTTGCGGGGCCCTGAAGTCTGGTCTCTGAAAGACCAAGATATCCCGTACTTTGCCCAGAACACTGTCTAGTAAAAGTAAACCCATCGTTCTGTCAAGAGTGTTAGATGTGAGAAGCATGACACAGTTCAACCTTACAATAACCTTCACGAAAAGTCCCATAGAATGCAGACCACTGGCACGGTGTCGTCGGGAGCCAGACTTCAAGCGGTGGGACGAGACCGGTTGCTTAGAAACGAACGCTCAAGAGAAACAACGGCATTGGTGCCCCCTTGTCGACTACCCCAATAGAACCAGATCAAGATGCACTTTCCTTCTTTTGCCCCAGTTAACTCCCAAAAGACTCTGGCCAGTACCCATAAATAACACAAGCTAAACGAACCCTGACGACCCTAGAACCCGAACCAATTACCTGCAAATTCATCACCCGCGTCGCCTCTGCGCTCGACAACTCGCTGAGCGGCGCCGACGAGTTTCGCCTGTGGCCAGGAACAGAGGGATCCCCCTTGCCGGCAGCAGCCGCCGGTTTGGGCGGCTTGAATTCGCTCGACAACGACTGCTGCCCGCTCCAGCAAGATTCTCTCCCATGAGCCCCCTCCTCCGACAACCGCTCTGCTCCGCTTCCAGACGCTCGGACGGAATCGTTTGCCGTGGCAGATGTTCGAATCGTGCGTCGGGAAAAGGTTTTCTGGGCGGAGCTGCTTGGGCCAGGAGGCGGGTTTGCGTAACCCGGCCTAACCTCCCCGGAGACGACCGCCTCATCGAGGATTGACACCCGGCCGAACTCGCTCGGCAGCCGCTCGTGCTGGTCATAAGCTATGGCGGTCGGGACCTCTCGATAATGCTCGAACCCGGCCTTATGACTGCCGGGCCTCTCCATATCGGAGGGCATTGCGACATACTTCCCCTTGCCTTTGCCCCCGTCCGCCATCTCCGTATCTTTCCCCCAGTCGGGCGCTGTCATGGGTCCAGACTTGGACCACTTCTCATCGTACAAGTCCCCCTCGGACGCCCGAAAGTCGGGCACTGGGCCGGACTTGGACCACTTGTCTTCGAACGCAGCATCTCCGGACGCTTTCTCGAGCATGTCCTCCTCGGTCAAGAAGCGCAGCGTGGGGGAGTGGGGGGGCGAGAGCACGGGGGGTGTGGGCTGCGGTTGGTCGTGGGTTTCGCACCAGTCGGAGATCATGCGCTTGAGAGAGAAGTTGGAAATGAGCTCCAGATTGCCGAGGGGCAAGTTGGTGATGGGGCACGTGCGATGGCCCTGGCTCCACCTGCAGGTTATACAAAATTCAGGGTCAGGGCTTAGGGATCCGGGGCCAGGGTTTTGATTTTAGGGTTAGAGGGTACTGGGATACTGATATAAACCGACCGTTCCAGGATCTTCAGAGAACTTCCCCACTCCACGGGGCTTTGCTGGAAAGTCTGGTCAGGAAACGTTTGAAGGGCAAACAATGCTTGTTGACTGGCAAAAGCATCCAGTCAACAAGCCTTTGGCTTCATGACAACCTTTTCAGCTGGTTCAGGCTCTTGTACAGGCGTATGTTCGGGCTCTTGCATAAATAGCAGCTCTTGCTCGGGCTCTTGTTCGAGCTCTTGTACGGACTCTTGTTCGGGCTCTTGCATAAATAGCAGCTCAGCATGTCACTCTCCGTACAGAAGGAGTGCCAACCCCTTTGGTCCACCACAAAGGTAGATGCGAAAACCAGGTTGCTAGAATGTGCGGTCTCTATGAGAAAGCAGTATCTAACTCAGTAAATACAACAAAAGTTGCTACACTTCCACAGAACAGCTCTTGAACCTAGGGCACTCCCTCAGGACCTTCAGAACCTGGGTCTAAATGCAGAGTTTCAAGGGACCCAGCCGAATAAGCAATGCCAGCACAAACATGGAGAAAGCCCTTGACACCCACTTGCCACACACAGGGCGATGGCTGTCTCATGATGCGTCTGGCTCATGCTGCGTCTAACAAGGACGACTTTCCACACGTTACCCCCATCCTCTCAGCAACCCTCTCGTCAACCAAAAGGACTCCTGTCAGCAGGTGAGTGCTCCTGCGCGACTCAAGTACCCAAGCATCAGGAAAGAAAGCAGGGGCCCTGGCACCACAACTGACATTAAACGGCGTTACTCACCATCGCCGGATGTACGCCCTCTCAAACGTCTGCCCCGACGCAATCACTACTGGGTCAGCCATAAGCTCCAGACTCAGAGGACACTTGAACTCCTCGGGCGCCACGGGGGGGACTTTCATCCGCAGCGAGGGGCGGGCCTCGAGGGGCGGCTGCTCCTCCTGCGAACCGCTCGGACCAGCCTCTTGGGTGGCGTCCATCACGCTGAGCAGGTTGATAATCTGCAAAAGGAGGTGACGTGATGTCAGCATGATGCCAGAAAAGGAATCTGGAATGCTTCAATCAGCAGGAAGTACCTCGTCGATGTTAGCCTGAGCCATCCGAGTTGTTGGCAAGCCAATGGTCAGCCCTTGGTGACGCAAATTACCCTGAGCAGGTTGATGCTCTAGGCAAGGGCAGACGCGTTGTCAGCATGATGTCAGCGTGAGCAAGCAAACTCATCAGCAAGCGGATGCCTAGCGGGTTGCACATTGCCCAGGAAAAGAACTCCTCATGGCTGTCAGCATATAGCAACAGTACCAACAGCGCATAAAACTTGCCGCGTGTGGGGGGCGAAAGCGCGTTGCTTCTACACTTGCCCCCCTGAGCTTTAATCGCTTCTCCCTTGGCCCCGGGACTCCAGACGATGTACTGTAATATTCTCCGCACGCTACTTTAACCTGTTTTTACAGGCACTCCCCCAAGAACCTTGCTGGATTACCTCTCCTTTACTCGCCTATAATCAATGGACACTACTAATTCTAAATACTTCTTCAACTGGCACAGGTAGAGTTGTGTATGCCCTTCTGCCATGCATCAGCAGCACGTCGAGAGGTAGCCGCATGGGGTGTCGCACCGACTCTTGACGTGCATACATTTTTGTGCTGCACCTAACCCCGTAAGACCCTCACCCCTCAAACCATCAAGAAACATGCAGAGCAAGGGGCGCACGCACCTGGGAGATGTATGCCTCCTCCTGCCTGTTCTTCTCAGCACGGACCTCCTCCTTCTCGATCTCGAGGGCCCGGGTCTCGGCAACCACCTTATCATGCGACGTCAGCTCCAGCTTTTCCGCCAGCTGACGCATCAGCGCCTGGTTCGCCTCCAGGCCCTCCCTCTGCAACACGTGATTTTTCTTCAGTTACATCCTCTCAAAACTTCACGTTCAAGGTTGGAGCCCAGGCCCGTTCTTTGACAACGTCTTGCATGCACAAGAGGGCATGACGTTTGCCTTATTGGCAGAAGGAGCTTGTTGAGGGTTTTCCACGCAATCTCCCGGTCCTTTCAAAAACTACTGGTCACCATTAGCCTTGTACCTGGACCGGTAAGGGGGTCGGTCATGTACCAAAATCACTCCGTTGCTCCACTACATGCAAGCGTGAGCCGCAGAGGGCATTAAGTCCATGCAAGCCTCAAACATAGAGGGCGCTCCAACGCTACCCCAATGCGTTGCTGAAGTGCTGAATCCACCAGGGGGGGTGCTCCACAGCTTGTTCCATAAACACCTCCAGATGTTAACACTGAAAGGTCTAACACCCCGGTCATTGCCAGAATGGTAATCCAGATGATTCCTCCTGAAACGCACAGTATGACAGAGAAGACGCGCACTAAAATGTATCCTGCTTGTTGTGCATTTCGCAAGACTTCAGGCAGAGTGACAGCGCACCTGCTCTCTGAGAACCAGGGCAATGTCCATTGAGAGCTTTTGGTCCATCTCATCAATGGTGTACTTTGCCTTGCGCAGCTGAGTGCTCACAGAGTCGACCTGCAGAATCCAGACGAGAAAATTAACACTCTTCCAGGATCGATACAAGACTTGATTGAAGAATAGGCTTCGGACAAAAGCTGAGTGCGATGTTGATCCATAACGGCACCCACTTCTTCTACCAACTAAATCCACTGAATACACAGACGTTGAGTGGAATAGAATCGTGTGCAAATAGGAAACCGCATACCAAACGCTGAGATGCTCTCTTGCAGAAAGTTTGCAGGGAAGGGCACCCTCATCCAGGAGTCACACTGTCCATTGCAAACAAAATGTTGCAAATTTTTGGGGTTACGCGTGTGCCACAAACTTAAGTACTGAATACGCAATCCTGGACGCTGAGGATTGGTATATCTGAAGTTATGACTTACCTGCTCCCGAATCTCTTCCGAGACCTTCAGATTCACCAGAGGCAACGCGTTCAGACACCGGTCCAGATCCAAGGAGACGTCCTTAAAGCGCTCGATGATGCCAGTGCCACGGAACATCTGTAAGTAGGGGAACCATATGTTCTCTCGCTCTGTTTTTGTTCGATCGGGGTAATCGACACAATACAAAACCTAACTGTAGTTGCAGGCATAACGACCAGAGCAGGTAATCTGCCAGTCAGAAGAGGTCAGCCACCGAAATCTCAAGTAGGAGTCCGCTGCGTAGTGCTTGTTGTATTGCCCAACATGCCGGACACTATTGCAACCTTAAAACCAGCATTTGAAAAGGCATCGTAAGCCTCAGAGTTGGAATGGCTGGCAGAGCGCTGAGTGCTGGAGTCTGACGGTGAAAGTTCTTTAACGAGAATTGTTTCATCATCAGAGACGACCTGGCTTTACAGGATGCCTACAGGGATCCCTTAAAGGATGCCTGCAAGCCTAGTATAGCCAACCCCAGTAGAGCCCCCATCTGCAGTTGGCAGAATATCCACAATCTCATGGCTGAGCATCCCTGTATGGCCGCCAACAACAGTGATGCTCTGGTGACATTTTCCCCAAGCAGCGCAAGTGCACTTGCAACAAATACCAGTGGCCATGGTTTGAACGCGCAGCCAACTCTGCCCCAAAGCCGGGCAACAAACTTCTTCAGAACAAAGCAACAAAGCTACTTCAAACTTGAACAATGACTTTTACCATACCGTCAAGAAGCGGGACGAGTTTGGTCAGGTGTAGATCGCGGAGAGTGGACTCTTCATGCATGAATATGCTTGGAAAGCAGTGAAAAGCAGTGTAAAGGAAAGGAGGACCACTCTTCCAACTGCACATTCAACTAAATCCTCCAACCAGCATCCCACATACTAAGCATCCCCACACATTTCCTCGGAAAGTTGGAAGAATTGGCCGCTTGTCCAGCACCTAAGTGAACACAGAACGCAACTGAACACACCGCCTGCCAACCATTTTGTGGCTATTCACAAACACAGCTGTGGTTGCTTAGTTAAGCCCTTCTGACCAGAATGAAACATCCGCGCACTCACCATGTACACCTTGCTGCGCTCCCCGCACTTAACGATAAGATCCCGAGCACGCTCGATTGCGAGCTGCAAGTCCTCAAAGTTGTCTTTCTGCGCTTGCGTCATCTGCCGGTCGTTCACCTCCTCGAGAAGAGGCACCAGCATCTTAATCCTACGGGCCAGGGCCGCAACATTGTGCTTGTGACTCTTGGCCTGCTCGGAAGCGGCCACCGTCATCTGGATAATGGTCATCAGACCAGCAATGCTGGAAAACGGGTCGATCGGCATCTTGGCTGCCTTGGTCTTTCTACCTTAAGAGTTGTTGAATAGCTGGGCAAACGCCCTGAGATCTTTGAAAGGTACCTCGAAATTAAGACACTGAGAGCTACCTTGCGACCATGGACTACCTTTCAGGCACCTCCCTCGCCCCTTGCCCTTGCAAAAGCCCTCCCTTAACACTCCAACACGTCAACAAATCCAGCTCCAACCGGCGCTGTGAGCCAGAATCCCGCTCACTTCTGCGACCTCTGGTCTCAGCTAAGAATCATACCATCATCTCCTCCATATTCCGCCACGCTTTGCAGCACTTCTCCTTGATCCTCCTCATTGACATTATAGACAGGGAAATTCCGAAACTGCGAAAGGGCGAAAGGGGGACAAAACACTTCATGTCGACACCCCTTAGGGTTAGGCTTCAGCCTTCGACACATAGGACTACGGTACTGGGCCAGCCCTGGGCCCGGGCGGGCACAAATATCCGATCCAGGTAAACACCAGTGCGGGTTCTGTTAACAAACATGAACCGTCCGATGAGAGACTTCAGCCAAGTGAACGGCATACGTTGCTCGACATCTGCGCCGTCCGACACCCCCCTGTTACGTAACACTTCTGCAATGCCTTGAAGGCACCGGAATGCTCAAATTGATCGGAGTCCCGCTGCAGACTCTCATGGAGATACGTACCGGGCACATTTTGCGGACGCAACCCGGCACCCGGGGATACGTTCCGGTTGACGTCTGCGACGAGACCGAAATTTCCTAGAGCTTTCATCCGGGACTCGTTAGGACCGGGTCCCAAGCCAGGTACCTATCAGAGTCACCCGCATCTCAACTTCCGTTACGAGAAGCACGCCAGATTACCCTCGGAAACACCATCGAACGGTCGAAACTATCTCAAATTCGTCGTTGACTTTGACTCGTACTTCTTGGGGGGTAACTTCAAAGTTCGAGTCGCCCCGGCGGACGGAGGGCTCGAGGGGGATCTCCCTCGCTAAGGCCGCTGGCCGGAGGCGACTCCCCCAACATAGACACCGGGCACGTGACCGAGTTTATACCAAGACCATTGAGACATGCACATGCGCATGTTGAAGCGTCGACACACAACATTTGGAAGAAAAAGCCTCTGGCCGCAATGGCTAGGGCGTTAATGAAGAGATCCCATCTGTCACCGCGATGATCGTATCGTTGTGAGCATCCTGGTCTGGCACATAGGTCATGCATGATGACTCATTCACCTAAACGTTGCTTACCAGGGCCACATGCCTGAGAAGCTATAAGCATGTACCGGAATTGTGACCTTTCTGTGCATCATGCTTAGAGTCTCGGCACATCTTGCTAAATGAGATTGTACGTATTCAGCATGTCATACTGATCAAGAGCAGGAAATACAATTGTTGTGACAACCGTACTAGTTTACTTATCACTACGCATAAGTGCAACGAACACATGCATGAGGATAGAAGCTTCAATGCAATGAGACCATCGAATCTCCATTCGATCATGCAAAAGCAAACAAACGCCTCACTTGTGAGAACCGTTTGCATAATGTTGCGTCTTGTCAAACACAGGCAAAGTTCTTTTCTTGCTGACTCTATGCCGTACATGACAAGTTTCGGACTTGAGGTTCACGAGCATCATCTTGCCAAAGGGTCAATCTCACCCAAAAATAGTGTCTTGTCGCTACTGCATGATCCAATGATAGGTTCCTGCAATAAACACACAACATGATAAGCCACCAGAGTCCACCTGAAAACGTTGATGCAAAGATGTTGCGGTGCAACAACATGAGTGACAGAGCCATGCGAGGAGGCAACTCAATCTTAGTCCAGACTCGTCCCTTACCTTTGGATGGAAAGCGGCCTCGTTGACAGACCCTAAGTGCCCAGGTAGCTGCAATATGTCAACAAGGTGTCAGCGAAGCCCTCTTACATTTGTAACGGTGCCATACATCAGTTTGAATCTACTTGAAAGCACAGCCCCTGCGATAAAATCCCTGTAGTTGCCTCCTCAGGTTTGGAGTCCGAGGGTCATGGGAACACCCGGTTCAGACAATGCTTGAGATAGAAGCAGAGGTGTCTAGTCAATACGGAGTTTTCAAAGCATGAAGGTCGTCCCTCGTTTCGACCACCTGCTCTCTCCACGGACCAAATCCTGGAGCTTTCACTTGATGCCCGTTCCAGATTGTTGGAAGCGGACTCCTTATGCAGACCCCGCAGTGCTTAAGACACAAAAGACCCAAGCAGTCCGGCTTTGGCTGCCATTTCAGTACTCGCTAACATCACCAACGGAAGCAGATCTGATGATAACCACCCGCTAGCGCAGGTTCTCAACCCCTTGAAAACTGAACTCGATAAGGACTATTCAGTAGCTTGCATGTCTTGCCCAAGTTGTGTTTCATAAAGCTGTCTCTCTATGACGAAATCGTGCCATCGTGTCGCCTCTGCAGAACATAGGACAAGAAGAAAATGGAAAGGTTTTCCGGAAAAGGGGCCCACCTTGTAGACCAGCCGACTTGACTCAATGTCCCAAATATTCAGAAGCCTGTCCGCACTTCCGGCAGTGACCTGCAGAATTTTTGAAACAGCAGACGTGTGTCAGCTCCAAATTCACGTTCTCGACTTCACTTGCGGAGTCAGACTGAGGATGGATCCCAGTTCCGAAACAGGAGAAAAATTCTGGTGAAAGTACACTTTGACGTTGAGAACTTCAAAGTCGGTAAACCTAGACCGCAGAACATTCTCCAAATAACAAACGTGAGCAGGTCTAAGAATGGATACGTATTTGGAACCGAGGGAGAATCACTGTCAAAGACATCTGACTTTGAAGAGAGTTCGAAGTCAGAGGACCTAGACCGTCAAAAGCGTAAACCAGCTTGAAGAAGGGAACCGAACCCAAGTTCACGAGCGAGCAAGCTAAGGTACACCAGAAGGTATCACTCGGATAACAGACCCCTCAGAATCGAATAGGCAATGCAGGGATATTAGATTGCCCTGACATACTCGACCATAGAACCAAATCTTATATCAGGCTACCGCTGAAACATTTCGAAGATGCAGAACGGCTCAGAGGCTCTGGAAACCTCAGAATAAAGTGCCATCTCAAGATGTTCACAGAAGGCAACTTTGCACAAAACCCAGATAAATGGCGCCTGCACGAGACTCCTGTCTGTTGATGCGTACTCAAAAAGCCCCCCCCCAACGTTTCATTTCAGCCGCCGAAGCAAAAGTCCCCATTCTAGTTCCTTTGCAGTCAAAAGGGAGTGATCCAAACGAATGTAGGCATGAGAAATCTCGGAAAAACAGCTTGTGGAAAAAGGCTAGCCTGCGTGGCAACAAGAGGCGTTTGGAGGATTGACGCACCTTGTTGCCGTCGGGCGACCATGCACACTTGAGCAAGTTCTTCTCGTAGCCATGCTGCATAGGCACGGACGGGCTCAATCCTTTGGCCGTATTCAAAGTGATGAGACGTTGAGATTCCTAATTAAGCACGCCGTTCATCTGAAAGTCTCCACTTCCGTCCTGTTTCGTCGTCTCAGCAGCTGGTAAATCGTGGTCTGGTGTTTTTATCCAACAAGCAAGAAGGATTCGTTACTGCGCAACATGAGGAACGCAGTCGTTCCTACAAACGGCTGTCTACGGGTGAGCAACAGCCGTTGAACGGTTGAGCGACGTGCGAAGATGCAGCTTCAGAGCGACAGCAATAGAGCGTCTCCAAAAGCATGCTAACGCGTCGATCACCCAAAGCGGATCACAAGTATTGCAATAAACAGTGTTCAGTAAGCACGAGACTTTCTTTCAAATACCTTAGGACTCGTTGTTGGGCGTCAACGCTCCAGAAGCAACCAATGAGCGGTTTCTGCTAAAGAAGCGTTACTTGGTTGGCAGGCTGAAGCTCTGTTTGCAAAACTGAGTCGAACGAGGACATAAGCGTGCTCACCTGATGACCTGTCAGCACTTTAATGCAGCGGTTGGCTGGAGCGTAGGGCCTCATGTCCCATACCTAAGGTAGAAAGATAATTCAGGAGTCTGACGGTACTTTGGCGATGGCCTGACGAAATCGTTGCAACTATGGCGCGCAAGTAACTGCTTAGAACTAGAGACGAGCGCTTCAAGAAAGCAATCCGAGCAACCGGATTGCAAACGACGGACTTGCCAGGCATAGAGCATACAAGAAAGAGGCGGCATGAGTTGACTCTCACTCGGAGCGTGTTGTCCATCGAGTTCGTCAAGAGGTAGGCCCCGTCCGGACTTAGACTCATTCCTGCAACAAGGAGAAGCGGGTTATCGTTTTTAAACAAAGGTGGATTACTGATTTCCAGAAAGGCGCACTGATTGGCAGATAAGGCGACATTTTGAAATCAGAACCGGCTAGCGACTGTGCGAACGGATCGGGTTCAGATGGTCGCACCAAGAGGGTTGAAATTTTGCAATAAACAAATTTTCCTTGAACCTAGTCGTAGCAAATCACATGCGATACACATGTCACGCATCATTAAGAAGTCATCGATTCACTGCAGTAGCTATGCTTTACTCGACTTTCCCTCGAATCTATGCTTTTGACGAGCATGTGTACACACAAGAGGAACAGCTACTGCCGAACCACAATCAAATCAGTCAGGAATCATACCCGTGATCGTGTCTTGGTGACCGGACAGCGTCATCGTAACCTCGTTTTTCCGGATGTCCCAAACCTGTAACAGAACGAATGTTGTTATCCATGAACACAAAGTTCAATCTGTCAACCAAAGCGTTGTTGTGCGTCAGCCATACGTTGATCATGCGACCACCAAACTGAAGGGGAGAAATTGCGGATCTGCAAACCAGAAATAACTGCCTGTTGCAGTAGACGGGAAAGAAGGTCGATGCAAACCGACCCGTTCCCGGCGTTACTCAGGAAAGGCTTTCTACCTTACTCCATCTTGAGTATCTTCAGGGCCAGCGAAGCTTGCCAAGACCACCGGACTGTTCATGACCTGACTTCTTGAAACCAAATCCTCTGATAGGGTGGTCACATTTGAGGTTGCAACGACCCTTGGGGCCGGAATCCGACCCTCGGGGCAAAATTTCCACCCTAAGGTTCGGGGTCGCAACATTTCTAGGGTGGGGCCGACCGATCCCGGACCTCCGGAAAACTTTCTAGGGTGGGTGCGCACAATCGCGACTCAAGAACGCAAAAAACGGGAGATTCTAGCCGTCCAGTCGAGTGACCCCAAAAGCAACTATGACCGAAGTGGCTTTCTAGGGTCGGTGTGCACCCTTGGGGTCGGTGCGCCGATTTTCCGAAGATACAAATGTGACCACCCTATGAGTGTTTGATGACCAGCAACTCATGCCATTCCAGCGGGCGCAGACAGCTTTTGCAAAACACATTCCTAGCCCCCTCAGTTCTTTAACCGTCTCAATCCGCCAACACTGGTTGGCATGAACACGTTCTCACTCACGAGTCACGAGGAATGTAACAGGACTTTTAGGCAGACATAGCCCTCACAACAAAACTCAAACTCTGATTCTGGGCCCAGGAATTCAAAGACTCGCTTACCCGAAACCAGTATCAACTCTGAACACGACTGTATGTAGCTTTTTGTATCATTGTCCCGGTATCGAGTGATCATTCTTGAAGAGCAGAACAAAGCAAGACAACGTGGAACAAAGAAACTCGAGCTCGGCCCCTCACCTTTATGTCGTTGTCGATTCCCCCTGTATATACTTTGTCTGCTGCGTCCGAGAAGGAAACAGCCAAGACCTGTGACGAAAGCGTGACGTCAGAACGCACGCACTCCTGACGACGGTCTGACAACAGCAAGGAAAGACAAGGAGACGGGCCAGCACATGTAAGGAAAGCGGCAACCAATCGAACGACAGGCTGAAGCGGAGACCCGAAACGGTGTCAGCAAGTGTGCAATGATTAGAACGGACAGCCCGGACGAATGACGACAACGTGGTGTCACGACTTCGGATTTTTGCCACTTTGACTCGGGTTCTTACTACCTTCGCAGACAGTCCTCAAAACGGCGGACGAGATCAACGATCAAGAAGCACAAGCTTCCCTGTCGCCTTGATCCAGACAAGGTCAACGGGAGGATCAAATGCTGCGACAGCCATGTGGGCCAAGAACACAACAACGCCCTCTTTACCAGCAAGAGCGGCAATCTTGGGGGGAGCAGAGCGTTGGCAACGTATACCTGATACTTTTCGGGAAAGGTTTGCAGGACGCCCCGTTGCCGCTGATCCCACAACTGCGTAAAAGGCAATGGACTGTGAGATGGATATCAATCCAACGGCTGTTTGACGACCATAAGTAGCCAGATTGTTCCAACGCACAATTGCCCTCAGCAAGAGAGCCAGTCCCGTGGAGGACGGAGATGCATAAGGAAACGATTGTCGAGGCGCTGAACAAGCTCTTGAACGGATTCTGATGTTTGACGAAGCGACCTTGGAAACTGGAAGAGAATTGCCAACATCCGCAGCAGAAGAAAGCTTCGAGAAAAACGGGAGAAGAGCATCCACCTTTGCGGTCCCGTCGTCCGACCCGCTAACGACCAACGGGGGCCCCCTCCGTGCAACGGAAATACTGTTCACGAACGAGGAGTGATCCACCAGCTTCTTGACCTGCTTCCCGGTCTCGGCGTCCCTGGACACGTGGCAAGCGAAGGTGGGTTCGAACAACATCTCAAGGTCCAGCAATAGGCACACGACAGACTCATACTAGACAACACACTCCGCAGAATCCGATTACTGCCTCTCGGCCCTCTCCCGAAACGTTTCGTAATTCTCTGCGACTCTCACCCGTTTGAGCTTGCTACGAGGTCTTTCCCTGAAAGAAGGACAGATTCTAGTCTGGAAGCGTATATTACCTCCCTGATTCCAAAATCTCGGGACGACAGAGTTTTTTTTGTGCCGGGGACGCCGTTTCAGAGAGTTGAACCTTGATGCAAACAGAATATCCTTCTGCTAGTAGTCACAGCAAACGAATGCGTATCCCTACACTATACTTGTGTGAAGACGCTGACACCTTGGTTTGGTCAGCTATTGCAGTCGTCCAGAACTCCAAGACCTTCGAGATTTCGCCACGGTTTTATGCAGGACGAGCTGCTGACATCATGCTTCGCTCAGCGTTTGGCGAGCCTTACCAGACCCTGACAGTCTCGTCGGAGCTGGCAGTCACGACTTGGGCCCCGTCCAGGGCCCATTGCAGATCCAGGACCGCATTCTTGTGGCCCTTTAACACCAGGTAGTTGTCACAGTCGTTGTGAACCCGCCACAAGACTGGGCGGTGTCAAGGGAAAGGAGCGTCAAGGGCAAGCGGCATGAATATGAGATGCACCACACAGGTTCTTAAGAGGTACACATTCAAAGAAAGTGTTGAGAAGAAAAGGGCTCTAAAGAGTCCGATGTTTGATTGCAGACTTGAAGGATGTTCCATTGAAATGGCCCTAGGAATTTGAAAAAAGTCGATGGTTTGTCTGTTCAAAAGACAGTTGATTATTGATCACCAGCAAAGACGCTCCCATCAAGTATCAAATCCGTCCTGCACGTAAATCCTTGGGAGAAACTGTGAACATGAGGATACAGTGTGTAGCCCTTCCAATGTTTTATCGGCAATTGTAACGACGCATCTATGGGAACCCCAAAGGTTGACATCACCTACCAAAAGGAACAGGCCACTGGTTCATATTGGCAAAATGAGCTTCGATAAAACTGCCCTGGCTACAAAGATCGACCTTCCTTCACAAACATGAAAGCAACGTGCTGGCGGTGTGAGAGGTGTACTTACAGACGTGCTTGTCGTGCGACCCAGATGCAATGTTTTCGCCGTTCGGGCTGAACTTCATGGTATACACAGCGGACTGCACAACCAGAGTAAGTGACAGGTTCATATTGGATGCAACAGGAGACAATCACACAAGTCCGCACGCATTTCTTCCGACCTCAGCAGTTTTGAATGCGGTTGATGCGCGTTTTGGATGCAGAGGCAGCAGACGTTGACTTTGCTAATAACACCCTTGCTGCAAGTGCTTGACACCGAGCCAGTGACTCCAGATGCAGTGACCGGTGTGCCTACACTCAGAGAAGGCCATCAATACTTTAGCTGTATCACAGACGGGAAGCGACCAAGGTACATACTAAGATAACACCTTGGGAATCACGCAGTGGAACTTTCGCTTGATGAGTGGTGTAAGTTTACCTCATGTCCAACTAGTTGCATGATCGGCGCCTGCAGACTCGAAGTCCGCCTGATTCCCTGTGCCAGAGATTGGGGGAAAAATCAGCAACGGTCCCTGTCGATCAGTTGGTGCTTCTGCGAACCTTGTCGAGAGTTTCCGTTTCAAGAGGGGGCTGTGAAATATGTGGATTAAAAGTAGGAACGGCGCACTTCCTTTGTCCATGACCCAAATGCAAGACAGATTTCCAAATTGGAAGACGACTCTCAGAGGACAAATCAGGAAGGTTGCGGTCTGAAGGGTGATCATATTCAAGTAAACACGTGACGTAGCGGGTGTACTTTATCAGCAGCCGCAGCAGTATAAGGGGCGCATTAATCAACTTCTTTGTTAAACTGAATCTGAAAACATTGCAAACGCTTCAAAACATTTGAGACCGATGCGGAAGGCAGTGAGACAGTTTAAGGGGAGAATTGCTTCATACAACCAACCATTGAGCCCACTTGTCTCCAATTCTGCAAGATATGCTCCTGAATGTAGAATCTCTATGATCATGCACAGCTGAACAGCACTGCACCACAGACAGTGCAATAAGAACGCAGGATGCATTCAGCCCAAGCTATACTACATATCTTGGTTATAGATATCAGCGGGGGGTTACAAACCATTCAGGTGCACATTTTGGCGGCAGGGTAACAAAGCGAAGTGGACGCCTCTAAAAGTCAACACTCAGGCCAAGTAAGCAAGAGGACAGGCGGATAAAGAAACTCACCTCTCTGGTTACGAGCTGTGTGTTAGCACCTTGCCCGCCCCCCGCTTGCACTTCTATGATGTCCATTTTCTGCTTCTTTGCGGCCACGAGCTGCAACTCATTGCTCTCCTCCGCCGGGCGCTTGGGCGCCTGCATGGTTCCTCTACGACGAGGGAAAAGTGGCAGGATCGATCTTCAGAGGTGGTGGTGGTGGTTCAGGAATGCCCAAAGTTTGAATGGCGGGCTGGAAGAGGCGCAAACACAGCTCTGGCAGAGCTCCTCTTCTGCTCTGTGTGTTGCAGCATAGGATTGAAGGAGGCGTCAGGAGGCGACGCAATTGACACTAGAGTAACAAAGTCAGAAGCAATCAGATCTCGGCACCAGACCTGGTGTCGAGCGATCCTTCGGGTATCACTCATGTGAGAAAATCAGCACCAGCGCCAGCGGAGAGAAGTTGGGCTGAGGGAGAGGAGCTACATAGAGAGGGCAGCTTGCTGGCCGCATTCCTCTCAAAGGGCGGGAGGAGTCTGCACAGAGGAGCCCGTGGCTACCATTGTGAGCACTATCGAGAGGGCTGGGTCGTGTATCGACAAGAAACTGTCGGTGTTTTAGCGGTTGAGAAAGTAAGAAGCGTGCGAGATTTTGGGTCTGCACAATGGCAGCAACTTTCTGCGCCCAGTCATTGGGGGCGCTGCCGAGTGCTGGCATAGCGAGCAGCTCGGAAGCTGGGATGCAGAGGCAGCTGGCAGGAAGCAGGTAAGCGAGGTTTCAGTGGCAAAAGGCTTCTTCTTTGGTGGCTGCGCGTTTGAGTAGATGCTAGGGTTTTCAGCCTGATGAATCTGATGACAGCCTGGCCCTTTGGATAGCTCTGTCGAACCGCTGAGCGAATGCTCCAGAATGGTGTTGGAATGCCAAACCTCACGGTCCTTCCAACCTGATTAACCTCTTCAAAAGAAGGGTTGATGAGAAGGTGGCATCCTCCTAAGTAGAGTGTTATATTCAACTGAGAGCTCCGGTGCATTGCGGATAGACTGGTGGTGGATGTTTGGCTGCATTGGAGGTCTACATTGGACTATCTTTTCTCAATCTCATGTTCAGTGCATTCTGGAAAGAGGCTGCCGATGGGGTCGAAACACAGCTTCCAAGAAGAAGGCGCCTAGTCTTTGTTTGGCGTATGTGTCCACAAATGTGATTGCTTGTCTGGTGCAAAAGAAAGTCCTGTGTCTTCCTTAAACAGACCCGGGTCAGCATCTGCAAATGCAGCCCTCTCGAAAGTACAAGCAGACGGCTGTGCAATGCAAAACTATCCCTCGTTTATGCACTGGCTCAATGCGGAAAAGCCAGAAAGGCATTTCAGTCGGCATCTCAGTTCTTTGGAAGGTTGTTCACCAGAAATGTTTCAAATGCTGTCCGTATGGTCAAGCAAAAGTGAAGGGGATGTCACATCAGTTTGTCTTCGTTTGGTAGCCGATTAGGGTTGGGGCCATATGGCAGCAGTCTTCAGCTGCCCGTGTGCTCAAGATTGGTAATGGTACAATCAGGTGTGCCTTACTGTTTGCTGAGCATACTGGAATGAGTCGTCCAACCGTCATTTCAGAACATGGTAATGGTGACGCATCTGTTTCTTCAAAGAATGCAATCTGACCGGCAGCTGAGCTTCTTTGACTTACGAAACTGCATTGACTGGCTCGAACAAATGTGCTCCCCCAGAGGTCGAGTGTTGAACCAACTTGTGATTCTTAGTCTCTGAGAGGCTCCGCTCTGTTGATTGCCTTTCGAATCCTTTAAGTTGATATCGAACCTGGAGATGGGACCTGTCAGGTCCTCTAGCCAGAGCCTGTTTCATTCTCATGCACGCTTTGTCTGGGACTCCCGACTTTGTTGGTTGTCAATCTGACCAAGGACCGGATGCTAGCAGCTTCCGTAAAACCTCTGACGTTACGGTTTGTCATACCGGGTCAGGTGTCCATCATTGTAAAGAGCGTGCCAGGATAGAAGAGTGTCTCCAGTTGTTTTGTGGAAGATCCTTAGGTTGCCCCGCAAGCTCGGAATAGCTTCTTGCAAGGGCACTCGAAACAACTTTCTTCTGAGCGATGTTTTCTGCTTGTGGTTGTTGACTGTCTGTTGGGGAGGTTGAGGATGATGCGAGACAAATATTATGCACGAAAGCAGCACCCATATTACAAGCATCTGGGTTCAACTCGGGCACCACGGCTTTAAAAAAGAATGCGGAATTTTGGGGGGGCAAACATTAGTGGCGAGTATTTGGGGCAGTGTTTCCTCCAATGTCTGATCCTGATGATTGATGTGTGCACCTCTATAAACCGCTAAAAACATTTGCCTGCCCCCCCATAAACGATGGGCAAACAGAGCTGCGAAGTCGTGCCGTCACAATGTCTGCAAGATTATGGAACTCCAAAGGAGCTCACTCTGTCCATAGTGCAGCGTTGCACCCGTCGGCAGAAGCCAGACAAACGCTTCTTATGCATAGAGCTTGCACGTTTCACAAGAAGGGTGGACCTGACTCAGAAAACCTCTCAGAACACCTCTGGCGTTTGTCAGCATTCTTGTCTTTCACGCCCCTCCCTCCCCAGTGTCACTTTCAAAAGCAATTCGGATGCTGATCCAGACAACACGGTGCATTCTGCAGGTGTACCTTCCAGGGTAGGTCCACCGACTTCTTCGGAGCGAGCGTTGCGGCCCCGTGCCGATCGGAGGGCGTTTCAAGAAGGGGCAGCTTGCAGGTCAGTGGTCTTTGCGTCTCAAGGTTGCAGGGTCGTTAATCGTTGTACAAATTCCCCTTGTATCAAAGGTTTTGAGCATGCTTGTCGCCCTATTTACATGCTTTCAGCCTGCATTGAGTAAGACTACTTGTTCCTTTTGTCGAGAATGCAACGCATACCCACCTGATCGAGTCGGTCATTCTCTTCGCTATGTTGACATGTCGGCTGGAATCCCGTTTGGTTTGTCGTCACGTAAGATTGTTCGTTCATCCGAAAGAGGAACTTGTTAGGGCCAAAGTTGCTGTCACGAGGAAAACACTGTTGTCGTGGGATGATCAGCTTCGTGAGTTGTTGAGAGTAGCTTGTGTGTTGATTTTGTCCATCTTCACAACATGCCTGCAGAAGACTCAGCCTGGTGGATACGCTCATTTCGGGACAACACGATCATAGAAGGGGCTTCTGTCTAGATGCACTCAAGTCACACCCCAGGATCCTGAAACGCTGGTGAAAATGAAAGATGTTCATCAGATCTTTGCTCGCTACAACTCCCGATCAATGGGTTCGTCTCTAGGAAGGATGATTTGACGCAAGAACAGACACTCTCCTCGTGGCGTTCAAAACCCTGGTCCAACTCTCGTGTCTGACTTGATTCTTTCGCGTCCAGATTAGCAACGCCCTAACTCGGGAAAAGAAGGAGGCGACCGTTGAGAAAGTGAAGGAGCAACTAGAAAAGTCCACCTTTGTGGCGGGCATCGCGTACAAGGGCTTTACGGTACGTTCCGAACCGGACGCTTCTGTCCCCGTTTCCCTGCGACGTACCTGGTGTGTTCAATCCGTTTCTAACTGCCATTCCACCAACCCGCACCGCGCCCGGCTTACCACTTTGTAAACCGGGAATGCTAGCGGCGTGCCGTGACCAGTTCCGACTAGCGCTCCTCAGCCCCTCGATCACTGTTTGCCGCTTTCGCTCCTGAGGATCCCGGCAAATCGGAGCTCAGTCCCCCGTGTGTTTGCCGTCTTCCGTCAGTGCTCTTTGACTTGCCGATTCCATGGACCGAATTTCCAAGTCCTGGTATATTGCAGTTAGTCTTTGTAGCCGTCTGGGCAAAGGCCCGCGGCGATCGTGGCTGCTTTTCTTGTCCAGTTCCTCTTCCAAATTGGGCTCCGAAGTTGGCGCAGTGAAAAGACGCCGTCAGTCCGTATTGGCAAGAGAGACCCAATCTCGGGCTTATCGTCGTATGAAGACGTTGCATTCGTTGCAACCTGCCTGTTCGAGAAAAATAGTTTGATCAAGTAGATTGAATCTTCCAAGTATAAGAGCAAAGCCATTGTTGAGAAGCGCCTGAGGATTCTTAAAACTTCAGTCTAGGCAGTCGGCTGTCCTACTTTCAATCAGGTGAAGCAAAAAGTAAATGTCCACAGGTTTCGGAACATTATCGGGAGGTTCTCGTTTCTATGCACTAGGAATCTGTGAACAATTTTCGGCGTTTGACATGCTGAGCAGTTGGAGGACTTTGCGGAGGAGAATCTGGCGACGTTCCTGGTAGCCGAGTACAAGCGACGTCAACCTAGAACCAGAAAGCCCAGAAAACCCAGAAAGCTTTTTGAGTTTCGGTCTCAATTGCTGACTTACTCATATCCGAAACCCTAATTGTGACATCACCAGGTCAAGCAAATGGAGGAGTTGCGGCGGAAGATGCCCCCTTCAGCCACTCTGCTGGTCGCCAAGAACAAGCTGGTGGGCAAGGCGATTGACGACGGCAACGTCAAGTACGAGTCGCTCAAGCCGCTGCTCAAGGGCATGAACGTCTGGATGTTTGTCGAGGGGGACGAGTTTGGGAGCGCGATCAAGCCCTTCCGGGACATGCAGGTACGACTTACGCGGTTTTGCAAAAGCATCTCGGTTTTGAGACCCCAGGGGAATCCCTGACCAGTTCAAACTTCTCTGGGATCTGCAGGCTAAGATTTAGCGTTCAGAAACTGCATGGACATCATATTGTGGAGATTGTTCACGCCTCTACTGTCTTGCGAGAAGTCTGGGGTTTCTAATAGGGACCATCATTGGGAGAAGTGCCACCTTTCTCATGTACCGTGAGAGTATCTCGTGTGGTTTTGTAAGACATTTGGGGGTGGGCTTCCAGATTGTGGTTTGTTGGTTTGACTTTCTATCAGACGGCGTCCTGCAAACGAGGAGACTCGCTACTCTGTCCTGTCTTCTTTTGTTTTAGTTCCAGGTCGAAGTTCGAACGGACATGTCTTAAAGAACGTTGAGGCCAACTGTTCTGCCTTCCTTGTCACGTTAACACTTCTCCTGTGCGGGAGACACGGCCGATACGACCACATCTAATCCAAGCTTCGAAACTTGCTAATCCTGCCGCCGCAGCAATTGCTCGGAAACGTTGGAAGAAGATCACTTCCATGCGAGGTTTACACCTTGTGAACGGCGAACCCGTAATAAAACAACAGGCCATTCTGCCCTTCGGACCCTCTGACAGATCCCGTTACTAGTTGTTGCCTGAGCAACCTCCGGGCCCTCCTTCTCATGCCAATCCTCTTTCCGCTCCACAGAGGGAGTACAAGTCGGAGTGTGACTTCTTGTGGGGCTGCCTTGTCACAAGAAGATTCACACGACTCAATATTCTTGGGGAAATCAACCTTTATGTAACGTTATGCATACGAATCATCCTCCTGCTGAACAGCAGAACCTCATACAGACTTCCTAATCTTTCAAGCTTCAATGGGTTTTGCTTCTCACGCCAACCTGTTTTCTGCTCTACAGAAGGAGTACAAGTTGGAGCAGGACTTCGTCGGCGGTTGCCTCGACGGCAGCTTCGTCGCGCCCGCCGACTTCTCCAGCGTTGAGAAGATGCCCACGAAGCTCGAGCTCATTACCAAGATTGCTATGCTCATCAAGGCCGTGCCGACCAAGGTGGCACGGAGCGTCAATGCGGTGAGCGAAGTAGTCGAGTGTTTTCCTCCCAAATGCATGACGTCTCTAGTCGACGTTCGGAAGGTGGCTGACTCTTCATTGGGTCTTTGAGGGCCAAGTCAATCAGTGTCCATTATACCAGAATGGATCCCACGGCAGCCACAGTGAAAACGGACAAGATGCGCCTCAGACCTTCTAGCTACTTGTTTTCATGGCAGACACAGTTCTGCCCCGAAGGTGTGTTTTTCTCGGTTTTGTCTTTTCCTTCTTGAAATTCTAGCCTTTGACGATGTCCTAGTCGTGTGCGTGCTTATATTGCGTCAGCCCGCCCTGTTATCATTGCATCAAACCCGCCAAGTTGACATTAACTGTGCTGAACATCACGTTCTTGTTGCAGGTTCCTCAAAAACTGGCTTTCTCGACCAAGTTGGTAGCAGAGAAGATGGAAGAGGAGCAAGGGGGCGCCTCTGCCTCCTCGTAGTCGCACATAGTGACTGCTACTCGCACATTAGTAAGGTATATCTTCTTGTAAAGGTAAAACTTCGATTGAATGACGTAACGGAGGGGGCGGCCTTTTGCAACGTGTGGTCTTACAGCATTATCCAAGATCTCCCTTGGTATGCTGCCATCACTCGGTCTGCATCGCTTCTACGAAGACTGCTCTGCGAGGGCAAACCAGCTGCCTTTGTTGAGTTGGGCGCCATTGCTGGAGTCCTGCAATCCAAGTATGTGCTAAATTATATGCTGCATGCACCAAGTAGCTCGTCAGTTTCTCTCAAGTGACACTGCATCATGGCATGCGGCGACCCTGGGCAGTCAACATGTAAATTGGCAATTAGGATATATAGCCGGCCGATCGCACATGCTGCACGTACTACGCTCAAATGCTGCGAACTACGCTCGAATCATTGAATGCAGCGTAGTGACCAGTGCCCCGTGCGCACCGGTGATGCATGGGGCACCATGAGTGACCGTGAACATGTTCGAGCTCTTAAGCCTAGCTAGCTACATTCCGACGTCACGCACCAGCTCGGCAGGATGCTGCGCAGTGTGAATGAAATGGTGACAATACATGCATGACGTCGAATATGGCGGCATATGCCAGGAGCCAGGCTTATGTGACTTCAATTTGTGGAGCCTTTGATTACAAAGTGCTTATGCGTTGCGTCAGTGACTATATTCGTGCTCCCATGACCCCAGCATTCATTAACATGGCTAGCAATGATGGATCTGCTGCCCAGCGCAGCTGCGCAAAGGAAGCCACGCAACCAATTTGAATCTGACAGTGACATTGATTCCAGTGCGGGTCGAAGCAAAAGCAATTTACTCTCAGCCGATGTGGCCAACAGCTCGTCGGACATATTTATCGTCCTTCAAGAGCGTCCGGCGTGCCTGATCATAGTAGCAGCCTGCAGTACCTGTTTACCTTTGGCCCGTCTCAAAAACGAAGTGCTTCCTACTCTACTCGTCGCACAACACAGGACATCTAAGCGTGAACCTGGACGTTGTCGAGGGCGGCGACACCTGGCAAGACCTTGCCCTCTAGAAGCTCCAAGCTGGCGCCTCCTCCGGTGGAGATGTGGCTCATGTATTGGGCGAGTCCAGCCTTCTCCACTGCAGCCACGGAGTCGCCTCCTCCAATGATGGTAATGGCGCCGGCCGCCGTCAAGTCCTTGAGCGTGTGCGCAATGCCGTAGGTGCCCTTGGCGAATGCTTCGTACTCGAACACGCCCATGGGGCCGTTCCACAGGACGGTCTGCAGAAAGGAAAGAGATTATCATTATTTTTATTATGTGATATTCCCTTTTAGAAAACCTGCAATAAAATAAAATAAAATAAGAATGCACGATGCTCGGCCGAGGACTGGCAGAAGGTATACATCTGCCAGAAAACTGCTTTGGAGAGCTATCAAAAACCATTTTGTCGGATGATCTCAAGATCCTGAATGGCTTGGCTTGCGAGACCACCTTCGATCTCATTCACGTCAGAATACCGACTCACAAGGCATACATGGACATGAGTGACGATGCAACATGCAGAACGGGCGAGAGAAACTTTCTCGATCAGAAGCAGCTCAGGGCGGTGAATAAACGCTTGGATACGTGAAAGAGTGAAGAGCGCCCGAAAGGCTCACCTTGGCACCGTCCAAAGCAGACTGGAAGGCCTTGATCGAGTCAGGGCCGATATCCAGACCCATCCAGCCTGCAGGCAACAGAACGAGCAGGCCTTTTAGCCGTTGATCGGAACTTTCAACCCTTGATCAGCATTTTTGAACCGTTCATTGGCTTTCTCGACTTGTGATGGCTGCCGCCTGCTTTGATTACTGTCCATAGTGCCGCCGGTTACCAATCGAGTTCGTTCAGTCCGTTGCGAAAGCATGTGCAACTTGACTCTTCAAATAGCCCGTTCTTCAAACAGAGCTCGTGTATAGCAAGGGTTCGATGTCCCAAGAGGTAGGTCCAAGCCGTCAATTCTGCACCCAAGAAGCAGAATTAACGGCGTCTCCGTCCCAGTCAACTGACACGGCTGTGCAAAGGCAAGTTGAACGAAAGCAGACGGTTCTAACCACCGAAGCTATGTCGACCACTCTCAGACCCAGCGTATGGTTCTCAACCGAATAGACCTCTAGTTTGGTAGGATAGTTTTAGGTAGGATATGGTCAAGGCCCAGGGAAGGGGTGGGGTTGATCTGGGGGTTAGGGTGGGTACGAGTGCGGAGCGGGTGTAGTTCTTGGTTTGGTTTTAGTCTTGTTTTCTCCCGGGGACTGTTACTATCCTACCTAAGGTTTAGGAGTATCTCAACCGACTCACCCTCCGGGATCTCCTCCACCTTCACGGTCTTGTTTTCGGCGTCTTCAGCGAACTTGTCGGCAACAACGACGTCAGTGGGCAGAATGAGCTCGACGCCCTTCTCTTCGGCCATCTTGGTGAGCTCCTTGGCCAGCTCCAGCTTGTCCTCCTCAACCAGGGAGGAACCCACCTGCGAAAACGGGTTAAGGCGTCGGTTACCAAGCAGGTTAAGGGGCGTTGATTTTATAATCCAGCGGGGTAATTGCTAAAATGAACAACTCTGGAAGAACCACCTTCGGAAGCAAAGGGGCCAGGTGCAGCTTGTCCTCCTCGACCAGGGAGGAACCCACCTGCGAAAACGGGTTAAGTCAGGACGTATACTTAAGAGAGGATGTTGTTGACTTTGCGAGTGGGTTAGGGGAACTTAGTGATGACTGCGCAACTTAGGCAAGCATGTTTTTTGAAAGCGAATGCTCCAGGTCCAGCTTGTTATCCTCGACCAGGGAGGAACCCACCTGGGGAAGACGGGTTAAGACGTAAGTTGGGTCAGGACGTAGGTTAACGCGTGGGTTAAAAGAGGCTCGCAATACGGTCAACGATGCATTCTGCATTCGGACAAACATGATGTCATTTTGGCCCTATTGGTGAAGTGCGCAACTCGAGGAACTTTTGAAGTATCCCAGACCACCGGGAGGTGATCACCATTTTCTGGACGACCATGTGACTGAATCTCTTAGGCAGAGAACGAAAGGGACCAAATCATCGCTTGAAGCGGGTGCAAATCGGTGTTGTGGGAATTTGATGCAGCCAGCCACGCCTGCGCTATCGTCACTGGGGCAATCTTCTCAAAAACAGACAAAAAGCGAAGGAAAAGGACTGCATCAAGCTTCGCCCTTAAGAAGACAAGATGGTGCATGGGGACTCCTGGAGTTTAGGTACATCGAACTTTTGAGACGGAGCGTTCGAGTAAATCGAGTACGACAAAAGGAGGAACACATTGTGATTAGCAAGTCTTGAGGCAGAATTAGGCAGCAGGAATGAGCACTCACTGCAAGGCCTCGTGACTTGTAGAAGGTGAAGATCATGCCTCCGCCCAGGATGATCTTGTCAACTGATCCGATGAGGGACTCGATGACTCCGATCTTCGAGGACACCTTGCTTCCTCCGACCTGCCAGGAACACGAAAAGGGGTTATGAGAAAATCATAAAAACAACTGTAGTTCTAGTCGATCGGTGCTTAAACTACCAAAGGAACGACGGCGCAGAGTCCTGGACAAAGAAAGCAATCGAAGAAGGAAGCTCATGTCGACTTCAGCTTTCCAAGAAGGATCGCGAAAGGAGCACCACTCCACTCCCTTGCGTTTTTCACAAGTGGGGTACATCCGGAGCAACCGGGCTGGTATTTGATCATATGCAAGATGACTACTGCATCCAGGCCGTTCAGCGTTACCCGATGTGCTTCGAGGTTAACAAAAGAAAAAGGTGGATGTGACGGTCAAGCTACTCTCCTAGATTGATGACACAACAGGTCAATAAGCTCTGGGTATCAAACACGATCATGCATGATGGTCGAGGCAGACAACTCAATTCTTGTCCCTACGATGCTATTGCAGGCGGTAAGCCAAAACAGTGCGAGAAACAACCAGAACGACGACTCACAATGGCGACGAACGGCCTCTTGGGCGCCTTCACGGCTCCCTCGAGGTACGCCAACTCCTTCTCCAGCAAGAACCCGGCAATACTCCTTGTCACGTAGTTAGCAATCCCGGCAGTCGAGGCGTGCGCCCTGTGCGCGGTACCGAAGGCATCGTTCACGAAGTAGTCGATGCCCTTGCCGAGGGCCTTGGCGTGCTCGGGGTCGTTCTTCTCCTCCTCCTTGTAGAAGCGGACGTTTTCCAGAAGGAGGACCTGGCGGCGGGAGGAAGGCCGGTTGAGAAACTTTGACGAGGAGGCTAAAGGGTGATCATAAAGTTAAAGTTAATATTAAACGAGTTTTAGGTCGATCTCCTTGGGCTTGTCTCCTAGCTGGAAGTAGCAAGTGGCGGGACGAAGGCCGCCTGAGTCTACTCAGACTTGTGTACGTAGGCCAGTGCTTCATTGTAAGGTCAGAGAAGTTAGGAGTGTGGCTAAATCAATCTCCTCCACCTTGTAGAAGCGCACGGTCTCTAGCAGGAGGACCTGGAGAAAAAAGGCTGGCTGAGTCCTTTCACTACTTTCGTAAGCTAGGAGGCTCAGAAGCTTATTGTACTATCAGCTAGGGTGTAAACATGGGGGTTGTGTTGTTCTTCGCTGCCCTGAAAAAGCGCAGAATGTCCGTTACAGAATTGGCTGGGGGAGGCCGGATTTTACAGAAGTCGATGTGAGGAGACAAACGGTCAATCTAATTCAATGACCAAGTCAAGGGAGAAGCAGGCTGGGAAGAATCGATTTAACTCATTTGTGCGTATATCAACTCTCAGGCCCTAGCAGTCCGCCATTTCCTCTCCACATCCAACCACTAAATCCTCCTGCTGGGTACCTTCCAACTGTAGAAGCTTTACGTTGTCTAGAATCTGGTCTCTGTGCTGAACTTCAATGTTTCCAGACTGAGGCAGAAGAGACATAATGGGAAGTGACAGACATTGAGAGAGCGGAGCCGAAACTCCTGACCAATGACATGACTTGTCTCCAAAGGAGCGATGTCAGTAAGATGACACAAGTGATGCTGAGATGGCCGTACTGTAAGACCCAGCAGACTCTACTTTAACAAATGCTTCACCAACGTTCTGAACGACATCGGCGGTCGGCTTGAGGGTCTGCAATAGATTGCACTGCTACTTGCAGCACAACCCTTAAAACCTGCACCACCATCACTCCTAACCCTTTCTAAGCACTTAAAAGCTGACAAAGACGGTATGACTTACCCCACCGTCCTTCAGGTCCTTGATCTGCTTCTGCACCTCATCACCAATGGAGTCGTTGGCCTTCTCCACCTTGAATCCGATCAGCTCAGACAGGCGCTCTGGACAAAGTAAACCCACCAAATGTCAACTGATGTCCAGCATTGAAAGCCACATCTAAAGTTGCTTGCAGGTCTGCACTATCCGGAACGAATAGGTCCCAGGTAAATGGCTCACCTGGGGAGCGACTTAGGGGCTCTTAGCAGTAAAATCTGGCGTGTCTTCATCGTATGGATCAAAGACGCATCCTTGCTCATGTCAGAATAGGTGGTGTGGGGGGAGTGCTTGCAAGTAGTGGATAAGGATTGGCAAAAGTTCGCCGGCAAATTGACTTGGTTGGAGAAGATTGATGAATTGAGTTAGTTCGTGCTGACAGGATATGTACAGCTGGAATATCTTGCTCTTATCGGAGAGCGAGAGTATGAAATTGGCTTTCAAAGGTGCTCCAACCCCTCAGCATTGCTCATTGGTCAGTCTGAAAGAAGCGGTTGATACAAGCTGGTTATCTAAGGGCACTTCAGTTAATCTTCTGCAACCGTCTAAGCAGAGTCCTAGCGCTGGCTGACATAGTGTGACAGCTGCAGTTGGGTTGTGCAACAGCAACTTCCCAGAACCCTAGATTAGTAGCACCCAGGGGTAGGAACCGGAACTCGTCAGTATTCTTCGTTCACCTGAGCATTGTCAAGGTTTCTCCAACTTCAGCATTCTAATGTGTGGAGCTCCCTGCCCTGCACAGTGTTTCGTTCTTTCCTTTCCAAGTAGCACTGTTGAAATGGAGGCTACGGTAGTCTCACCAGCAACAGGGGTCAGTCTGAACTTGTCCTCAGGGCCATCCTTGGGGCGGCCCAAGTGGCTGGACACCACCACCCTGGCTCCGGCCTCGCTGAGGTACTTAAGAGTGGGGACAGAAGCGCGGATCCTGGTGTCGTCAGTGATCTTGCCGTCCTGCAGGCGGAAAGAGTTCGATTTCTAAAGAAGCTGAAGCAACTTTGACTGCAGGGTTTGATCGGACGGAGAATGCAAGGCATGCAACGGTACCAGAAGCGGTATCTGGTTTTGCATTGGATGATGCACTTTACAGAGCAAGGATGGAGTAGATTGGCTCAGTGTGAGTGAGTGAGTTCACCTGGAATGTACTGAAATCTGAATGATGCTGATCAAATGAGCGGTCTAAATCAAGTGTGATTGACGAGACTCAGCGGCCAAGAGAAGCAAACTCAAGCAAAGGCAATCGGTTCCATATGGTGAGCTGGTTGTTAGCTGAGCAGCGAATGCAGCCAATCTCACCTTCAGAGGCACATTCAGGTCAGACCTCACAAACACGGTCTTGCCCTTGAACTCAGACTTGTCAACGTCGTTGAGGCCGGCCTTGCGGTCGGTGGCGGTGGAGGTTGCCGCCTGGGGGCTGGAGGCGGCATTGCCCTATATAAGAGAGAGCATCAATGAGAAAGGAGGATTGTAGTAGCTGTGCAGAATTGGGCTGTTTCTGGTCCGGTACTTGTTCAAATGTGAAAATTTCAGAGGGGTTTTGAGTTCCTCACAGCCAGTACGGCTCGGTGGTGCTTGATTGGTGCAGCAAAGGCCACATTTCAATATTTCAGCCTTTTGCGAAGCAGTCAAGCCGGACTCAGGTTGCGGATGACATGAATGTCTCCCCTTGGAGCTTCCAGGGCTCAGCTAGTTTATAAGCGGACCTAACTGCGGCGGGAACTTTCAAAAAATCAACGACAGACGACTTGGATGTGTTAGCAGACTCAAGGCACATCTGCGGTGAAGATTAGCGGTTTAGCCAGACCATCTCTCCTCAAAAGGAAACATATCCCGTCCAACCTTAAGCAGTACATGCAAACTCGTTGCTTAGTCTAAATACAGGTCTTCAAACCTTTAAGAATCTGCTCGACAATCTGCAGAGTGGCAGCAGAACCCAGGATATTTGGTCCCTGTCTGAAGAATGCATAAAAATGTGGTGCGTGAAAACACTTGGTCCAATGCATTTTGTCCGTTCAGGATCACAGTCAGCAAACCAGATTTCTGCTGGGTAATTTACTTAGTGACTGCAGTGGAAAAGAAACGCTCATTCTCCAGACTTGCTGATTGCTTACCGATGGCCATCAGAAAACCCCTGGGGATCATCGCAAGGCTAGATCAGCACTGAAGTGTGACCACACCGTAACAAACTCAAATTTCTGTCAAACCTACATGCAGAAAGTGTTGTGTCCTTTGTCGCTTGCATGCAAAAAGCAGCTTTCGCAGCCCGAGAAAGGTAAATGTAACGAACTTTTCCCCCTCAGGACTTGGTTTCTTAGCGACTTCTCAGTGGGATCCAGGAGATTTGGAGGTTCTCCTCAATGTCTCCACTCAGATTGCACCGACTAGCTAGTGCTCCCCTTCTCATTTCCTCCTCTCAACCAGAGGTCGTGTTTTCACCATTGTAGCACCAAGTTGAGTAAAATCCTTCAGGTTTGGAGCGTCATTGTGCAACATTTTGTAATGCATTGCAGAACCCGTGCAAAGGCGATCGAGCGCGTTGACATACACAACGGCTGATCTCTACCAGATTGTACGAGAATTACTGCGCGTAAGAGCAATGTCAAATCTTGTAGCGTCAAGTAACCACCCCCAATCTAATCACCCAGCCGGGGCATCTTACCTGGGACTCAATGCTCGGGACCTCGACCTGCTTGGCAAAGACAGCAAGCTTGTGCGTCTTGGCCTTCTGTGCCTTGACCTTCTGAGCCTTTGCAGAAGGCACATTCACCCTCTGTCCAAGGAAAGGGGTCGCCAAGCTGGCCTGTGTGGGCCTTGCTGAGCTCCTAGTCTGCGCAGCAAAGGCAGCGCCAGCGGAGGACACCCGAAGAGCAACGCTGGAAGCCATGATTTCAGTGGATCCTGGGGCCTTTCTGTATTGTCTTTCTGAGGTAAAGGGCGCGTTGACAAAGGTTTCTTCTTCCTGTTGGATCTGTTCTGCAAGATCTCTCCAGTACAGCACCTTGCTTCAAAATGCAATGCAGCAACAATGCGTGATGCAGCATCCTCAAAATGCGTCTATTAACACCACTTTAGCAAAACACAATTACGCCTGCGAGACGCTTGGTGTGAACCTGCCCGGTCGGACCACAGAATATTCATGCGGCTCAGGTTCGACTTGCGCTGATTTGGCAAGATGGATGGCGGATATGAATTGCAAATCTGACGATCGGATGGCTCGGTAGTTTCCCTTAATCCACTTTCTGGCTACGTGGCAGCTTTCGTGTGGCTCTACTCGGGATTCTCTGCAGACTGGGAGACTGGGCTAAGTTCCAATTACCGCACCAGCTAGAGCTCCTTACTAGTCCTGGCAGGACTTCCGGAACGCTGGTCTGCAGTGATTGTGCAAACGCTTCTCCTCACTTCGAACTGCGCTTTAAGGGGGCTGGCGTGCTCTTTGCCGGACCACGTCCTCCCGCACTCTCAGCCTTCAGGAAGGTGTTCAATCGGGTTCACCCATGACAAGCTAGTGCTAGAAGTCAGTGACATGTCCCAAGTGAATGGAGCACATGCCTGCATCATTGCATGTCTTGGTGCTTCAACATGCCACGGGCTGATTGCACAACATTTGCAGCAAAGACTTCCATTCGTATACACGTACTCTTGCTTTCAGACTGTGTGGTTCGTCTCTGTCCCGGCCAATGCACGTGTATACAAGAACCTATAGCATCTGCCATGTGAGCCGTGCTCAGCACAACGGCTACGGCGTTGATATAGAAGCCCTTACTCATTATGGAATCAGCGTCATCCTATCATGGCTTCCGGGTGTGACGGTACCGTCCTGGTTGTCAGCTCATGGTTGATCCATATGGACTTGAAACCTGCACAATTAATCTATGCCGCCCTCGCTCTGGTGCACGTTGGACATGAGACCTGAGGCCGCAGGCTGGCGGGCAACAACACACGCACAATAGTGGCGATTTGTGAAGTAACAAAACTACTTCGATTGTGCACGATTATATTGCAACCAAGATACATTCTTTATGAGTCCGCACTTTTGTGCAGACGGAATAGAGCCCTCTAGCTAGCTTCCTAGGTGATGAATCACCAGATTTACCAAGTTTCGCAGGCCGTGATGATCATTAACCTGAAAGCATACTAACATTGACATCTCAGGTGCATTAGCATTCCGAGTGCAAGCTCGGCCAATGCACTAATCTACCAGTATTGTGGATAATGGCTGGATCCGGTGGACAAGAACAGGTACAACAGGCCGGTTGGAGATGCTTTTCTGCACTGTAGACTGGTAGATCAGTAAGTCAATCATCCCACTTTATATCCTTCAAAGATACAATTGTCCTTCTAAACCTTCCTTGCGAAGCTGTCTCACCAAACTCCGGTTGCGCTGGAGGGGATTGCGGCGGCCCTTGAAGCAATTGAACGATGTTGGCTACCTGCAATCGAAGATAAGAGCGCTCGGAAGCCTGTGCATCTACAAGTGACCGTTCAAATGCTGAGGCAATCATTGAGACAGAGAGTTCAAGGTCCGAGCAAGATAGAGACGGTAGGCCTGGAAAGACAAAGGGAAAATACCAACGTGTGCAGTTGAAGCCACTTGATCTGTGTGCTTGTTAGACGGCAGGCTCGGAAGTAGCCAAACTCCTTGTGACAAACAATCTTTTGAAGGGTCTCCCCGAGCTAACTAACGATCGAAACACACGAAAGGAAAATTGCCAAGCAGAAATCCGGTCAAGCTCAAAATTGACAGTGTTTCCGGAAGCCACCAAGGAAGTCAGCTTACCGCTTGCTGCTGCATTGCCCGAGCCTCTCGCTCTTCTTCCACGCCACTCTCGTTCATAAGCTGAACCAGTTCTTCCGCCCCTTCCGCCACGACGGCTAGCACGGCCGGGGGTACCGATTCACACTCGCCCAATAGGTGGGCCGTCGCTTGAGTGAGAATGCACCAGAAGGCGGCCCGGGCGCCGGAGTCGTCGTCCAGGAGGGAGAAAGCGCGCAGGAAGGCGGCAAGGAACTGGGGATCTGGAAGAGAGGTTCAAGGTGGGAGGTTTTGAGAAAGTAGGAACTGCTGACCCGTTTATGGAGCGAAAAGCGGCATCCTTTCCACTTCTTCCGTTCATCAGATACTCTGAGAGCTGTCAAGAGGGGTCAGATTGCGGTCGACTCTCCAAGATTCTCAACCTGTCAGCTACTCTGCCGGTGATTTAGTCAACACGAGGTCCGCTCTGGGAGTACTGCGTCAAGAGGCGAGACGAGCTAGCATCTCTGCTGAGCCTCTGGAACGTGATGCGGTGGCCGAGCTTGTGATGGAAGTCCGGATACTCAACTCTGTTTGTGCCAGCCTTCTCGATGACAGTCGGAAGGTGAAGACCTAGCAGAACTCAATGTCCTCAGCCAATTCAGTAACGTTGCACTGGTTGACGCACACAGGTCTCGTGTTCAGGAAGGAAACGAAGTCCCGCCTCTTAAGATCCAAGGGAGTCTTGCAAGACGGGTAGATCCTTTGACTTTAAAAGCAATTCTCCTAGCCATTCAGTATGGCGACCACTCGCAACACCTTGCCAGTAAGCATGCCAACGTGAACCTTAATCCATTATACATCCTGCTGTCTCGAACTTAGCAAAGAAGGTTTGCTAGCAGATGGTGCGGAAGCGCTACGAGACAGGAATAACATCGGATAGACCTCGACTCACTCAACAATCAACTTACAACTTCTATCGACTATCCAAGCTTATCGAGCTAGAAGTTGGTGCATTCCAGTTTGCACTCGTTTGTATTCTGTCGCAGGGACAAACATTCGGGCATTTCCTGTAGAGCGAAGCACCCTCGAAACCGACTCTTCACGAATCCGTCTGAGCAACCGTCGTACCTGATATGCGTATAAAAGAACCTCGAGCAGGCCTCAGCAAGACCGGAAGCACAGGCCACGCCTCGAATCAAGTCCACAGATACTTCACAAAGTTGCGGGTATTGAGCAATTGAAGCGGTGTTAAAAGACTCACCTTCGGCAAGTGGACCAACCAAACCCCGATCTTCGGACACCAGGTTCGCTAGGAGAATGGTTGCGCTCCCGACCGCTGACCCAAGGTCTTCTTTTGCCGCCAGCCGGAGCACATTTCCCACCGCGTCACAAAGTCCGCTGTCTTGCACAAGCACAACAGAACTTCTAGAATCGAGCGACAGCGCCTCTCCAATCTGCAGCAACAGGTCTAGCGCCACGCACCCCTCCTCTTCCCGCTCACCCCCTAGCGCTTCTACTTGGGCTTGCAACATTCTGGTTAACCGAGCTGGTAACCCCAGGGTTAGAGATTCTGGAAGAACTAGAGGCGAGAACTTGGTCAGGAGAGCAAGCAAGACCTCGAGAGACTTCTCCTGCAGGGGGGGATGATTGGTGTTCTCCGCTATCCACAAGAGCCGCTCCAGAGTCTCTGCTGATTGCAGCACTTCGGCCCAGCTAGCAGCGTCTCCTCTTTCAAGGCCAGTCCCTTCAACCCCACTCTTGCTCGACCCTTCTCTGCCTGACCCCTCCCCCTCTACAAGATTTCCATCCTCTCCCTCCTCTATTTTGTCACCAGAATGCAGCCCTGCACTGAGCAGCCTGCAAACCTCCGTCAAGGTTGGGGGGTCCATTTCCCCCAGTTCCTGTACGACCCTAGCTTGCAACCCAGGCCACCTCGTAGCCTGCCCTGCAGTCTCCTTGTGACACGCAAGATTGGCCAGAACGCCGAGAGCGATCTCGCCTAATCGATCACTGTGTGCGGCAGAGAGTATCGCAAGCACAACGTCACAGATCTTCTGTTGGAGTAAAAATTGAGCATGGCCGGCATCGGCGGCTAGGTCCCACAGCATGCACCCAGCCTCTTCTCGACAAACCTCAGGTGATTCGTCGTCCCTGCCCCCCTCAAGAGACATACTTCGTCTGCCGCCCTGCCTTTCGGTCTCCGCTTCTTCCAACAACTGGTGGCCCTCATCATCTCTCAAGTTCCTCAAGCCAGCGCTCTCATTCTTTGGGGAAGCCTCGGCCGGGGTAGGTAAACTCCTTGTTTGAAAAGTCTCACTATCTGTTTCCCCAGCTTCCGAAATCCTTCCCTCGCCATTCTCTTCTAAGGAGGGGTCTGCAGTGTCCATATCTTTCGCTCCATCGCTGGAATCCTGTGCTTGTGCAAGCGCCCCATGTCCATTCTCCTGCAATCTTTGGGAAGCCGCAGGATCCTGACTTTTGTCTCCAGTTTCAATCCCTGGAGCAAGGAAGGTGCGGAGGAGGCGAATGATGTAACTTGGATCCAAAGTTGTGGTCAATTCAGGCAACTGCACCATGAGGAAGATAGGTGTTAGCAAGGATAAGGAGGCTGGACAAGAATACACCTACCTGGAGCCCCCCAACGTTTGAATAGGAGTCAATATGGTTGATCACATCAAACCACTGAGGGCTTGGTTCACCAGCAGTTTCCTCATCGCTCTTTTGTGGGCATTGCCTGTGACTGTGAGCTTATGAATTCAAACTCTGTACGTCTTGGAAAATGGACAGCAGCTTCATAAGCAGCATGGGGGATGTTCTGCTTTCTGCCAACACTTGAGCATTCCCCCTACCTGGTGGTACTAAGTGCATATGCTAGTGAACAGCTTCTTGCAGCCCCCAAAAGCATTCTTGAATATAAAGAGCTGTATCAAAATGTACCTGAACAGCAGCTTCTGTGTCCCCCATTGCTGTTGAAAGTTTTTCGTGCGGGAAGGCGGCACAGAACAGTGACAGTGACACTGACAAATTGGTTCAACTTCAAGACTTCTCACCAGGCTGCGTTGAATGGCACTGATATGGGTTAGGTTAACCTAATTTTTATCTTTCTAGGACATGCTTGCCGCCCTCCTAGCTTGCGAGAAAGTTAACCAGTGCATAACCGCAGCTCGAAACCAAGGGTCCAGCAAAGCTTCAATGCTGAATTTGACAAATCTGAGCATGTGCAGCATTTCAAATGTGAAAGGAGCAATGAACGGTGCTTCTGTGTGAACAGCATTGTGACCTAATATCATTGTCAGGAAAGCTTCTTCGCTGTCAAATTCTTTTCAGTTGCAATCGAAGCTGCACCATTGTGTTTCGATCTAAGTGGGCATCGTCGATGACGCTGGAGGACCTGCCAGATGAGGTCCTGTCAAGTATCTTCAGACGGCTGCCACTACTGGAAGATATTTGCCAATATAGAGGGGTTTGCAAGCGGTTCAGGGATTTGGCAAGGCGGGCAGGCTCCTTGCATTTGAAACCAAGGAGTTGGGGGCGGGTCTCAACAAGACATGCTCCAGAGAATGGTGCTCAACTAATCCAGTCACAGTTTGATCCCATAGAGCTTGGCTTGGACTACGTCGTCAACTACAAGTTTTTGAGCGGGGTGGCAGAGAATCTGCCTGCACTGAAAGAGTTGGCTGTAGATGAAATCAATGCTGCGCCAGCTTCAATGCTGTCAGAACCAGTCCCAAAGGACATGTATGTCGGCTCAAGGTTCGAGAATCTGGTTTTCTTGGAAGTATACACGTTCAACGTTGACACTGAGTCTCTAAAGACGCTCCTTGCGTCCTGCCCTTCCCTGACAACCTTGTTGGTGGGGGATTTTGTGGATACAGAGAGAACCACCAATCATAAAACCCTGCATGTCCAATCACAGTCAATAGCGAGGTTCCAGATAATAGGAGCTGGGAGTGGGGCCGCTTTCCAAAAGCTCGTTCTGAAGTTGCCGGTACTAGAGACCCTCAGCTTAACTGGCAACCTCCGAGATGTGCAGATTGAATCTGGTCCAGGGCTCAAAACGCTTTCATTTTGCCCGGGGACAATACTGCACGCAGATAACACCTCTCTCAAAAGCCTAACGGAACTCCATCTACATCCATATTCATTTCCTGTTTCAAGAGTTGACTGGGATGCCAGGTTGCAACAACTGATTGGTCCTGCCATTGGCCTCAAACGCCTCTATCTGCCATGGAACCGACGCCTGATCATCGATGAGCCCAGCAACAGGATTAGAGTCAGCAGGTTTGGGAGCATAGTTGGGCAAAGCCTCGAGACCTTGCACTTGACGGCAAGCTTCTTTCAGATCTTGCGTGTCTCACCTACGTGTCTGGAACACAGAGACCAGTGGCCATATCTTTGGTCGCTCTCGTTAGACTTGAAGAACTTTACAGATGGTTTACGGACGAACGAGTCTTACCAGATTTTTGACTGGCTACTTAATAACGCACCGTCGCTATGACTCCTCGAGCTCCGGGCGGGGAAGCTTGTTGAGAGTGCAATCATGACGAGGGTGGTGGCGCTGCAGAAGAAACGCCCTTTGCTACACATCAAAATAGAGGAGATACAAGAACCAGGTGAGTCTTGCTCAGCATCAGACTCACTGTAGGTTCTGCAATAACAACCACTCGATTCTTTTGTGCCTACTTTCTGGTCCCCTCCGCTGTCAAAATTTGGTGATCGGAGCAACGACTTTCGTTCATCTTCTCCTTGGACAATCCAAGATCTTCGGTTGGCCTGTCTTTTGTGTGTTCTTTGTGTGTTGCTAGAAAGCGTGCAAGTGCCGCAAATTGAAGCGGGCACAGCTTCCCATTTTCGATGTTTGAGAAGACCAAACCCTGTCAAGCCTCTAGCTCTTACTTCCAGAGTTTAACACCATTCTTTGGAATGACATCGGGTACGACCCTTGTTTTAGGTGAGCTGTTGATTTTGGATGTGTGATTGCCAAGGCTCTACTGCTATTCCATAAATGTAGAGACGATCAAGTCGATATTCTGGCAGGCGCACAACCACAGGACGAAGATGAAGAGGATCCTTACGGCGAGGAGGATGGCGACATGGACGAGGAGGAAGAAGGCTGGCTTTCTGACGGAATAGGCGAGGAGGAGGGAGATGAGGACGACTGGGAACTAGAAGGGGAGGAACTAGAGGAGGAAGACGAGGAGGAAGACGAGGAGGAAGACGAGGAGGAAGTAGAGGAGGGAAGATGACGAAGGTTTCGAGGACGATAAAGAAGATCCAGAGGAAGAGGAGGAAGAGGAGGAAGACTTAGGGATGTGGCCAGGGGGCGACCAAGGGAGCCAGCAGGACGAGGACGAAGAAGAAGAGATTGTCGATCAGGATCTGTATTACGCGATTGCCTTCCCTGAGAAGAATGCGAAAGGTGACGAGGAGAGGAAGGACTCGGAAGAAGACTCGGAGGGAAAGAAGTAACGGAGTCGGAGGAGGAAGAGGTGAAGGGGAAAGATGGATGCAAGGGGGAAGCCGAAGGAACAGTTTTGCGTGTTATCTAGCTAAAGATTCGACGGGCTGAGCTCAGTAGAGGCGGCTCAATGTAGTTGGAGCAAGAAATGAATTGCTTATGCTTATATTTAGAACGGCTTTTAGCCTTGAGTCGATTGCATGGCCCATTCGTTGAATGCGCGATTTCGGCACAGGTGACCGGGCACCAGACCATGCACTGAGCTGAGCAGCCCGCTTTGATATAATCCGTCAAGTCATAGGCTTAGCTCGAGTGATCACGTACGTCGAATCATGAACATTCGCATGGGCCTGTTCCTGACTTCCAGCTCTCTCCGTCACACCATGCGAATACAAATGATATATAGCAGCTAGCTAATTGCTGCGCTTGTTGATGGTTTTCAATCGTCTTGCAATTAATTAACACATTAATTGCGCACTGCACTTATAAGCGCATGCAATGGTTGCAAGACTAGCTGCATTGAATGATGGTCTCTTTTCGAATTCTCGCCGGGTAGCCAAATAGGCCATAGGCTTCTCATGGCATACATGTATGAGTTTGTGTAAGTCCGCAGCTGCTTTCCAACGGCTAGCCTATCATTGCCTACCTACCTACCAGAGGTCCGTAGTACACCGCATCAACGCTACAAGTACGTCTTGCTTGAAATGCTTCTCAACAATTTGTCTCCTTGGAATTGTCCACCAGCTGTGCTTATACTTGTTCTCAACCCCGGGATTTTGCAGCGCCGATTCGGGTAGGTAGAACGTGGTAGGCCGGAGACTCTCATGGCTTGTGCGGCATTAAGATGGCAAACTAGGTTGGAAGTGCAAGCCTGACGCCGGGCCATTTAAAAACCCCTGCCCCGTACTTCAAACTTGAAGCTTTGGAGATCTCTTCTTTGGAGGGGAAAAAGGAACCGGCGAATTACAAATCCAATTACTAGTTTGCAAGCTGCAGGCGGCATCTATGGGCTTGTGCTCTTGGCTTGTGCTGATCATGGCAATTCCAGCCGACATGCAAAAGGTCAGACACAGAACAAGCAAAGCAAATTAGGCCCATGCAAATCAGACTAGCTGCATTGAATGATGCATGGCGGCGGGCCAGGCATGCAATCATTGTCGGAAGGACATGCTTCTCTTTCAACGTTTACATGGATCAGCCGCAACGCCTCATCCAATTTAAGGATTGGTTTCCCATCACCTTCAGAATGATAAAAGCCGTCACTCGCGAGACTGTTCTGAACAGGATTGCAATCAAGGGCGCGCTCCGAGACATCCGGTAAGGGAATTGACCATAACATGCGTCAACTACTTGACTCGACAAAGAGAATCAAAGTAAAACCTACTGCGACTATGATTGCATGATCAGAAGTCTGGCATGCTTCAGGAGGACCGCAGTATTCTAGCTCACATAATGATCATTGATAAGTCCCGCTGATATAGTGATCTGTTCATATACAAAATAAGCAATACTGATTTGTATAGTTCAGCAGTGTTGGCATGTACAGATCGTGGTGGGCACGCCCATCAGTCTCCCGCAGCAGAGAACTGCAACGCTGCGTCCGTCAGACATCTCAGCTTCTTGCTGCTGGAGATTGATTGAGATTGCAATTGTTTCTACACGGCTGATCTACAGGACGCAGTATATACATGAGCGCCTACAAGAGGAACAGACGTCTTGCTTCCATTTCGCCTCTACTCCCAAGCACCCCAGTCCTGTGAGCAGCAAAAGGATCGAGTGAGCAGGACAATCATATAGAAGCGACACTCAACAGAAGAGCGTTGCTTGACCGGGATCGCTCCACTCTGCAAGCAAGTTACGAGATCAAGAAGCCAGTGTCGGATTTTCTCAATGTTCAATTTCATCGAGGTAAGACAAACACACCCTCAAACGAATCCGTGCATAAGAGAAACCTGAAAATCTGAAATAGCCTTGTCTTCAAGACCCAAGAGTCCTGAGATCGTCGACAGAGGGCTTTGCTCCAGTCTTGAAGACATGGCATGAGCCGTGCATGGAGCCTGATTGTCTTCCCTTGAGCCCGTAGCAGACTGCCGTTGAGACTCGGCATCTCGGCTATGACACAGCTAACGTTAGACAATACGGGTACGCCAAATGACACCCTCCACCAGCGTCCCAAAATCTCTTACCTCGCGTTCTTCCTCAATCCCCGTTACACAATTCATCAAAATGATGTATCCCTCCTGCTTCAATGTTTAAAGCACGAGATTCGGCTTCAGCAATCTTCGAACATTTCCAATGGCGCTCACCTCGCCTTCCTCCTCGGTCCCCTTGCCCTTCTCCCTGGACGCGGGCGCTCGCGCAACCTCTGGAGCTCCCTCCGGCTCCTCGACGTCCAGATCGTCCACCTCTAGTTGCTCCAACTCCTTGGCCGTCTCCTTCTCGGCGACTTGGGGCGTGGGCGACACTTTGACGGTCGTAACCGCGTCCGTACCTGTAGAAGACTTTCGGTCAATCTCAACGAGGAACAATGCATAGAAGACGTTACGCGTTGGAACAAACCCTCAACGAGCTGGTCCGTCCTTCAGGTTTGCAGAGGGTTGCTTCCTAAATATACGCGAGACTGTCATGGACCCAAGGGGTCCGCCCGAAGGCATTAACGATCCGCGGGAAAAGCTGACCGGGTCCGTTCCTGAAACTTCAAATAGGTCTCGACTTTATATTGACTAAGGGCATGTTGACTAAGGAAAGCGCCCGGGGGCCAGAAAAAGTTGCTTTGGGGCTGAGGGTGGGTACGGGTGCGGAGCGGGGGTTATTTGTCGGGTTAGGTTGTAAGGTTTGTTTGTACCCCCGCGCACTATCCTTAGTCAACATGCGCTTAGTCAACCTGAGAACGAGCAGTATCAACTTCAAATGTCTGCAAATTTGACATGACGACTGAGACGAACTGCCCAAGATGGGCGTCAGATCAACGAGGAAGACTGCATTGAACTGTCAAACTGCTCGGTTATTGATTTCATGAAGAGTGATCCAATCCTCACCTTTCCCAACCACCAGCCACCCGCTGCCCGTGCTCCCCTCGGGGCTGCCGTCGCTGGTCGTCCCCTCCTCGTCGCTCGGCCCCCGCGGCGACGCCGGCACGACCGGGGAGTCCTTCTTGCTCTCGTCCGCTGCCGCCCCTTCCGTTACCGTCTCCTTCTCCTCACCCTCGGCCGCCGCCACTTCCGCGGCTTCTGGCGCCGCCGCCTCGTCGGGTGACGTCACGCTGACGTCAGCGGCCGCGGGGGGCTCCTCGTCCGCGGTCCCGGGCTGCGGGGTCTCGGTCTCGGGGACCGGGGGGAGGGCCGGGGGCGACCGCGGCTGCCGGGCGCCGGCGGGCGTGTTGGGCTCGTCGACGTCCCAGCTGAGCTCCTCCTCTTCGGGAGCGGAGGCCCCTGCAAGTGAGCAGAAACGCGTGTTGGTGTTCAAAGTGATGGGCCAGATATCACACGTCCCCGGAGGCTTGAAATTTCCCGCCGTCGTCCCTGCTGAGCTCCATACTCTTCAGATTGAGGCCCCTGCTAAGAGAGCAGAAACGGGCGTCAGTGTTCTGAAATACGTTGGAAAAGATCACAAGCGTCTCCAAATCCCTAAAGCGTCCTACGTCGTCTTTTGTGAGCTCCTCACTCTTCAATGAGGCCCCTGAAAGTGAGCAGAAACGCGTGTTGGTGTTAGGAGTCTGTACGGACGTTGGCAGACGCCTTAAAATTTGAGCACTGTTTTCTACGGAATGAGGCCCCTGCACAAGAAATCGCTTTCCGGCTCAGCTTTCGTTCAGAGAATTGACTTTTATGATGCTTCTCTTTGGACTGCGAAGAGGTGGAGGAAGGTCCAAGTGTCTCCCTCTCGGCTTTTGCTTTTGTTCGCTACGGAATCGATCTTTTGTAAAAACGGCGAGAGATCGCTGCTGCTAAGACGCGCGACACAATCTTATGCACACAGCAGCCGGATACAGACGCTCGGCTTACTCTGGTCTGTTAGGTGGACACACAATTTGCTTTTCAAAGTAGCAGGACACAGGCACCTTTACGACGTTCTTGACGAAGCAAAATCTCGGCTAATGCATCGAAAGGGGCACGTTGCGAGGGTAGGATAGAGCGCGAAGACATTCTCCCACATTGCGCTGTCTCCCCTAGGTATCTTCTTCTAGGTATCCTCTTCTCTCGGGTCCAAACAGAACCGAAGAACGGCGGGCTCACTCTTGACCAGGCCGGCGCGCGCCTCCTCCGCTTGCTTCAGCTTGTGCAGCCGGTAGAAGTACCGGGTCCAAAAGGTGTCGTACTCCACGATGAGGGGAACTGCCACGGAAACGAGGGGGAGAAGACGGTCAGCATGCTTTCAACCGTCAAGTCGCCGCGATTCGGCACGATTCGCCCCAATTCGGCGACCAAGCAGGGTTCATGACAGACGGCTTGCGAGCTTTGACACCTTTCTGGAGGTCGCCGGTTTCGGCGACCGTTTGCATAAGACACCCGTGGCACCAACAGGATGCGAAAAGCTCGGTCGTTTCTTCAACCTGCTGGTCTTTTGGAAATGATTAACCCGAAGAAAGCGGGATGACGTCAGCAGCTTCCCAAGCAAAGTCGGGCAAAGTCTGTGACATATCGTAGGCGGCATTTGGCCTCATGGGCTTGTATTTCTGTCGAGCCGGCTTGGATTAGATACCAACAGATTCGTCGATTTGAAAGAAAGCGGCAGGTGTCGTCAATTGCAAGCAAGCGACAAGACCTTCATGGTCTGCCACTTGTCCTCATCAAAACTACCCCGAGAATAATCCACGAACCTAAAGAGTGTGACCGACGAACTTCAGGACGACAGTGAGTGCAGCAAATCAAGGACTGTGGCCCTACCTATCCGCGACTGTAGTTCCTGCATAAAGGCGTTCTCCTTTCCGATCTTCTCGATCTCCTCTTTCCTGCACAGCACAGTGCGTGGTCAAAGATCGCCACTTTGAAGGAGACAACTGTCTCCAGGGTGCATTGAAGTCGTTAATTCAGAGAAGCTTGGACATCTGACAAGGGAGTCTCTTGCTGGATCACCCGTCGCAGTTTCTCGCTGAAACGGCTTTGTGTGTTTTTCGATTTTGCATCCGGTAAGTTTGAGCCTGCTGCTCTGTCTTTTTCCAAAAAAAAAAATCTCGAAGGGACCGACGAGTGAGCACCGTGCGCCACCGACAACCCGCTTGAGGGAAACTCTGCTTTTAGGCTCACTTCGAGTCCAGCTTGAACTCCTCCCTCCACTTCGCGTAGTCGTCTGCATCCTCAGGCTCATCGCAGTACGTGCTGCTGTCCCGCTGCATCGCGTTGACCTGCGCCTCAAACCGGCTGTACTTCCTGCAAGAAATCGAACCAGAATGGAATCCTGGGTCTTTTGTGGGAAGGCTGGGAAAAGGACACGTTGTCGTTCGTTGCTGGTCTTACACGTTTCATCAAGATGAAGCACAAATAAAGAGAAGTCTCTTTCGTTTGAGCACAGGGGATTCTTAAGATGGGCAGGAACTCGTTGCTTGACGAGTGCTGTGGATCTCTTGTTGACAACGGAGCACGTTTGGCCGGGTCTCAAGAGTTCGAAACTCTTGACTTCAAGCACTCTATCCAGCATTGCGGTTTCAAAGCATCGATGGGAGACTCCCAGTTGATGTCAATAAGTGCGACTCATTGACCTCCCTGTTTGCTGGGAGATCTGACGCCCTTTGAAGAGGAGGAAGTATTGAAAAGAGGTCAAAAGTGGCCCGCTTTCTAACAGCTTCAACGGCTTCCATCTGGTCGCATGTCCTTCATTTTCTAGACGCATCTTCTTCAAAACTTTGGATGCGGGTGCTCCAAGTATGTGAAAAGCATACTTACCCTCTAGGAATCGTGGAAAACGACGATGACCCCTTCTCCCGCTTGGCAGTTGCCGAGATCTCGTGATCAGCCTGCTTGATAGCATCCTTCACCTGGCCGAAGATCTCGGTCGTCCTGGAAAGTCGAGCAAGGCATGACTGCTTCGTGGAAGGTGGTGACGCCAAACGAAAGCCAACAACCTTGAGCTCCAAATCTCTTTACTACTCGTGTCTACTTACAGTAAGTCCCAGGCTCTTTCCGACAATCGGTCTCACTCCTTATGCGCTGTCCCAAAATCCTCCCGAAAATGCTGGAAGCAGACCTTAAACATCAGCTGACTATGCAGTCTTGAACGCAGAAATCCTTGTAGCTGCCTCGTCATTGCAGGGACCAAAACTTCACAATCCACGCAGGTCCTTGATCTCAAAAGCGAGATCGATTTGTCAGATCAAATACCGATCGAGCAGAGGCCTGAAAGATTCGACATGTTGTGTGCGGACACATTATGGGAATATGACAAAGTCCTGAAAGTAAATGAGCTTACCCTCGCCAGAAGGAAGATCCAAAATCCTCAATGACATGGCCAACTTTCTCCAGATTGTTCTGCAAAATAACGCTCACAGTTGTCATATTCTCTTCTTTGCTCCCTCGCCCTGCTCTTTGACCTGCACAGGGCCTCCCAACACGCCATGTAGAACCCGCGTTCTACGAGATGCTTTGTTGCACAGACAGCAACGCAGAAGCAAAGGTGTAAGCGAAGCTGTACCGCTCTCCGAACATGTTCAAGTAAGGACCCGCACGGTCGCAGACCAAGCACGGACAGACTCTTCAACCTCTGAATGTCCAGCAATCATCGAGACTTGCGGGTCATATCTGCAAGCACTTGCCACCAGGTGCAACTGTGATTGCGAGTTGAACTTTCGAATTAGTTACAACAGGGTGACAAACTGTTGAATGTACCTGCGCTTGATGAGCCCCAGTTTCTAACATGTGGGGCACTTCCGGGATTGCCTTTGCTGACGTGTCGACCACGCTGATTGTCTCCTTCTTCAATTCCTTCCCAAACTCAGCCAGGTCCTTCTGGTACGTTGACAAGACCTCCTCTGACTGTAACAGGTGAATGAGAGGATAATCGATTGAACAGAGTTCGGAGCAGTGTTTGGACCGCCGTACTCAACTGAGATGCAGCCTCTGCCAAAAGCAACGCATTCTGCAAACTTTTCAGACTGGTTACGAGCATTACATGCCCCAGTCTGGCAGGGTTCAATCAAAGGCATTCGTGGCTCTTTGTTTGGAAAGATCGAAAGGGACGGCAGCGTAATGGAGGCACTTTTGCCACCCCTCACCTTTTTGGCGAGCGAGCCAAAGAATGTAAGGAGGCCACTGCAAAAGGAGAGAGTGCATTTGTATGCCTGTTGTTTATCAACGTACTATGCTGTCTCCCGGAGGAAAATGCAGACTGCACTTAACAAACTACCTCCGCAACAATTCAGTATACCTGTTCGCTAGAAAAGGCATTTCAGGAGCGCTCGGGTCAGTTGAAAAAACTTGATGCACTTTACAGCCCTGATTGTCAGGTTATTAAGAGGGAAGAGACCAGAGCCGGGACTCAATGCAGTGGGTCTGAAACATTCAATGATCACCTGCTTTCTGAAGGGTTTGTTGGTGGGGCTTCGTTAGAGTTCTCCTGCAACACCATCAAGGAGATATTCAACCATTGAGCACAATCAAACAGCCCTAATAGGTGCTCAACAAAAAAACTCTGTGTTCTCTCTCGAAGCAGAATGAGACTCAGATGCTCATGTTCTGGAATGCCCCAGAAAGCAATTGAACCCTAATTGGCAGTGGACAAAGCCATGCTGCATGTTGTCCAAGTTCTTGCATTGCCCTCCCACTCTTAGATGCAAAGCCTAGGGCCCTGCTTAACGGCTTTTATGACTAGCCCCGGGATTGGAAAGTTGCAACTTACTTCGGCCTCCTTGCTTGCGTCCTGCCCCTTGGCAGGCTCTTTCGCCTCCGGCACAACATCTTCCCCGAGCAAAGAGCTGAAGAAGTTCATCGTGGCAGCTTTCAAATGATCCCTTTCATCCAGCACCTGCCGGCAATCTCTGACCTGACCCTCGCGGCGCTGCAAGCTCGGGATGTTCCTTGCTGTTGTCAAGTCAAAGATGGTATGCAGAAACTCCAGTCCTCAGACTCCCAAGGGCATCTCTCTGACACAGAGCCACCTTCCACGCCTAGCATGTTCAATGCTGTACATAAGATACGTGGTGACCCTCCCTCCCAATTTGGCGCTTGTGCTACCTAGCTGATCACATCATTGACATGAGCCTGAGGGCAGACCTGTGAACAGCAGAACACCAGGAAAGTTGTCCCTCCTCGTCTTCCTGAACATTTAGTCTTGAGATCTCACAATCGAAACCTCTTCCCGTTATTGAGGCGTTGCTGAGCGAGGGTTCAAAAGTACCACCCGGGTGGCTACAGAGCGGAAGATCCCTAGCCTATGGCGGCCGGGAGATGATGACCCCGGGCTTTCTAGAAGTTTTCGGAACATCTTTAGAGGGTTAAATGGCTAGACCAGCTTCTCCTTCAAGTTCTCCTTCAGGTTCAATTTCACGATCTTGCTCAGGCTGCTTGCACTGTTGATCTGGTGAGAAGTTTCAAAGAACGCAAGGTGGAAGAAGGCTTCTGTGGCCGCTCTTTTTGGCAGGACGCTATATTTTGAAATCGTTCTCAGGGCGTCCTTGCAAGGTGAGGACACGTGCTTTGATTGACAGAGGGACATCCTTTTGCCCAAGGGCCGTGCATGCTTTCTGGCTGCTCTCGAAAGTTCAGCTTGCAGTATGTCTTCGAGCTTGCTACTGGGTATTGTATGCCGTCTTATAGAAACCCACAGATGCTATCGTAGTGTAATGAAATATTGCTCTGTGTTTGTTCTATGTCTACAGACTACCCCTTCTTTTTGGCCTATACTTTATTATAAAACCTGTCTTTCTTTTTCACTCCAGGCCACAATGTCGCGGCATGATCGAGAGTCAACCAGGCTGTACATTGGTCGGCTCTCAAGGTCTTGCAGAACACGTGATTTGGATGATGCATTTAGCAGATATGGAAGGTGAGTGCTTTGTCTTGTTCCCTCCTTGGAAGGATTGTCAACTTGCATGCATCGTGCATGGTAGTAAAAGCGCCTGTACTTGCAGGTATTCTCGCATGGTAAAGGTTAGAAACTTGTGTTGCCACCATGTCCAAGGTGGTAGCGTAGGCTCAAAAAGCGTCCATCTTTTAGAGACTGGTAAGTTTTTGCTAAAATTTGGAGGCAATAAGAGCATTTGACTTCGACTGCATAAAATTTTAGCAGTTTGTGTAATTAAAGGTGTGGTTAAGAAGGAAGTCTCCAACTCATCCAGCTTGTACCACCATCTGTTGAAGGTTGGTGAGCGCTTTGTCATCGCTTAGAGCTGGTGGTTACCGAGCGAAGAGGTGTCTCTGGTGGCCCTAAGTCCTGCCAATCTGGAGGCTTTGCCATGAGTTGGGAGATGGGAGGAAGCCGTTTGCCTGGTCCTTGGCGGCTGCTCTATCCCTGGAGACTCCCTGCCCCGTGAGAGGCGCTCCGGTGTTCAGCCGAGGGAGACGCCCCATGGTACCACTTCTTACCATGATCATTTTGGTTGCTTCAAATAAAGACATACCTTTTAGAATAATATACCTGAGTCTTTGCGCGCCGCACAAGACTTGCATCCATTTGCATCCGCATGAGGTACCTGGAAAAGTGCTTCAAAGTACCAACCTTTGCTGCTTGGTCTTCTCTTTTGCAGGCTGCGGGACGTCGACATCAAGAGCGACTTTGCTTTCGTGGTAAGTGTTCTTTGTCTACGCTAGTTATGGCAGAGCTTGCGAACTCTTTATTCATGGGTGATTGTTAAGGTTTATCAGAGCTCAATGTTACTGCTCTGTCAGGGCGTTTGTCTAATCTGTTTCTGAACGGCTTTCCTGCGAATAAGGTTGGTGTTGAAGCTTATACCAAGCTGGAGCAAAATGTTAGGTCACGCAACGTTCCAGCTCTCACCTGTTTCATTTGCAGGAATACTATGATCCACGGGATGCAGATGATGCCGTCTACTACATGAACGGCAGAGACGTAGCAGGCAGTCGCATCACTGTTGAGTTTGCACGAAGGGTAAGTTGTTACTCTGTTGGTCCCGGGGGTTTGTCAAAGTGGTGCTTGCTGCCCTTATCACACCTGAGTGCAGACGACCAGGTCGTTGAGGACATACATTGGTCAACTATCCAAAGTTACATGTTGTTGCAACATTCTTTTGTTGCTACAGCCCTTAAAGAGCAATCTTGTCAGGGGAGGCTGGTAGCCAGCCATTGTTATGCTGTTTCAGTTACCTGTGAATAGATAATTGGAAGTCAATGGAATAAGGTTGTCGAGTTTCTTCCACTAAGTATTGGTGAAATTTGTCGGCACGCAGGCCAGGTCAATTGGTCCAATAACTCCTCATTGCAGATGTCTTTCGCAAGCGATGTTTGACTTGTTTCACAAGCAACGTCTTTTAAAGGAACCCACTTTTGAAAGTCAAAAGAACACTACTCTAAAAGAGATCATCTGCAGAGAGGCGCCGCCACCAGCCGCTATGACGACTACCCCCGTGGTCCTGCCCCCGGCACCGGGCGGTGCTACAACTGCGGGAAGGAGGGCCACTGGGCCCGTGACTGCAAGTCTGGCGACTGGACGAACAAGTGCTACAAGTGCGGCGACAGAGGGCACATCGAGCGCAACTGCCCCAACCCCGACGCGTAAGTGTTTGAAGCTTGCTACCTCTGATTAGGGACTGCGCTTTGGGTCTTTGCTTTTTGGTGATAAAATGGGGCTGGGAAACATTCACCAACAGTCGCCTGCTTCTTGCATTGTGGTTGCTTCTTCAGCAGGATGTTACATTGGATAGAAAATGCTTCCGCAAAAACAGCGTTCGGTCGGCGCAGGTCCTTTCTGCGAGGTTTTTCTGGTGCCCTCGATCCATTCAGCCCTCGCTCTAGCGTTGCTTGAGTGCTTGGCAACTTCTGTGCAAAACATGTCCGTTTGGTTTCTTGGAAAGCTTGAATCTCCAGGCAAGCGAACTGACGAGCCCTCGCCCGCTGTGCCTGTGTGCATGCCCTCCTGGCGCCTCCTCTTTTGCCTCTCTTCCCTGCTTATGGTTCGCATAAGCAGTCGCCCCTCGCGCTCTCCGTCCCCGTATTACCGGGGCGGCCGACGTGAGCGGAGCCCCTCTTACGGGCGCCGTTCGCGCTCCTACTCGCCCCGAAATGACAGGCGCGTCTCGCGCTCTCCCTCCCCTTATTACAGAGGCGGCAAGGGACGAGACCGCAGCTACTCCCCCCGGGGCCGCAGCTACAGCAGGAGCCCCAGCCGCAGGTAAGCCCCCTAGTTGGTGTCGATTCTATTTAAAAATGTCGGCTTCGGTTTCCTGCCTTTGGAGTTGACAAGTTACTGGCTTTTGTGTGTTCTCTTTCGTTCGTTGGGAGCCAAGCCGTCGACAGATGGACTCTCGATTAATTTGCTTCCTTCTGCTTTCGTTGCTGTTGCTGCGACATCTTGCTTCTGTTTCTAACTAACTGAGCAAAGAAGAGACAGAAGTTGCTATTCTTGGACTCTTACCCTTATGAAGTAGACGTTGTTAGTCAGTGATGAAACATGCACGCTGAACAAGAGGCAACAGGACACAAGTTCGGACACAAGCAGCAGATACCTAATCTGCATCTGGAGTGAAGTTTACGTTGAGTGGCATCCACGCGGGGAATATCCGACACATCGAACCTTGTAGGAAACGTTAAACTGTCCCTGCCTTTAATTGCACCCGAACTGGCTTGGACAAGGCTGCTTCTGTCGAATGGTGTCGGCCAGCTATGAAGAACCCAGGCATTCCGCTTTTCAGAGTTTCTGGAAATCCCCTTGCGTTTCTTCACATCAGTTTCTCCGCTAGTGTCGTTTAACCAGCGAGTCTATGGAAATGCTCGCATGGTTGCTGCCCGGTAACCCTCTGCTGAGCATTATTTTGTCTGTTTTCTCTCAGCCGCAGCCGTTCTCCCAGGCGCGGCCGCAGCGTGACCCCCCGCAGGGACAGCCGCAGCCCTGTCCAAAAGGACAGCCGGAGCCCCGTCCGAAAGGACAGCCGGAGCCCCGTTCGGAAGGATAGCCGGAGCCCCGTCCGGAAGGACAGCCGGAGCCCCGTCCGAAGGGGAAGCCCGGACTCCATGAGGAAGGATAGCCGCAGCCCGTCTCGTGGGCGTAGGTGAGTTTCTGCTTCGGCGAAGACGGTTGTTGTGCTACAGTACTAACGAATTTTGCTGGGACTCTGCTTTTGGACTTTGGCGGTGCAAAAGACTCCTTTGTGAGACTCTGGGCCTTGTACTAGGACCAGAGCCGGGAGTTCAGTGGCTGCGAGAACCAGGCTGCCAAATGTTTTTAAAGAAGTTGCCCTTCATTGTGTCTTGACCGCTTGCGCAATGGTTTGTCATACATCGAGGACCGATCTGTAAATCTGGCTTACAACAGGCAAAAGTGCTGTGATAACACGTTGCTTGCGCTCCCGCTTTCTTTCATCAGCGATGGAAGGTTTCCGCAAGGACGCGGTGGTGCTTGAAAAGGTTGCGCGATTTCTCGTTGGACGTCGGCCGTCGAGGCCCAGTTGATGCCATAGTTACCCGTGTTCTTGCCAAAGGGTTGGAACAGGAGGAGTTGTGGTCCTTGGACTTGCTTACCTTGGTGCGTCCAAAGAGCAACCGGTTTTGGTTTACAACAAGGGCGTCAAGCAGTTACTCTCCACACATGTCCATGTAGCGGATCCCTGTCATTATGTTGATCACGGATCTGACTGGCTCTCTTGGTTTGCAGCTTGACCCCCGTCAAAAAGGACGATGACCGAAGCCCACCGCCAGCCAAGGAAGAGGAGATGAAGGAAGCCGTCGATGCAAACGGGAAGGAGGAAGCAACTGAGAGGGAGGATATCGATCTGAACAAGGACGTAGCTAACGGGAAAGATGATTAGGCGAATGCCCCTGAAGCTGCCGTATAATGATGGTTTCGTTGAACAAGAGCTAGGTAGCATTGCTTGGCGAGGGCATTCTCAAGAAGCAAACTCACATCAGTGTCGCCTCGTTAAAAATCAATCCAGCGAACCCGACACCTGGGCTCGCTTGTAGGCTTCTGGCAGAGGACTTTCCTGCAATCGGAGATTTTGATTGAAGTCTAGATCACCCATCTTTCGGTTTACGAACATTTTCAGGCGGTCTCAATTGGATGCTTCGGTTGTTCACCAAGTGCATGGTTCGATCGAGTAGGAAAGCCGGGGCACATGCATGTTAAAGATCTGCAGTCGTTAAGTTTCAATTTGATTGCATGATGTAAAATGGTCGGAAATTTTATTGATACAAACATGCAAAGATTTGCAAACCCTTGGGCCGCGGAAATTTAAGCCGGCAGCCTGCCCTGGATTAATTCGGAAAGAGACTCGATTATTGTACCTTAAGCTGCTGCCCACGGTCACTGTTTTCAGTCCATGAATCGAATTGTGGCCCGGCGGCGCATTGCGATCTATTTTCAGCTTCTTGTCTACTTTAATTATGTAAGAAGGAGACGGTCCGGCATTGAACGCGCATGGCCTTGCATTCTGCCAATTTTACACGAACGATCAACGATACTATGAAGTACGGGGCAGGGGTTTTTTAATGGCCGGCATGGTGCATATGTACTGGTACTCCGCAATCGCTTCCGTACCCAACCGCGGTCTACACCCCTACCGAGATCACCGGTGCCCGCTAATTAGTGCCAATCCTAGTTTCAACGAACCACCAGTCAGGCTTCGCCAAGTAGCGTTGCAGTATAGTCTCCACAGTGTACATGCATAAGCTGTTGACAGGCTAGGTTGGACTAAATTAGCTAGGCTTCGCTAGCACGCTCAGATTCGGTAAGGTAGCTAGGCGCTCGGAACTCAAACATTGATTCTCATGTATGCCATGGAAGCCTATGGCCCGTGTGGCTACGGCGTTTGAAAAGAGAACATCAATCCTCGAAGTGGCGTGCAATTCCCCCAGTGGCGGCCGAGCCGCCACCTATGCCATTGAAAATTGCATGAAACCAATCATCATTTGTGAGCGCGTGGGTCTGATTCATTGCGCCAGCTAAAGTAGAATGGGTGACATGCCATGATGCCCGCTCGCTCCACAGGCAATGCATGAACTACGATGGTTGTGCAAGGTACATGCGGCGCAGCCGGCTGCCGCTACATCAATCATGCATGCTTTAGGTCATAGGCACAGACCTGGCTGTCGCCAGAGGTATGTACGACCGTGCGCCATCGATCACTTTTCAGGTTACGTCAAAAATTGAGCAAGCATACATTGAAAGGACTCTGCTGCTCAGCGCTCGTATTAATTTAGATGCTTCTTTTTAGCCTGGATTGACTGTACATTGAAAGGATCAGATGACAACGTAGACTTTCAGAAAGAACCCTCAAACCGTCCGCGAGCCATTTGCAACGGGCTGCTCAGCTACCCGCCCTTGCTACCTTGGTGAACGAATGCAGAAACAAAGAGGACGTCTGACGGACAATTCTTGTTTAAGGGCACTATGATTGACTTTCACACCATTCCCGGGCGTTTTGCCAGAGCTTGAGCCACGGGCTGGGGCCAGCTCTGTCAAAGTCCCACTCTTTCGGCGCCCAGGGCAACTGCACGAGCACAACAGAATTTCAGCATACGGATGGACAGGATAACGCTTGAGTTAAGGCATTCCGCATACGGTGCGACGAGTTGTGAGCATTTTGACGCCCCCTGTGAGAGCCAACAGCTGACAAAGACCAGCTTCATGAGCTTTTCAATCTTGATTGAGGCCTTCTAAGAGGCCCACAATCTGTCACGAGAGTCTCAGGTCGTGTAGAGAATCCGAAACACAGATTCGAATCGCTCAAGTGGCAGAGCTTAGGAGGCTCAACACTCAAACAAGGGTAGTAGGCGACGACAACGAACGGCGCTTCCCCACTATGTAGGACAGGTGGACCTTAAACAAGATGGAAGCCTGAAGTCAGAAAAAAGATGAAGTAAGAATGCTCGGTTCGGGAAGGGAGGGAAGCAGGTGGAGTGAGGAAATTCCGTTCAGGAAGGGGTGGGAGCTCACCTGCCACATGAGATATGACCGCTCTGGATGAGGCATCAGTGCCAGGTGTCGGCCATCGGGAGAGCACAAAGCGGCGATGCCCTGAAGACGAACACAGAAGGTTTCAGTTGACAGCCTCCGTTATCGAGCCGAGCCTGACTGTACCCAATCTTAACTGCTACACGTTCTGATGTCGAGCACTACCTGTGGGCTAACACCAAGCCAAACCTTCCGAACTTCAAGTAGCGTGTTCCCGCAAGGCCGCTTGAGCAAAGGAGGTCTCCGAAAAAGTGTGGCTTTTCATGCATGGCACAGATCCGACCCGTTGCCACAGATAAGCCTCCCGATACCACCAGCCTGTGAGGACTCGGAGGAAGCAACCTTTTTCTGAGAACATCAGTGCCCTTCCCATCATTATTTGTGATATGACTGCACCCAAAACTACCCCCTTCTGCCAGCACCCGTTGCAAGAAAAATAAAAATCCACGTTGCCCCTCAACCCCAATATCTGAACCCGAACTTTACGCCCCTCGAATCAGCAAAGCACACCTCAAATGAGCAAAAAAGGGCCCCACCTCGGGAGAGCCGTTCGGATTGAAGGGGTAACTCTCAGTGGCCACGCCCGCATCGTCCGAGTACCGAATAGGCGCCAGGTTGTTGCGCAGTACAGTGTCCCTGATGCCTTGGTCGGGGAAGAGCGCCTTGCCCTCTCCGTGGGCCACCCAGATGCCCATGTTCGTGCCAGCTGCAGAAGGGACGGCCAACGCGTTCCGATATGTCATACTCACAACCAGGACCTGTCGTTCCACAAAAAGTGCGAAAGTAACTTCAAACCTGTTGAATTGCATCTGGAACTCTTTCCTGATCGGAACTGGACTTGCCAGCTTTTGCGCCGAACACCTGACATTGACTACGATTTCGGGGTCGTGACGTTCCTCGGCTGTTGAATTGAGGAATCACCGTAGGATTAGAGAGTCTTGTCTGCGTTTGAAAAGACCCTTTCGTTCGTCTTTTGGGCACTCTTTCACTCCCTTCGACGGTTTCCTGCCTTCGTCTACCGATTTCTGGTATGTTGGATTATGTTTGGTACTTACCACTTCGAAGAGATTGGCAACGCAAAAATACTCGTCCCACGAGCCGGACTTGCGCATTCGGCTTTCTCAGAGCGTTGAGCATATTGGGCGGGGCCCTGTCATTTCTGACCCAAGCAGAAATAAAGACAGCCCACCAAAGCAGGCAACTTTCTACGGACAGGTGCTCCAGACTTCCAAAAGTCGGTCAGACGTTGGAACTGCTCATGAAAGAAAGCTCACCCATGTCCTTAAGCATAACCGCGGGCGACTCCTCAATCCTGACGGACAGGAACCGGCTCTCGAACCGCCCCGAGTCATTGTGCACAAACCGTGGCTGCGCCTCGTCGCCTCCTGACCCCTGCGAACCGCCCACCTCACCGCCCGGGACCTGCAAGAATCAAGGTTGTAAGCATTCAGAAACTTAGGATGCAATTGAGAGTGTGAGTACATCAACAGACGGTTTCGGAGACACTGACGTACCATCTGACACACGATGACTAGCAAACACAAATCTGCGGCTTGTGGCTCTTTTCAGTTGCGCAACCTGCCTGCCCCCTCTTCAAAAGCTGGACACCGCGGCACACACCTCGACAAAATGCTGTTGAAGTTCTGATCTGCCAGCAATGCGTGTGGCTGGTGAACGCAACCTGCTTTTTACAGCTTTGCTGTGCGAGAACTCTAACGTTTGCCATCCAGACCTGCCTCCAACCACCCAAATCACTTTCAGAAACAATGAAACCCTCTTCAGAACAGAATCACAGACACCATCCTTGTATACCTACTTCTCACAACCTACATGCATGCCAAAATTCACAGATACCTTTGCAGACCCGAGAACACGGGTCTGCAAGTCTTTCGCCCAACACAAAGACAGACACACAAAACGACAAAGGAAACACAAACGGATGCCCAATCACTCACCCATCCCAGAAGCGCCATGAGCTGGCACCCGTTGCACACCCCCAGGCTGAACGTGTCCTTGCGCTCGTAGAACGCCTGGAACTGCTGCCACAGCGCGGGGTTGAACCGGATGGCGCCCGCCCAGCCCTTGGCCGAGTCGAGCACGTCGCCGTAGCTGAAGCCCCCCACGAAAATGACGCCCCGGAAGTCGGAGAGCGACGCGCGGCCCGCCAAAAGATCCGACATGCTCACGTCCCACGGCTCAAAACCTGCGTTAAAGAGGGTTTGTGAAGTTAGCTTTCTAGGAGATCCCGGGATTGGATCGAGAGTTGTTTTAGGCATTTTGAAGTTGTAAAGGTTTCAGGACTTTCAAGGATCAGAAAGGAGTCAGGGAATATGACGCCCCGGAAGTCGGCGAGAGACGCGGGACCCGCCAAAAGGTCCGACATGCTCGCGTCCCACGGCTCAAAACCTACGGGGAGGAGGGTTTGTAAATTTGAGTTCTGGGAGGTTGAGGGATCATATTGGTAACTTGAGACATTGGGTTTGGAGAGTCTAAAGGGTAAGGGTTTCAGGACTTTCAAGGATCAAACAGGAGTCAGGAAATGACGCCACGGAAGTCGGCGAGAGGCGCGTGCCCGGCTAGGGGGTCCGACATGCTCACGTCACACGGCTCGAAACCTGCGGGGGAAAGAGGGTTTGTAATCTGGGTTTTTGGAACGTTTACGGATCGAAAGCAGGGGTTTGAGACATCGGGTTGTAAACATTCCAAAAGGGTACAACTTTCAGGACGCTCAAAGAGTCAAGAAAGATTCCAAGAATGACGCCCCGGATACGGAAAGCGACGCGCGGCCAGCTAGGGGGTCCGACATGCTCACGTCCCACGGCTCAAAGCCTGCGGAAAATAGGGTTTGTGAATTCCGGGAGCTTAAGATTGAATCGAGGGTTAAGGATCAGAAGTTTAACTAGAGAAGGATACAACTGCGAGAGGCTCAGATCCACAACCGACATGTGAGAAAGAGCAGATTGTTGCAGGTCTCAGGCTGCCGTGAGTCCGGGCAGCCAGCTTAAGGTGGTACAAAAAGTTATGCGGAGTCCAGAGTGTGGGTTGATTCAGAGTGTGATTATCAACGATCGCTCGAAACCAAATCTAGGATCGAGAGCGTGAAGTAACGGCCGACTCAGGCAAAATGCGAGGATGCAGGAGCTTCGCGGCTTGAGAGGTCTGCAGGAACACATCGTCCGTGTGGAAAAAAACACATGGCGGAACACGCTCGGGCTCGAAGGCTTGGATCCGGCAAAGCTGTCAAGCCCGCAAGGACTCCAATCCTCAGAACTGAGTCGGCAGATGGCTTCAGATGCTTGAAGATTCTCAACCTGCTTACAGCTTTCCAGCCTCCAATTCTTTCAAACCCTGAATGGCCTCAGACGTGTCGATCCGTCAACTCCTCGGCGCTTTTCAGAGCCGTCTCACGAAAGGTTCGGTCTGCACGTAAATCTAGGTCTACAGGATTCAAGATGCTCTGCTTTTGTGATCCCAGGTAGTGCAACTTCAGGATCCTGAAGGAATTTTCTTACCTGCTGCCCGCACCGCCGCGGCCATCTCCCTGTCCCCATTGCTGCCCTCTTCTCGTACGACGGCCACCTTGAACTTGGACGTCTGGTTCATTACGCTGTCCGGCGTCTTGGCCGGGGTGAAGCTCAATTGCCATTGCGGCGCTGCGAGAGAGAGCCGGTAGAAGGTCAGAGAAAGGGTGCAGCTTTGGGTTGTCCCCTTAAACAAGGACTCCGAAAGTGTTTAGCGTGTAGCAGGCGTAAAGCTCAACTGCTATCGCAGCTATAGCAGAAAAGAAGGTGCACAATCCCGGAAGTTTAAGTCGGCCCAATAGAAATCAGATGCAGAAAGCGGAAGGTTTGGGCGTATCATCCGGGGGTTTGATCATGGCTGCGGACAGGTAATGTTGCCAAATGTAATCTGGCAATAGATGTCGAGGTTTTGGACCTAGGACGAATGCTGCTGCACACGTCAGGGGGGTTCGCACGACCAAGTCGACCTTCGGAAACGTCTTGTTCCAACCGAACCGGCGATGCACCCTCCGAAAAGCGGCGACGTACTGGAAGAAGAGATTGTCTACAATGGCAGGCCTGCAAAAAACTGTTTATCAACGCTTTTCGAACACGCTTGTTTGACAAGACCAAGAACAGCTCACTTGTTCTGTGCTTCAGCCCGCCCTCCTCTTGCTCCACCACTGTCTCTACCCGCTGCAACCGCTCCAGCGCAAAGCTCGTCTCCTCCCACAGGTCCCGCAGCGCCGCCGTCTCCTCCTGAAGAATGGAACGAGGGACATCAGGGCGGAATTCAGCGTCGTTCCGGTTTAACCACACGGAAGTCCAACTCAACTCACTCCCTCAATCTTCAAATTCCGTCCCCATCCTGAAGTTTCTTGACAAAGGACATGCACAGATGGAAGAGATGAGATGCTGACCTCAATCGGCAGCTACGTCCTGGAGCTATGGTGGCTGTCAGTAACACGAATTCTAAAGAACCTCACTTAAAACTCGACCCTAATCAAACCCGCCAACGTTTCCTGATTGCTGATGTCACGGTCATCGAGTCTCGAACTCCCAAAGTGGCACGGAAAAGGCGAAGGGATACTGGCCGAATAAACCACAGAAAGAAGAGATGCTGCTACCAGTATTTAGTCTACTGTGTCAACACATCCGAGCATATAATTAAGATTGAGTCAGAACTTCGGACTCAACCGAAGTCTGAAGGACAATTGTACGCAAAACCACTCACGCCGTTGTGACGTCCACGAACAGCGCACAATTCTTCGGTCTGGCGAATTGTTCCCACAACTTGACCTGTCGTACATTAGCCACCTTCATTTCCAATCTCCTTAAGGATACGCCCCCACAACCGGCATCAAAGGCAAGTTCTCCAACGAAGCAACGCGCCAGAATTACAAAAGAGATTTTGTAGAGGTTTCTTTCTGCTCACCTCCAGCTAAATGTTAACCTTACCCTCCTTTTCTGCCGTCACCCCCCCGAGCCGCCTCGCCGGCACCTTCATCTTCGAAGCACTCGACAAGAAAGATAGAACAAGACTGGATAGAAGAGGTCACTTTCTACTCACCTCAAGCTGGGTTACGCCAGCCACCTTAACCTTAACCTCCTTTTCCGCCGTCACCCCCCCAAGCCGCGTCACCGGCACGTTCTCCTTCTCAAACGCCGCTACCACACTCTCTGCATCCCCGCTCGAAACCTCCAGAATCAGGCCCAACTCCTCAGCGAACAGCGCGCCAAACCGCTCGTCCACCTCGGTATCGGCGTCAGCGGCAGCTGGCACGTCGACGTCGATTCCCACATTGCCTGGGGGAAGAACGGCCAGAAAGTGTCACTATGGCAAATCCGATGTGTTTGCTTTTGGCCCAGCAGTAACTATATGTCGGAAGGCTGATAAATCTGTCAATTTACGGACGGCCAACTGAAATGCAGTACATGTTAAGCGAGGTACTGGACCCACCTTCCAACGCTCCGACAAACGTTCGAGGAACGGGGTGACTCATTCTCGTTTACGGTCTCGAAGCATTCATCAATCACTTGGTACTGGTACGAATCTTTCTAAAGGCCATCCTCAGAGCTGATTGGCATTCAATCGTCCCGACTTGCGATTTTACGATTGTATTTGCCCAGACTTGGATTTCTAAAAGCTTCTGGCCCACCACGAGTTTGCGACAGCTTTGGTAATCGCTCCTCTGCAAAAACATCGTGGCACCGGAAGAACAGCGCCGTGACTGACTGGCGAACGCTATCCAATGGGAGCACGGAAGCTCTTCCTTCGGGACCCAGCAGATACGAAAAAAGATTCAGAAACGGGTTTCCTTTCAGAGCTCACAAACATTTAATCTCACAAACATTTAACCAGCAACAACAGAAACCCGGAAACTGATAGTTCAAGCCGTCCCCTCGCTAACCTGCAAACGCCATCTCGAGGAGTGCGGTCACCAGGCCCCCGTCGCTGACGTCATGGCCCGCTGAGATCTTGCGCTCTTGAACCAGTGATTGCGTCACGTTCCAGGCACGCTTGAAGAGGTCCACGTCGTCCATATCCGGAGATTTGTCGCCGATCTAGTTCGGACAACAAGACAGTGTCAGCAAGACGCGCCAGATACTCTTCTGCGCCGAGTCCACTCGAGACACAAGCATGAAAAGCTTTTAACGGGGATTGCCACAAAGTAAAAGGAGGCTGCCAGAAATTCCAAATCTGCCAGCAGTGTGCACCGCTGCCGACATTCTCCTCTTTAATCCTCGTTAGAGGTGCCTCAATTCAACAAAGTTCATCGGGTGCGTCAAGTTGATCAAACTGTGCTTAAGGTCAATTGATAATCGGAAAGTGAAGATGAGTGCGCGCCTGGTAAAAGGCATGCGCAAGCGCCGAGTCCCCCAGCGGCCTCCTTTGCATAAGAACTTGACAACCGTCCATTGAACACTGGAAGAAGAAGCTCAAGGGGATAATAAAACGGTATCTATACGCACCTTATAGAAGGCGTGGGCAAGGGCCGAGCCCCCTCGCCGCTTCCGCCCGTGTCATACCCGCTTGACTACGAAATGAAGCTGGAGCAAGCGTGAACCAATTCTAACGCCCCCAACCCCCTTTGCCACTTCCAGGAATATACCACATCTTAAGGAAGACCATAATAGTTTTCGAAAGTGAAGCCTTTGCACACCTGATAGAAAGCGTGCGCAAGCGCCGAGCCCCCTAGCCGCCTCCGCCCCTGCGCCAGGTCCACGTGGAGCAGCACGCCGTCGCCGGGGAGCTTCAGGTCGGGCGTCACGGTCAGCGTGACGTCAGGGCACGTGACGTAAGCGCTGATGACCAGGTTGCCCGGGGCCTTCACCGTCTCCCTCCCTGCCTGCAGGGTGATTGCCAAATCAGGTCACGAATGAGTGTGTGAGAGTCACCCTTGAATCACTAGGGTATGTGAGTAACCCTTCAATCACTAGGGAGGGTGTGAGAGTCACCCTTCATTTCGTAGGGTATGTGAGTCACTCTTGAATGAGAACAAAGTTTGTTTCAGGGAGTTGACCTATCGGGTGCCAAGGCAATTGCATTGGGCGCTGATATCGTTTTGCCCAATGCCTCCCAACGTATCTTTGCCGCTTACGGGGACATTGCTTCAAAATGAAGGACAATCCCCGACTTCGAGCCATTAAGACAAGTAAAGCGAGCTTTGATGACTAGGATGATGGGGGCATCTTCCTTTCCGACGCAAAATGGTGCAACATGGGAAATCGAAGTCTGCTCTGCCCGTGCTTCAGAACATCTTATCCAAGGGCACCAGTCAACGAACTTGGAAAGTAGAACTCAAGCTGCAATAGCTGCAAGATTGGTCATACCTGCGCAGCCATTGACAAGCTGTCCTTTCCCCCATCGATTGCCACGCCAAGCTCAATCATCGCGTCCCGCAGGGCCTTTGCCGCGTCGAACATCGCCGCGCCCTCGCCCGGCATCTTCGCAGCATACATCCAGTTTCCAGAAGCCCGGACGTCTTGCAGCGCGCTCGCCTTGGCCCAAACCAGGTTGGTTAGCGCCTCGCCAAGAGCCAGGCGGGCCATGGCCTTCGGGTCCAACAAGCCCTGCAAAAGTGGGTTTAGGTTGGACTAAGCAAAGAACAGCAGTAAGCTTGGCTGAGATAATGACTGCTACTTCCCGAGGTTGCGCACGGGTTCGAAAACCAGGTTGGTTGGAGCCGCGGCCGGCAGAAGACAGGCCAAGGCCTTAACTTCCAACACCTTGCAAGATGGCCAAGCATCGACCTGCTCATAAAACTGCACTTGCCACTGCGGATCTCGGTGTAGTTTCTTTACAAGGAGCGCTTGCACACTTGGTTGTTGCCCAAAGTCCCACTTCGGGGCAATGAAATTTGCAATTCAAGACTCAACGAACAAAGAGTGGCCTCTGCTTAAAATGCAAACTTTTGTGTCGAAAATTGCGAAGTGCAACACTCCAGGCTGGCAGGACAAATTGCCGATCCAGAGGGTTTGCGGCTCCACCAGCTACTTGGCAGAAAGCTTTGCCATGTGTACACAAAGTGGGCAGACGGTCACTGAGAATTAAAGTAAGATCGCCCCCACAAGGGCTGCTCGTTCAGCAATCCTCAGCACGCTGCGACTAGGAAGATTCCTCTAAAACCACCTTGACAAAACCTTAGTACTTGGACGGAAGGCGTTTCAGGCAGACAGGCGAGTCACCGCACATCGTGTTGAGTCGCGTACCTTCAGCGGCTGCTCTCCGATCGCGCACGCGCCCCCCGTGGTGCCCACGTGGGTCTGGGCGATGACTGCCACATCAGCAAGCGGCAGCTGCAGCGGGCCCACCGTCTGCTGTTGAGCGACCAGCCCAGTGACACTGCGGTCAACCTGCATGTCACGGGCAAGGGTCAGCGCACTTTCGACAGTTCGAATTCGTTGTTTCTGGAATCATGACGGAGAGACTCGCTGAACAAGCTGGACCATGTCGAAATCGCCGAGGAAGTGAGGGACCAATGCAAAGTTGGGCATGTGAGGCGACAACTGGTAGGGAGTCGCTCATAATTGATTCAGTCAAAATGAATATGAGGGGACAGCGTCGGAAGAATGAGACGGACATTGCGGTTTGGCGTTTACGACTTCGTGACGACAACGCTCGAAGAGTTGGTAAGCATACCCATGTTATTCCTCATGAATGCTGAGCATTCATGAATTGCGCGGCGTTTCAAGTAGACGCTGCTTTTGAGCGGGAGCAAGAGTCGAGAGTGCAAAACTGATATAACGACGACTGACCTTGGAGGTAAGGAACCGCTTGGAGCAGACAGCTGGCAGCCTGAGGACGCGCCGCAGTGCATCCGAGACCGTCACGTTCGGGGCAATGTCCAGCGGCTCTTGGGCGTCTTGTCTTCGGTCGAAGTTGAACTTCTTGCGGGGCATGTCACCGAGAACCTGCACCAAGAGAGAATGTTAGCGGGTTGATGATCAACTTCCAAAAAGACAACCGAAACTGTCAGGACGGAATCCAACAGCAATAGCAATACTCCGGGGGAGAACGAGGGACGAGACACCCGTGGATGTGAGTGATGCGGTGAGTCAGCTCCAAACCAGCTTTTCACGGGCATGTTCTCGAGCATCTGCGGAAACGAATGAAGACAGTCGGATTCGTGATCGCGGTTTAAAAGAACCCGGGTGGTGGCCCTATTCTTTCACCGGGTGCCTCTGTAACGCTATCCCCACCAGCAAGTATACCAAAAGCTCAAGAAGTTGAAGAGCAAGGTCGTTGTCAAACGGCCTCTGCTCACAAACGAGTCCTTCGGCTTGTCCTGAGGTGCGGGGTTCTCCAGCCCCTCTACGTGATATCTGCTCTTGGCAAACACCGGGTGTGGCGCCAACGCCAACCGCAGTGCCCTCAAACCACTAGCCATCCGTCAAAAGATACAAATCTTCACCTCAGCAAGAAAGGCCGTCGCCAAACGCGTCTCTCTTCTCACCTTATCCAGATCCAGGTCGACCGCCGGGCGCGGCTCCGGCAATCCGTTCCTCCGCGCCTCTTCCCGCGCCTTCCCGTCCACCAACACAACCTTCCCGCTGCCGTCGATCTGCCCGATCACAGCCATCGACACTCGCTCCCGCACGCAGATCGAGCGGAAAAGCGCTTCGCTCTCGGGCCGCAAAAGTAGCGCGTCTTGTTCCTGGTATTCGGCGCCCCAGATCTCAAGAACGGACATGGTGTGGTCGCCGACAACGACCTTGCGAATGTCGATCTCGGCGCCCTTGGGGTAGATGATCTCCTTTACGACGTTGCAGTTGCCGCCAGCGCCCTGGCAGTCCAAAAGAGATGATGAGTATAGAGAGAGAGAAAGAGAGGGAGGATTACGAAAAGGTTCGTTGACCGAGAGAAGGAAAGTCAGAGGAACATTGGGTCTCATTGGGGTAGATTGTCTCCTTTATCAGGTTGCGGTCGCCGCCAGCGCTCTGCAAAGAGAACGATGGGAGACTTCAAAGGTGTAACAATCGGGCGGCCGCAGAAGGTGGCGGAGACTTGCTTGAGCTAGGCCGGAAATGAAAGATCGGCGCCCTTGGTGTAGACAAGTTCCTATACCGCGTTGCAATTTCCGCAAGCGCCCTGGGAGGAAAAGTACGCAAGAAACTAGAAGAAAATGACAGGTCTGTGATAAACCAACCGGGGTAAAACTACAGGGCAGCCGAAAGTTCCGTTCAGTTTACTTCAGGTGGAAAGGAGGGCTTGGCGCCCTTGGGTAGAAAACCTCTCCATCACGTTGCAATTGCCGCGAGCGCCCTAACAACGACAAGGCCGTGAGAAACTGCAAAGGAGGAATGGTAGGGCTGCCGAAGATAGGCAGTTGACTTAATTTAAGCTAAAGCTCGGCCCTTAAGATAGATAATATCCATCACCACGTTGAACTTGCCGCCAGCGCCGTTTGAGAGCAAACGTGAACACGATTGAAGGAGCTAGCGATAGGGCAGCCGAAGGAGTGCGATTGAGGTAATCAAAAAGGGAAGTTCGGCCTCTTTCACCACGTTGCAATCTCCAATAAAGCCCTGATGAAAACACAAATCCATGCATGATTGAAAATGTTAGAAGCGCCCACAAGTACTACAACAGCCGGGAAGGATGAGCAAGAAACAGAGTTGAAAGCTGGTTACGTACCTGGTCGTGAATGCTGACAATCGGGTTTTCTCCGCCCAATTCCACGCACGTCTTGACCACCCGGAACAGCTTCTGCGACATCTCGGCGTCTCCCCGCTGAACCGCATTGAAGTCCAGGTCCGCGTCGTTGTCCCCGCTCACCATGCTCGATGCCGCGCCGCCGCCCATCCCGATCCGATACGCCGGTCCGCCAATCTGCAGAGCAGCATATCGGATTGGACTTTCAAGTTACACGCCTTGAAACCGTTAATTCCGCATACTATATATGGACCAGCTCCCCATTTTCCCGTTTTGTAAATGAAAAGATTCCATGTTTAGCCTGGTGCCGATGAGGTAACTGACACGCTGAAGCTGATCCAAAACGCTGGCCCGCCCAAGTGGCGAGCAGCAGAGCTTGTCGGCTCGGGCTGACCTCAGGACCGACGTTCTGCCTCGGAGCGCAGCGCCTTGTTAGCCCACGGCCAACGGTTTCAAGGGCAACAACAGAGGCTGTGACAAAAAGAAGAAAGGCTGGCAGTGTTCCCGTTATAACTTCCATGCTCCTTACCTTGACAACCAGCATGCCCAAGTCGCTCTCGCCCTTCTCCAGGTGCCGGTGGTCGATCTGGCCGATGCCAGCGCTGAACATGATGGGCTTGAGCCACTCGCGACGCTCGCCGTTAGGGAGGCGCATCCCAAATGTGCGAGTGTAGCCTTGGATCAGCGGCTCGCCGAACTTGTTGCCGTAGTCAGAGGCACCGTCGCTGGCGTCTAAAAGGATCTGCAAAAATGAGTAAGATATGACATACAAGATTGCTTTGTAGCTTCAAAGGGATCCCTCGAGGATACGCCGAACTTGTCAGCGTGTCGAGGGCTCGCCAATTTTGTCGCCATTAACGGAGACGCCGCGCTGATATCAAGCGGAAGCGTTGAGAAAGCAGGAACTGCAAGTCGACGACTTAGGTGCCCTGACTGCTAACATTAGTGTCCAAACCATGGCGAACTTTCCCCAGGAAAATAAGGACTTAACTCCCCGAGTTTCGATTGCGGGGTTGCGCCCACAAAACTGCACTCGAGGCGACAGGCGTCAAACGACCAGAAAGCAGGGATGCTAAAATTGTCGGTAAGACGGCTCAGACACAGGCTTGAGCATGGAAGAGATCGGCTTCTTGGGGCTCGCCAACAGAATGACGACCTCAAATCATCACAAAACAGATACACAGAGGGTTCCGGCAACCTTTCAAGAAAGAGGGCGCACATTGGCAGCGTCTGAGAAATTAAAGTTGCATAAAACATTGCTTCAAAAAAAGGCAGGTCCAGCTGGGGGATCACGCATAAGTCAATAGGCCCAGGAAAAGTTGATGCATCGGAGCTCACCTGAAGTGGAGGCGCCAGGTTCGGGGGGTACACAAAGTCGGTGTCTTCCCAGGGAGCCACGTTGCCCTCCATCTGGAGATTCCCGACGCAGTAGCCGGCGGTGGAAGCGACCACTAGGGAACCGGTTCCGGTTGCATGGGTGTCACGGATGCGGCCCCCGGCGCCAGTCTCGGCGCCAGGGAAAGGAGCGACCTGGATGTTGAGAATGAACTTGACTTGGTGATCCGAGGACATGCTGTCGTGATAGCAACCGCTGAGGAACTCTTGTGTGTGTACGGCGGTGTCTCTATCGACCTTCAAGAAAAAGAGACCACCGCGCGCAGGAGTCCCAGAGGGAGTGATGTGGGAGAATATGAAAGGGGTCTCGTGATTCGAGCAATGTGCGATTAGAGCGACATGACGACCGACTTGGTCTGTACCCCGATGCATGTCCTTAATAACAATAAGCAGCATGCAAGAGCGAAACAGGCAGCCGAAGGCAGGCGTTCGATCCAACGGCAGACTCCAAGGAATCACACCATCCTCCAGACACCTGACTTTGGTCAGAGAAGCATTTTGGTCAGTTGGGCTCACCGCACAAGGAAAGTTGTGGGTCTCGGCTGTGAAAAGCACGTCGTAGTCGCGCTTCTGCAGGTCCAACGGACCGGGCTTGCCGGGGGTGGTCGGAAGGATGGGCTCGACGGGGTAGCCACGGATGGCGCTGCACAAGGATGACGTCATCAGCGCTCAGCTTCGCCAACCAGATTTCAAAAGTATCAGGAGGCTGGTCCTTCAGGCAAACAATGAGCCAAGTCCCTGCCTCAGAAAGGCGCGTGATACAGCAGGAAGACAAAGGCACAAATCAGGAGCTGCGTGTTGCCAGAGAGCCACGTGAGCAACGTGCAGGGCCTCCCTTTCCCAACAGCAAGCCCCGTTGAATGGCTTCCGTTTCAACCGTCCTGCTAGCTGTAGATTGCGCGCAATCGTCCAAAAAGGGGCTCCAGATCTGCCCTGAACATATTTCTGCTGAGAGCTGGCCGCTCAATCCAATTGCAACCTGGATCAAGAAAGTAAGTGCCTACCAATGCTTCGCAATCGACTAATCAAACAGCTTTAACGTTTGCAAAGAGCGCAAAGAGGTCCAGCTCTGCCAGAAGGTAGAAAGCCCATACGGACGAGAGCGGGTAACGCCTCTCACCTTGAGTTGTCCTTGAAAGCAATGACAGAGTTGTTGGGGTTCGCTTTGTAGGTGTCTTTGACGAGGCTGAAGAGTGTGTCCTTCGTGGGCTGACCATCGACTGTAAGCTCTCCCTGTGCCAGTAGATACGCGGGCAAAGTCAGCCAATTTTCCTGGCTCTCCGTGACCTTTCCTCCTTGAACGATGGCTTACGTCATTGTATCGTCAGCGGGCGAACCCAGGCGCGGCGCTGTGACCTCAATCGCGGGGCGCGCTGTTCTGAACCCCGCTAGTGGATGCTTGCAGTCGCAGTCTAAGATCTCGACGTATCTCACCCTGACTCGAAGGGGACACTTCCTTCCTAAAACCTTGATCCATGTTGTCACCGTCTTTTAATAAGAAACGAAACAGTGAACACCCTCGGTTTTGCAGTCCATCATTTGACAACAGATTGGGGGCTTACGTTGAAGATCCAGTGACGGCTGTGCTCGCTGTTGGACTGAGCAATGTCGAAGAGCTCCACGTTGGTAGGGTTGCGCTTGATGTCCTCCTTGAACAGCTTCAAGTAATACTGCACATGACAAGGAAAGCGAGCATAATTTATCTCCCGTGCAATTGCTGAAATAGGCCTTGGCTGCGGAAACCCAAGGGACCGGACAAAAGGACGACTTACAAAAATGTTTGCATGTAGGACATCAGTGCCTAAAATGTTCAGCTCAGTACAGGCACAGAGGGAAAAGCCAGGAACTCTAACAATCAGGGCCAATCAGCAGCGCTAGGACTTCTCGACAAACCTGATACCGAGCGCCAGACAATGAGAACTGAAACAAATTTGTTAAGAACCTCCAGCCAATCAACCAGTCCCTGGAAGTGCAGCAGTACTTCGCAATTACTCAGCAAAATCTTTGGACAACCTCACACACGTGTAGTAGCCCCCTCACACGGAACCTCTCAGATCGTCGTTCCAAAATAAGGACCACTCAAGGCCGAATCGAAGCGCACGCAAATAACAGCGCTCACAGATCCAACCATCGATCGGAAATTGTACCGGTCGGTGCAAGACTTTCCATCCTTGGTTTCCACCAAAACATGACCGGTCCAATCCAAAAGGCGGACCAAAAGGAACCTTGTCTCAGACTTTCCGATTAGCAGAACGAAACAATCCCCAGAGCAAGCAGCCCAGACTCTAAAGCCACATCTCGCAACTCCTCCACCTCAAAACCCGAACTTGACAACGTTCAAAACCGTCGACCTGCTCCAAAATCGGATTCCCTAATGCCTCACCTGCAGATCCCAGTCATCAAACGCAAGCCCCATCCGCTTGTTGATCTCCTCCAGCGCCCTGCGCCCGTGTGTCATCACGTCGACCTCGATCACCGGCTCGGGGACCACGTTCGTCTCGAACGACGTCAGCCGCGTCGGGTAGACCGTCTCGGTCATGCGGTCGTGTACCAAAGCCGCGAACGCCGCCAGCTGCTCCTCAGACAGAGGATCCGCGCCCTTGGTGGGGGCAAGGCGATACCGCCGGCTGCGCTCGATCCGGGCAACCTGGCATCAGGCCGATGGAAGGAAAGCCACATTTGAATTCTGGTATCGTTTTCGTTGTCCGCTTTCCATTCGAGACAGCCGGATCAGTTGCAATACCAGTCATTGAGTGCGCAGGTGACAACTCCCTTTTCACACCCTATTTGGAAATAGGCGGTCAAATGATGTGTCGCTTGCCGCCAATAGGTATGCTAAGACCGAGTTAGCACGCCCAAGCATATGGAGCTGCGCGAAACATGGAGCCCTCCGCTCTTGCTTCTTATCAAAATCGGCTTGGGACGGGTTACTTCGGTGAAACCCTTTGAAGCTGCACAAGTCATGGAGCCTCTGATCTGCGTGGTGGGAACCGGCACTGTCTGACTACAAACAGAAATCCACCCCGAAAAGACTGAAATGAATACTACTAGATGATTAAGGGACGCAACCAACAAGCGCTTGACCGCCAGATTGAACAGCACCTAAGCGCCCCAATATCCACTGATCCAAAGCAGAGACCCATCGCTGCAGGGGGTTGCGACTTCCTCATGCTCACAAGGCCTCCTCGACTCCGAAGGTCGACTTGCCCCGACTTCACGTTTCCACTCATCTTGAGCTCTAAAGACATCGTAGCGAACAGGCTCCCTTGTAACGTCAAGAACACCTTGGTCGATACAAATGCTTCCTTTAAGATCACCGCCACTACTCTGGCCTGATTGCTGCAAAATCACTGTACAACTCTCCGCATCCCCCTTGCCGCAAGCTATGCCCCAGAGACTATCACCAGGTTTTAAAGCGTAGTGTAAAGCACACCTGTGGCAGCCCGCATGCCTTGCAGATTGACACCGCGTTTGCGGACCAGGCTGTCTGGAACGACAGCCTGGGACCAACTTCAACGATCCGCCCCTCTGCCCCATCAGAGAGCTGGCTCTCCTTGCCAAAGTTTTCCGGCTCGTAGGTCTCTGTGAGGAGCCACGTGAGAGTCTCCCACTGCTTGGCATCAAGTGGGCCTGTCAAGGCAATGTTGTAGCACTGCAGGAGGAAAAACTTGGCTCAAACCAGGGCCTCTTGTTTACCGTCAGTTCTTAAGCAGAAGGATAGGCCAAGTTCCTGCCACACAACCATAACAATAGCCGGCTGCAGTTGTGGAAAGGTGGCTCTTGAACACGCTATTATAAGTACATGTCAAATGTGTGGAACATCTACTTTGATTTCAAGCAGCAAAACAGGTCTAAAATTGGCCACAACTGTTGGGGGTGCATATAAAAATGTAGTGGAAGTAGCCAAAGTGAATCGCTCGTGGAAAAATGGAGGAATAATCGCTGCACCAGCTTGGGACCAAACAAAGTGGTCATATCTGCGGGTGTGCGGAATAGGCATCAATGATGGGTAAAGCACTGCACGTAATCAGTGGAATTAAAGAACAGACTTGGAAGAAGGAGTATGGCGAAGTACGACAGATGAACTTCGATTAAGACAAGGTCGAGGCAACGCACCTGCTCAGTTTCAAGGCCCTCCACCTCGGACGAGACCTTCTCTTGCACCTACAATAAGACAACACCGACCATGAATTGATGTGCCGCTGAGAAGGCAACCGCATGATTTCGCCACCCCAATGGATCGATCTGTCAGGCCAGAGAACAGGGACTCTGAGGGAAGTAGTCTTTCAACACCCTGATGATAATAGATGCAAGCATACCACCCACCACCGACCCGGTGATTTCAAGCGCCTTGTTGCTTTTGAGACAGTAGAACCACCCCACCGATTGCTCGTCTCGTTGTGTTATTAAAAGTTCTTCCGTCCAACGATCCTGATACTGATCCCTAGTATAGTGATGCTTTTTCAGTAGATTGCTTCGAGCAGCTCTTGTTCGGCAACTTGTTTTTCCCATCATCATCAGTTGCTTCTCTCACCTGTCTAAGCAGAGAGGCGGTGGCAGCCGGTGAAAGCAAAGGCCGCCTGAAAAGGTGTGTGACCGTCGCCTGTGAAGCATCTTGAACGTCCGTAGAAACGGCTGTTGCCTACGGAGAAATATTTTTGAATCTTCAAAGTACTATTGCTTGATCACCAATCAAGACATGCTGCCAACCTGTGCGTCCATCTTGCTTGGCAATACTGTGTTCGGAAACAACCTTTCGACCACTCTAGGTCGTGTGTCGGCGCAAGTTGAAATTGTCACAATGCGTGGTTATGAGAGCACACAGCTGCTCTTCACTGTTTATTGACTTTACGAGCCCCAATGAGCTGAGCTCGCCATCATCTACATGATAATGATGACGATGAAAAGTTGGTGAGCAATAACCAGAACTAGAGCCTCGAGCAAAATTCAATGCTGAATCAGTTCGACGTGCGCTTGAGCAACAAGACTGTGTTCGCGTTGACAAATTATTCCTACTCTACAGCTGCTGCCATGTGGAGGCATATTCCGTGGGACTTTATCAAGCCTTACCTGTTCGCTCTGGGCCACAGCCTGAGCCTTGATCACACCACCACAAATTAGCTTTCTTCCCAGGGTTTTACCCCTTGCAGTTTTCAGGAAAATGGAGAAACCCTGTCTTGTCAAGAGCGACCCTGCTTTGCGAAGAGGGCTTTCGACAGGGGCGGCTTGGTGCGGCGAGCAGCTTCCAAACCTGCCATGAGCGCAGTGTCTTCAAATTAGGGTTTGCACCACCATTGTAGCAAACTATCTGCTTTGCCTTCCTCCCTTGCTTCAATCCAGCCTGTTGACATTTTACAACCCATGGCTAAACATGGTGGCAGTTCTTCAGATAGAACCAACTGTTCTTTTTGTGTTTCAAGCGATTGCAGCAAGATCAAAATGGCAGCGACCATTACCACCTTTTGAAGTAATGCAATTAAGGCACTTCCTGGCCGATATGTTTACCGAGAAATGATGATTGGCAGAAATTGACCTGGTGTAGCATACTGGCTCAATCCGTCTGCACAGAAAGCCGCCTACTCCATTCTGTAAACCCAGCATTCCTTTCCGCTCAGCGGTCTGACACCTTGCATTGACAGACGATGCGAATTTTTAGCTTGGAAAGGCAACCTCCCCAGAGAAAAGTGACCAACACACCATCGGAAAGATTTCCACGTAATTGCGACTGCTACGTACCTGGGCCATACCGCGCCCTGCAATGGCCTAGACCCTCTTGGCGAAATTGGATTACCCACCGAACACGTCGGGAAAATAGATGCGGCGGGCAAGCAATGTTGCAAGCATCCGGCCGCCATGACGCCAACTCTGGCTTCTCAAAACTTCCTGCAGAGCTAGGAAAACATTCTCCCACGAAGCAACTTTGGCAAGTGTTGTCGTGATTCGAGAGTGATCCCCGCCACCTTGGCGCATCCACCAGATGCGCATAGGATATGAAGCGTGGTCTTAACACGAGTGCCCTAACCTCTCCGGGTTGAGGCTGTGACAACCGTTTTGACCGTTGGATGACCGATCTCTACGGTGCAGCGTATACCAGTAGAAAGAGCGCGTCAGGTTTCTGAAAACCTGGGATTGTAAGCTTATGGTAGAAGGCATATGCTATGATACGTATAAGGGGGCACTATCATGTGCCGTATATTGCAACCCAGGAGACGAAGCCTTTCTGACGGTTAGATTTGGGAATATTAATCAAATGGACGGCTCAGCTTCCATTCGGCGGCCAGGTCATGTGCTAATCGGAAGTGTTCGAACTTCGAACTTTCGACGCGTCGCACTCTAGATATGATGAATTGATGGTCAAGCGCTTTGATTTGCATAGATAACATTCCGATTTGTGGGGAAGTCATATCGCCACTTTCCAATTTTCAGTGTCCTTCCATGACTGGGTAGATGTGTGGAATGATTATTGCTCGGTCGCTGAATATTCCACGACGTAGTCGCATATACCTACTTATCATTCTTAGGTGGGGTCGGAATATAGAAGGTCATTTGTACGGGCGCTTCGAGTTCTAAATTCCGTCGTCGGCGTTGGGCCAGCATGGGCCTACAGTGCCAGCCACGTCATGCGACAGTGCGAGAGCGTCAATAATGCCGACTCTCGAGCAGAGCCTGCAAGTTTGTTTTTCCCTGCTGCCAAATGGGTTACGTTTAGGAAACCGGCATCGGAGAAGGCACCTTCCTGGAGCCCAAATTTTGAACTTTGAACGCGGAGGACAATCGTTTCCGGCTGTCTGCCGCCAAAAATAAGAGGCCTTGTAAAAAAGGGTCGTCTTGCATCCTCTTCCGGTTTCACCGAATATCTGTGCGGCGAGATCTGTCTAACTGACTTTCGTGCCTTCGGAAGCCCTGACTTCGGCATGTTAGTTGGTCAAGATTCCTGTCAGGCCCGATTTGCAGAAGAGGACGTGTGGGTCGTTTTGCACGACGCTTCAAATTCCTGACAGGTTCCTCGGGCCCGCATCCATCATGGACGGCCACGATCACGCGCCTCCTACTTGCGGAGCTTTGAACCGTCCATTGCGAGGATACCTCACCGAGATATTTGGCTCAGTGCCGAGATCTCTGTGGGACGTGTCGACCCTGTGTCAACCTCCGGGTTCTGCCCATGTCCCCTCATGCAGTGCCGCACCAGTCGGAATGCACTCACGAACAGGACACACAGCATTAATTTTTGGGCATACCGTACCGCAATATCAAAACGGCCTGCAAGTGGCCGTATACAGTTGCGCTCAGTCTGCGCCAAATCCAATCCCTGTCACCCACGCTGCATGATCACCTTCGTTCGGTCCAGGTTCGCCCTGCATTGCTCAATACTCGCACTCACAAGAGACAAGAGCGGCCTTCTGCCTATCTGCACCGCAATTTTGTAGCTCATGAGTCACACCTCGTCAAATGGAGCACGTCCGTCTTTGAGGCGCCAATTTTGTGTTTCCTTTTCTGCCCTTGTCACTGCCCAGCCTCCACCGAATCTCTCCCGTGCTATGGTATTGGTATCGCCCCGCCGCCAGCGCTCCTTCATCCGCAGCTTCGCACTTCTGCCCTATGGAGGTGTCAGAATGCAGCAGCCTGCAGGGCACATCCGCCAGAATGAGCAGCCCTCGCGCGCGGAAGGTATCAAATCTCCTTGCCGGAGATGACACCATCCCTTGCAGCACAAGCGGTGTTGAAGGGGATCATCAGCTGCTCAGGAGATTTGAGGCCACTTTGGACTTGCGGCCATCTGCGTTCTACCTCAAGAGGAGGGCCATGCTGCTCTCCTGGCTCCTTGAGCTGCAAGGAGAGCTGGGGTTTGGATCCACGACTGTACATTCGTGTGTGTTAATGATGGATCGCTTCGCATCATCAGTCAATGTCCCGGAGTCCTTACTGCAGCTGCTTCTGGCGGCATGCCTGTACATAGCAGGTTGGTGCCTTCTCCCTCTGCTTGGAGAAGTTTTGCAAGACACATTTGTGGCCCGTTTTAATCTTGTCTGCTTGCGAGACTCTGGATCAACCCTTTGCAAATTGGTTTCTCAGCAGGCCTTGCAGGATTGCTCTCCTTCTCTCTCGGTCAGAGCCTTCAACGGCTGTCAAGGTCCATTGTGAACCAACTGTAACCCTGGCACCTTTGCCTTCGTGGTCATTGAAGTGACCGTCAGTCCAGCGCTTTGATCTGTAGCTGCAAACCTTGACCTTTTTTAGATCCTCAGCGGGGCGATGCTGCTCTATGGAAAGGGTTTTTTGACATCTATGGGTTGCATGAGCACAGTCCCTTTAGTATATTGTGTCCAGCATCATCCAACAATTGTCATTGCCATTGGATGGAGGTTTAGGTGCATTCTGGCCACATCTATCACTCTGAATCATGCGCATATGCGTATTCAGTCATGAATCAGCGCCAGGCTGATGAACATTCATTTCGTTTCTAATGAAAATGCTCATAGAAGGAGCGCTCCGCCCCTGCAGTGCATGTTACACAATCTTGAACTCACGCGGCGCTCAGCACTCCTTTTTCTGGCCAAAAGAATCGTGAAAGATGATCCAAAGTAAATACTCACTGACACTGTTTGCTCAAAACCCTTCCCGCACAATGCGAGTGATGCATATGACAAAGGATCCTTCCCAAGCACAATCTAGAAGGCAGCTGAACCATACGCCAGTTGCAAACCCTTCCATCATTCTCATGCAGTCAAAATCGAGGATGAGGAGCGACCCATGTCCTTGGCTACCCTCAGCGACCTGACCAGCGACACCTTCTCACCAACCATGATCAGCCAAATGGAGTCGAAGGTCCTCTCTGCTCTTGGCTGGAAACTGGCGCCGGCAACCACTGCTCGCTTCCTGGACATCTTCCTTGAGGGATATGAGAAGATGTGGGCCACCGGGTGCGCTGAAGAGGCCGACTTTCTGTTCATGAGAGACAGGCTTGGGAAACTTGCGGACCTGTGCATATTAGGTGAGGACTGCAATCCTGGTCTGCAACAACAATCATAAAAGTGTCAGCCGTGACACTCAGCTCGGAAGTTGCTGCTTGGAGTTGTTTCATCGCACTTTGACCACCAGCAGTAGGCTTTCAGCTTTGCTCCAAGTTTTATTTTCCCGGTCGTTCTGTCTTATATACACCAGTATCTGCTCTGGCATCCACCAACAAGATCCAATGGGTCTGGCCAGGGACCAACTCCCACCTAGTTGCGAGTCCTAGGGTATTGCAGCCTATCTGCAAGTTGCTTCTTGACCATCATGGAGCATTTGGTATTCGTACCAGTCGTCAAAGATCGTTGTGGCTACTAGCAGCACCACTGTTACTCATCTTAGGGTACCTCAGTGAATGCATTAGAATCTTAGTGGGACACGTTATTCATCGTAGGTTGTCCTTCTTGCAGATCCTCACCTCCTGCAATTCCGACCATCGCTCCTGGCAGCCACCCTGCTTTACATGGGCCACTCACGCATCGTGTGTCCGAATGGACCATGGTCCAGTGCGCTTGTCACACTGACTGGTTACATTGAACAAGACCTTGCTGTGTGCTACTCTTCCTTGCAAAGGTAGGTGTCCAAACAGGATAAACGATTGATGTTTTTAGCGTTGCTGCTGATTCAGAATATGACTTGTAGTGCTTAATTTCAACAGAGCTAAGGTGCTAGAAGCAAGGCGTTGTTGCTTGCCTGACCGAGGTGATTACATCATTTGGTTCCTACCCTAATTTGGCGCAAGTCAAGTGCCTGACAGTATTGCAATCTGCCTGCAGGCTTTGGATGAAAAGCACAATTTTGACACCTCAAGGGAGAATCGATACGAAATCCATGGACACTGGCGTCAGTCCACGGACTCCTCTCGAAGCCGCGGAAGCCTTAGATAGTTGCTCTGAGTCTGGGGATGACACCAATACGTGGTACTAATACAAGTGTTGATCAGTTGTGCTCGACCAACGAGGCAGGCCACTGGTAGAGATTCCAATAGATAATCAGGTATCCTTTTGCCAGGTCCCAACCATGGACTTGATGTTCTTAAGGAAGCAGTCAATCGGTCATAATGTGATTCTTCTTCGCAAACAGTTCAGGTTCTAGAGTTTGTCAGGTCGACTTTGAAGATGAGTTGAAAGTTCTAAGCAAATGAGCAGTGTAGGCGTCTAATCCAGAGGAGTACTCTGGTCCCCTTTGTTAGGAGGAATCCGAGCTATTTAGACCAGAATGTCCAGTATCCCTTGTGAAGGTGTTGTTTACAACGAATCCAAATCAATGAAGTGCGCTGCTGGCATGTTGTAGCCTGTTTCCAGGAGTTGCTAAAGAGGATCGGAGCATTGAATGTTTCCAAGCAGTCAGATTGTTGGCCATTGCTGTCTCAATAGCATAAAAAGGTATGTAGCAATCTTCGATCTGGCCTAATATGCAGTGGCGGCAGTGCTGGGCACTGATCATGGTATGGACCGGCTTTCTTAGGATGTGCACTTCCGCAAAATCCACGAAGTGCATGGAAAACAGTCTGTCATTGTACGTGTGACTTGCTATGTGTGAAGGAAAGCTTTCAGGCTCATGTGGCATTATAATCATTGATAATTGAACTCACCTAGATGCTGTGGCATTCACCTTGCGGAAAAACTTTATCATTCTTTTAAAGGTCTTGCATATTCCGCGATAACTGAAAACGTTTGGCCACAGGTACCATAATTGCCCCCCCCTAGCTACCACTGTGGCATGCACTTGCCATGAGCAGCCGGTGGATCGCATGAACTGCTACGCAAAGCAACTTAGTCGCATGACATAGTCGATGCAGTTGACGGTCGCTATATATCCTTACAAACTGTAAAGAGAGATAAACAGGCCGCTGACGAATGTCAACTGACTTGACTTGCTCGTGCACAACTGGATCTGCGTCGATCCTCAAAACCAAAACGCACCTTACCCGGGCTCCAACACCAGAATATAACAACTTCAACACCCAGTTCCTATCATGCCTTGACGTACTTGTCGAACCACGCGAAGGTCCTGGACCATGCGAGGTCAACGGTGCTCTGATCGTGTTCCGGCAGGCCCATCGACTTCTTCCGCTCCACGGCCTCGGGGGACTGGTTCATAAACGCGTGCCCCTGTCCGGGGTACATGTGCAGCTCGTGGGTGCACCCGGCCTTCTCGAGCTTGTCCGCGAAGGCCTTGGCGTCCTGAGACGGCACGTGCATAAGGGTTTGAATTCAAGCGCGGGTTGATGACCTCCTGTCTCGCTGTTGGAGACGAAAAGTTATACAACGGCTTTGTTTGGGAACGGGGCCATTACTGCGGAGCTGGAATGGAAGATGTAGCAGCTCAAGGAGGACAGCGAACTTGCAAGCCAACTGCTAGCGTATCATATGGAGGACGTACACTTTCGACGTCTATGTTGATGCTCAATCGCACCTGAAGTGTCCTGTCTCAATTCAGGATCTCCAGCGTTTTCTACGACTACTCTTGAGTTCGCCAGAGTTTCATTCAGTGAGCGAGATTATGGAATCGAGGATGGAAAAAGAGCAAGTTTCCGAATCAGGTCGGCTGCGGAAATGGCTCCGTGACACAGGGATGCCCTGTTATTGTGCCATTATAGAGTGTTCCGTCATGCTGAAGAAACTCGGAAGTCTGACAAAATACCCGGGAATCGAAAGAAACGGCAGTCAAGTAACGTAAATAACACCGCCAAGACACGCAACCTCACTGCAAGACCCGTCCCCCGTGACAGAAACTCCAAACCGTCTCTAGGCACGTAACTTAATACCCATCGATCGCCAAAATTTGGGAAAAAGGAAAGACCCGTCGCAAAGCGCAGCTTTTGGATATTCCGACCACCAACCCGATTCTACGTCCCAGACTTCACGCAAACTACTTGCCGTCGTGCTGACGTAGCAGCAGACGTACCTCGGGCGCGGAGAAGCCCTTCATGCCGTCCACCTCGCCGAAGTGCGCCTGCACCGGCTTCTGACACGTGGCAGCATCCGCCAGCTGCGGGTTGGGCGTGCCGTAAAACACGACGGCCGCGGAGATCTCGGGGACGCGGATGGCGGCAACGGCGGACAGTGCGCCGCCCATGCAGAAACCGACGGCTCCGACCTAAGGAGAGGTTAGGATGCTGTTAGCGACCGGGTTTGGTGAGGTTATGGGTTTCTCAATCGTTGGCTAATTGAGGATTGCCTGCAGACTTCGTTCTATGAGATTTGTCAGCGTCAAAGACAGAATCTGAGCAGACTTCGCCAAGTGCAGTGTGGAAGAATTGGCCCGGAACAAATCCAACATACCGCTCGAATGTAGACGACAGAAACGAAGAGTGGCTCTTTACGCGGTTCCATGGAAGGAGACAAGATAGAACACCGCACATCTCTCAGAAGCTGGCCGGCCTAAATTGACAACGATCTGAGCCTAGCACAGGGTCTTGGCCATTTGAAACCATAACACGGCTCAGAGGCACGGACTGATTTTGGCAGGTGCGAACTGAGGTTTGAGTCAAGCGGCAGAAAATGGTGGTGTGCGCTGCTGCCCCAAGAAGAACCGAAAGCAACACGCGATTGAGAGAATGCGGCGTTTATAGGGTTTACAATTCTGGGGTGAATGTTTCGGAGTTCCGTTGATAAGGATTCAATTCGGTGTTGTTGGCACTGCTAAGCAAAAGTATAAGTCAAACCGATCCCAGCAATCTGCTCAATAAAGACTAAAGCATTCCAATATGGAGGTAAGACCGGACTTAAAGAGGGCGTCTTGGGACCCGGAACGCCTGACATCAGACAGCGACGGCGAAGCATGGATTTTTGGTGTTCTGTCGCCAAGAAGTTGGTATCGGAGGTTGTGACCCGAGCGCTGGACCCTGCTAAAAGTGGCCCGGTTGATGACGTTGCGTAGACGGCCTCTTTAAGGTAGCACTCTGAAGCAGATACTATTTAAAAAGCGTGAAAAGTTCCTTAACCCAATTCGTCAAGTACTCCGTCGATCTTACATTGGGGCTCCCCTCCTGGAGCAGGTGCCGCGCGCACGCAGTGATGTCCTGAACGGAGTTCGACCAGTCCAAATTGTCCATCAAGTGGTGGGCCTCTGCAAAAGGAAAGGCCCGCCGGGAGATCAGTCAGTCGTGCTCTGAATCAAGCATCTGCTACCATCGCCTTACAGGTTGATTCGGGCGACCAGATATTGCCTCCCGAGCTTGGCGACTAAGTGCATAAACTTGGACAACGACGTCAGCGGAAGAGAGCGGAAGAGTGTTCAGCTTGTCTCCAAGGATGGTCACAGAGCAAAAGCTTGTTTTCAGGAAGGCGTTGACTGGGCAGGGACAGTGAAGCGTTGATTGGGCAGGGAGAAATGCGTTTTGTAAACCTTCTTGGTCAGATAAGGGAGGCAAAGAGGCTAACTCAAACCAGCAGCGTTGGTATTTCTCAAAAGAGGACTTCACTGCGCACGTTGATTGGTTGACGAGTTGGTCTGAACCACGACTTCGACATGAACAAGGTCGCGAAATCCTCTCGGAACCTGGTATGGTGAAACAACGTTCAAGCAACTCTCTGACGTTCGACAGACCACTTTCACAGACCGCTTTTATCTGGTGCCAATTTTCTAACTGGACTCTCAGCTGGATCGGATGAGTGATCGCCATCCTTTTCATGACGATCTGCAGCCAGCTTTTTTAACCTGCTTACCTTCCATATTAGTTCCAAGCTTTCCCCGGTACAGGCTGCACAGAAACGAAAAAAGTACATTTGTAGAAAGCTGACAACCCGTATGGTAGCGTGCAGCACTATCAGCCACGGGCGTCATGTCTCTGAAAAAAGATCTGGGTTTGTTTGGATGGAAGCTGCAAACCTCGAATTGCTCCCCCGGCTATTGTTCGCCCTGAGTAGGCGCACGGTACTTTGACGCTGATCGGGACAACTAAAGAATGAGCAACAAAGCCAAACAATAATGATGAGATGATTGGTAATGAACGATAGCAAAACGATGAGCAACTTCAAACTCAGTGATGCAAGTAATGTTTTAGCTTGCCTAACTCATATAGTTTGTTACCCAGTGCTTACCAAGCCCAAGATTTGGCTTTTCAAGGACGAGCTTGGTCTGTTTGATTTCTAGTCAGTGGTGGTTGGGACCTGAGCCCCTGAAGAGTACCGCTACCTTTCTCCCAAGGTAGAGCTTTATCGTTGAAAACGCTATCATCTTCCACAAGTCACAACAGAGTCAAAGAAGGCGACGTTCTTGATGTTGGCAGCTCGTAGAGAAACGTGTCGCAGAGAAAGTTCACGAGACCGCAACCTGCATTTCGCATGAGCAAGGACCCATCTGATAATGTGGCCCCACTGGGGCTCACATTGGTGGGGCGCACTGTCGAGCGAAGCAATCTGCCATAGCTTGTTCAAGTGCCATGGATCAAAGTTGCACAGGCGCCCGCACAACATCCATGAAATAAACACTGTCCTAAGGGAAGAAAACTTACTCTGGTACCAGCACGCGGAAGCCTTTGCTAGCCACAATCTTGGCCTGCTTCTTAATCTCATAATCAATTCCCCACCATTCCTGCAGAGACAGGCGTCGACCGTCAGGCAATCCCAACAAACAGCGGTGATGGAAAAGGCTTTACTTTTATTGTTACAGCACTTGCTTGGTCAAAGTGACGGGGGGTACCGATCTTTCATTTGTGTGAATAGGTTGGGACATGGCCTGAGTAAATACATTCCCCTCATCAGAGGATTGCAACTTTGCAAGCATCAAATCCTGTTAGACTTGCATCGATCAGCTCAAATACTAGGTGCTCCAGAATGTGGTAGCCCTTTTAATCTGCCTGATTGTTATCTTCGTTGTAGGTTGACGGAAGGGATCCATCCTATTCCAACAGCGATGCATTTTCCACAATCGAGGCATTCTCAAGCGCAGCACTCCAAATTGTTACCTTATTGTGCAAGCTGGTGACACAAGAACCTTGCTGCAAAGTACAACTAAGTTCTCCAAGAGAGTTGCTCCCCGCAACCTTCCCAGAAATGGCCACAGTACATCAACCGGAAAGTACAACTTAGACAAGCAGACAACAACTTGCTGGAGAAAGAAAACGAGGCCAGACACTGTTTAGGGTGATTCGGCTGTTGAGTCACCTACCTGCAGCACAACCAACCCCGGTGCACCTTTCTCGCCGATCACATATCCTGGAAAGTCTGGCTCCTTGCTGGCCTCGGTGCCCTTCACCGTGATCTTCTCCAGTTCTCCAGCCATGCTGCAAATTGTTGATTGGTTGGTGGCGGCGATGCAGAAATCCAATGGAAAGCTGACACCAAGATATCCAAATGAAGGTCGGATCCTACAATATGGTGGCTTTCCCTCCAATGCAGCTATCCCTGAAAGACAGGAGAAATGTGAACAAACGCAGGATTCAGGAGCTGGCAATGGCTTCCTTTGCATATGGCAGCTTTGCATGTTGTTCCATGGGCTATGCTGACGCCCGTCATGACGTCCGCAAGGACCTGGGCTTCGTCCACGTTACCTGGCGGTATTCCCGCCTTCCAGGCCAAAACTCTTGTGTTCGATACGAATCAATAGCCACTGGTCACGGAGACCTTGAAAATCTTCTGGCGTCGAAGTAGCGGCCCCCATGTCGGTACGTACCTCCTTCCGACCAAAAAGTAACTTCTCGAATCTGCTTGTCCGAACTCGGGATTCTCTCAACAATGATTACGTATGAAGCCTGATCGAACTTCGAAGAGCTCTGGGCAGGCGGGCCTAGGTTTAAATCACCAGTGACTGGAGACCAGTCCGATCATGCTGTTTTGCGTTGTCACATGGGGTCCTTTGAACAACGAGTACGGCCGGTATGCGTGTCCTAATGGTCCGTTCACTTGTTGTCGTGCTGCCCGTTTCCTGAAATGCTCATGATTAATTATCAGTTTGGCAATCTGCTTTCTCCTGAATTCTGCAGCCCGGGCCGAACGTATGGACCTGTGGATCGACAATTGCTTTGTTAACCTGGCCAGAGGCCGACATTGTTGGGGCATTAGGTCTGCCTTTTACATACAAAGATCTGCATAACATATAAGATAGAACGGTGCATGTGCAACCGGCTTAATATGAAACCTTAATGAAGATCGACCCGGTTCTCAAGTGATAATGTGTGAATGATGCCAACGATCAGTGGGCTGATCAACCAGTATGGTCGGACTCAAACCGGCTGCTTCGAAGATGGGCTGAACCTCGAAGAAGGCATATGTGGCGTTTTACTCGAGCGTGCATTCATGAATTGAAGTCCTGTGACAGAGGGTTCATGTGTGTCTGATTGACCAAGGGCCAGCCCAACGGCAACAATTACACCCCGATGAACACGAGCGGCCTGAGAATGAGCATTTCTTTTCTGTCCCAACACAAGTTCGTCCAGCCAAACACAGCTTAATCAGAACTCGAAGCGGGATAGTTGCGTCGTCGCTTCTGCTAGGTCCTTTTGGACCTTTTTCCGCCGGTAGAAGATGGGGCAGTCTCGACTGCACACCGACACGAAAGATCAGACGGCAGTGGTACACGGATGCTCTGCAACAACATTACTGGCCTGGGAAAAGCACTCGCATTCGTACAGACTTTTCCAGCACAGACGCGCATCACAAGACACAGACGCGACAGGTATGCAGGCGTAATATGCTTTAACGAGGAAACACAAAGCCCAATCGAAGGGAACGGTCACTGAGAATACCAAACAAACTTTGCCGCATAGCATGACCTGATCTGACCTAGTAAGAGAGTAAAGGGGGCCCAGATATTCTGTAGCCTTCCGTAACAACAGCTTCGAGCCAAGAGAGGGCTGCGTTGCAGAAATTGTTTCTTGGACGAACCTTACGTTGCTGAAAACGGCCAGAGGAAACCGCGTAGCAAGGAATGTCGAACACAGCCCAATATAGCCTGGTAGCACAACAAAGAGGAACGACCCAAAGAACGCCACGTGGCAAGAGAATTTGCTGGGAGAGTGACACGTGGCGCTCACCTGGTGCAGAGGACGTCCTGATGCAAACTGCCTTGGCACCGTTGGCACTGCGTCCAAAGTCGTCCGAACAGGTCCTCCATCTCCCGCACTGCACAAAAGCCGAACGGAACGATGTTGAAGCGGAACGGGAAAACACATGGTCATGTCGGATCTTGTGCCTTTGTGACGAAAGTTGGTTCAAGAGGTCAAGTCATGTAGTCTTCCAGCGATGGGTGGTTCCAAAAGTCGTAGCTAACAACTCAGATTATATAAAATTGTCAGGAGCTCTGTCTCCCAAAAGGGACAAAACGGGGTTTCAATGGGCTGGACTTTCAGACGTCATCCAACTCGCAGACTTCGCACGCTGAATCAACAGTGCTTTGGATGCACAAGTCCGGTGACTCGGAACGCGCAGTTGAAACACGGTACTACCCGCAGCAAAAGCAATCGATGCAGGTTTCGAGAACGTACCAACGAGGGCTTGAGATTTTTTGATTCAAAGCAGACAAGCGCAGGTTCCAGACAGCCCGGAGCGCATTCTCACCGTTATGTACACTCTTCTGGTACAGCTCCGTCTCCCGTTTCCCGCAGTGCTCGCAGACCGTACCCTTTCTGCGAATGGACAAGCGGCACGTGTCAGCGAGAGGATCAACTGACCTGCGATGATTCGACCTGCTGACGTAGTGAAACCAAACTCCATCGATGCACTTGTGGCATTGTAGCTGCACAAAAGAGTCGATACGGTTCCTAAACCGACCAGGATGAAAGCGGGTCGCTTCCAGCGGATTGCGAGGTCGAAGAGCCACCTGATACGGGCAATTTAGATGGATCAAGACCATCAACTCTGGATAGAAGGCGAACTCGTACAGCATGATTCAATCTCGCTTTACTGCTGTGTCCGAGCCACCAATTTCAGACTTTCACTGTGTAATGTCGAGGTTTTGGCTTGTTAGGGGCTCGGCAGAGACTGCCACAACGAAGCAACTCCTCGTTGGCTGTGAAAGTCTCCTAAGGGGCTCAGGTTCGCAAAATACATTCGAGTTTGGAGTATGGGGATTTGGCTTCGCTAGCTGCGTCTATGAGCGCCGTTGCGGGACGAGACAGCATGGCATAATTGCAGCCCAGAATCCTCTCAGAAATCAAAGCGGGGTTGCAAAGGCAAGTTGGAAAACAATCTAAAGCAAATAGCGAACAGACGATAAAGAAAGCGTGGCCACCTTACAGGCGTCCTGCAAGCGAGGCAGCTGGAGCCCGTTCTTGGCTAGTACATGTTGCTCCTGCTTGCAACAAAATGGAGCAAGGAACGAACAAAAGTGAAAAGGCGTATTCAGAAGATCGAAAGGTTCTCGCTCACTCTATAGGCGCTTTGCAGCCGAAACAGCTGAGCTGCTTCTTGGCGAAACCTTAACGCTCGCTTTCTTGAGAAGAACGAAAACAAGAAGTTACAACCGAACAAGCAGAATCGCAACACCAGACAACAAAGAAACGTTGCTCACTCTATGGGCGCCTTGCAACCGAGAAAGCTGAGCCGCTTCTTAGCAGCCTCTGACTTTCTGTCTTCCCCAGATGCTTTAAGGAGAACTAGTAAGTAGCGACAAACTGAACAAGTAAAAAGCAACGCGGTTAACCAAATATGACCGAGAAACGTTGCTCACTCTATGGGCGCCTTGCAGCCGAGGCAGCTGAGCCGCTTCTTGGCGAACTTCATGATGCCCCCCACGGTCGGCGTCAGAATGGACACCGCGCGCGTGTGGTCCCCGTGGAGCAGCTCCCGCGCCGCGTTCTTCATGATCGGCTCGAAAATGCGCAGCAATGGCTGCAGAGGGAAATGACGTTACAATTTTGAGAGATACTAAGAATCACAAGGATTTGAAGAGGTTGAAGAGTTTCGTGCACTGAAGCAAATTGCGCGCCTTACTCTTCATGATCGGCTCGAAGATGCGCATCAACGACTGCAAAGAAACGGCGAGTATGAGATTTAGAAGCGTTTGAGGTTCGAGGGTTTTGGGCTTTTTGGAGTTCCAGGGTAGTGTGAGCGAGGAGGGGTGCGGTTTCTCATGATCGGCTTGACGATACGCTGCGGAGCATTGGCGAGATCAAGTAGTCGGGGTCTCCAGAGTCTGAAGGCTTCCTTTTCTTTTCTGGGCTTATAGTTGAAAGGTTTGAATTTGATGCCTCTGAAGCAGCTCTGCGTACTCCATCAAAGGCTCGGTCATGCAGAGGCTGCGGGAGTTAGCAGCCTCAAGTGGCAACAGATTGGGAGTTTGAAGCGAACTCCAAGGGTTCTCCAGGTCAAGAACCCGTCGGGAAGTTCATAGCGAATGTTGGCTTTCAGGACGGTCCTCATTTCGGATGCAGCGGTGCCTCAGCTGTGGCGCCAGCAAAGCAGGTGCAGGCCCTTGGACTCTGGACTTCGAGGATTCAGCAAGGACGGTTCAGTACGGTCCTCCTCGCCACGAAATAAAGTTGGACAAGATTTTTTCACCTACCCAGTGTGAAGATTGCTCGCAGCATAAGCAAAGGGTGACTTGCAAAGCGAAGGTTTTCCTCCCCTCGCTCGACAACAAGCTACTTGTCTCAAATTCTCAGCGAAGTGCAGAGAGAACGTGCGCCGGATTAGCAATCTCGTGATCTGCTCGGGGACAGCGATTTGTACCCAGTTGCTAACCACAGGTTAGCAAAGTGGGTTAAGCGCTAAAGCGTGCCTCACCTTGCTCAGCTGATTCTCCAAGTAATGCTGGGCGTCGATCGGAATGTTGTTCTCGAGCACGTAGATCGGGTCCTCCGACTTTTCGAAGCCCTGCAACAGCGGAGGGTGCAGGGCTCAGCGGCTTTAGCAGGGTCCGGCGGGTTTAGCAGAGCTTCGCACGTGTTAGCAGGAGGTTAGCAGGGTTGAGAAGGGACTAGCAGAGGTTAGCGGGTTTCAGCAGGATTTAGGGACTGGTCCTTAACAGCGAAACGCTAATGTTTCGTAGATATAACACGCTGCAGGTGAGCGAGATTAGGAGCTTCACAGGTTTGGACAGATGTCGAGTTGAGGTCCACAATGACCAGGTATGCTCGATGCTCGTGGCAGATTCGGGAGCAAGAAATTTCAGGCCGACGCCCACGCGGATTGTGGAGCCTTCTCGAGCTCAAGCTGTCATTCCGACGCTCCTTTTCGGGGGCCCTTCTCGTATCGTGCACAGCGCAATCTCCTCACAAAAGCAATCTTTTGCAACCAGTCTGAGCAAGGAAGTGCACGGGAGAAACTGGCGACGTTCTGGACAGAGTTCGTTACATTCACCATCCCTGGATCTGTCATTCTGCGAATGCGGGACACACTTTAAGCCTTGTCAAACGACCCCTTCGCAGCAAGCTAAAGAACATTGCTCGCTTACCCTCGCCCCCTTTGCCCCCTTGATGATGACGTACGGTACTCGGTCCCCAACGTTTGGCGCCGTCGCGGGGTCGCGCTTGCGCATCCGCTCCGCCAGTTCGCTGTGCGCCGACTTGTTCTCATACTTTTCCGCCGTTTTGGTGAGCCCTTTCGTGATCACGAGCAGCGACAGGTCGACCTTGTTCGTCAGCAGGTTGCTGATCTGGTTCTTGACATATTGCACGGCGCCTGTGAAACAAAGTTGGAAAGGTCAGCAAAGACTGTGCATTGGCGGGCAATACAGCCGGGTCCAGGATGGATTGACGGGGGGAATCACGTACTTCTGTGCAAATTTGGTGAGCCCCTTCTGTATTGAGAAGCAGCGACAGGTCGACCCTGTTCGTCAGCAAGTTGCCAATCTGGTTCTTGACTTATTGCACAGCCCCTGTCGAAAACAGGGGTTTGAGAAAGCTTTTGAGCCAAGACATTGCGTGAGTAAGAGCATCGATAGGCCAATCTTGTTCGTCAGCGGGTTGCTTCGAGTGGTGCACAGCGCATGTTGAAGGTTTGAGTGCGGAAGGGATCAGGTAAATATGTCAATGTCAACTGGCGGGGAACATAGCTGTCCTGGAAATGGATCCATGTGCGTCTTAGACCAGCAATCCGGATCTGCCGACCCCTCTGGTGATTACTAAGAATGAAAGGTCCACCTTGTTTGTCAGCAAGTCGCTGCTTTGGTTCTTGACAAATTGCACAGCGCCTGTCGAAAGAGAAGGGTCACATTGGACCCTGACACAGCGAACCGGAGCCCCTGACTTTGCAGTTTTCCATTTTCGAAAAGCCAACATCGACCCAATAATCAAAATACCGAACGCTCGAAATGACGACTGTAGGTGTAGGTCCCAACGACTTTCCTCCACATTCCTCCTCACCTGGCACGTCTCGGTCGATCAAGATCTTGTGCAGGCTCTCAGTGACCAGGTTCTTAACCAGCAGGCAATTGTCTCGCCGCACAGTCTCAATCCCCTTGGTGTCCATTTTGTCGTACTTGTCTGGAGTCGTCCACAGCAGGCCCGCATACCGCTTCTTGCTAATGAGCAGATAGGGGCAGTAGACCTTCTCGAACTCGAGCTTGATGGGCTGTGATAAGAGGGAAGAACTTGACTTTTGGCCTGAGCAGATTCAGTCTTCACGTCAAGCTGGTTGATTTCCTGTCACTGCAATGACTTTTCAACTCCTCATATACTCAACTTTGAACGTAGGCTGTGATATCAGCGATGTAATTTCGCCTACGGACACTTTCAAACTTGAGCTTGATGGGCTTCGAAAAGAAGCAGAAAAGTGGAGGGATCGCTGGCAACTGCGTTTTCTTTCGCTTCAAAGTTGCCCGTCTATGCAAAACTTTGAGTGCGATGTTAACCAAGACTGCGGGGCCATTGGCAGAGGGAAGAGAATGGATTGATTCGCAAAGCGATACTTTTCTTCCAAGCTTCGAACTTCTCCAATCTGCTGCGTGTCAAATATTCTATGATTTTACGTCCTTCCGGTTTGGTGTGCCGAGCTTGATGCGCTGTTGTACACGAGGGTCAACCAATTCATGCAACTTTTATTCAAAAGCATCCGAATTTTACGCTACATGATTCGGATCATTCAATCCGTTCTGGATTGGGAGCGTCATAAGCAACGGAAAAGCGGGATGACAGACATACCTCTTTCCATGAAAGCAGGGCCCAGTGCACGAAGAGTCAAGAAAACAAGCAGCCAAGTCTTCGTGGCTCACCTTGATGAATGTGGCGCTGACGTAACCGGCTGCTTCCCGACCGAGCTCCATCGCCATGCTGACGTCATCCGGCCCGAACCGGATCATTACCGAGTCGGTGTCTCCGTAGATGACCTGGCAGGAGCCGAGTCAACTTTCCGTCAGGGAGTGGAAAGAAAACCTTCGGGGCAACTAGAAGCGGGGGGAGGATCGGATACTTGACTCAGAAACTTTTCCATCTGCAGCTTTCTGCTGATACGCCTGTGCTGGAATCTGTTGGCAAGCGCACAGCTACAATCAAGGCTGCGTCTCAGATCTGCTAGACTGATGACGCGTAGGAAAAGAAGCTTGCTACCCACGCACTGAGTCTGAATTCACTTTATCTGAACTCTGCTCAAAATACAGGACCCCTTGGTGGTGTTGAGAAATGAGCATATTGTCAGGAACTTTGACCCACAACAAAACCCTGCCTTTACAGCGGACTTGTACAATCGGCGAAACTGACCGTCAGCTCTACCTGCGTGAACGTGTGCTTGAATTCGTGATTCCGAGTCCACAGAGCCGCATGTACCTTGACAACGATTAGAGGCCCATCTAAGCCACAGACTTGTACCCTCTAGTGTTGTCGAATTTGTTCAGCATAAAGACTGGTTTCGCGGGCTTAGTTACACAAATCCACGCCGGAAACCCAACCGATCCTCGAATGTCCTTACCTCAATCTCGATATTGTACCCGTTGACGATATTGAACTTGAACTACACGTGCACTTTGGCGTTGCTAAGACTCCAAAATTTTGAACCATGATCAAGCTCTAACCCTAGATTTAGAGGCCAAGGTCCTCACCTCCACGTCGAACTTGTACTTGTTGGCCAATTTTGTTCTCCATCCTAAACCCCAAATTTCACGCCAATGCAATTCGAACCAAACCCTGAGCACTAGACCCTAAAAAGTAGACCCTATCAATTAAAATAGCGGCCAAGAGCCATACCTCAGCGTCGAACTTGTATCCGTTGGCGATGTTGAACTTGGACTGTACGTGCATCTTGGTGTGTTCGATCATTTGCCGCCCATATGCCGTCGTACTTGAGGAGATTTCCAGGCACGGCAGCTTTCCAACCGTGGCACCCGTGAAGCCGTACACCGAGTTGGCCGACACCTGGCATCACGCAACCATGTGTATGGGTTCAGTATTTGAAACGTTGAGGAGACCAGAAGCGCTTAGGCTTCTATGGATGGAAAGGAATCTCAGAAACGTCGTATCCATGTGTGTGGATTCGAAGAGGGAGGTTGACGATATCAGAGTGCACCGGCGTTTCGAGGCCCGAGAGAGTTTTACGGCTGTTTTTACACAAGCCTATTTAGTAGGGGCTTATTGCGATTTAATTCTGGGCTGTGCTTCAGAAGAGGTCAATGCTTACCGCTCCGCGCAGGGTGCGTGCATACAGTCAGAAGACGTTCACTCAAACTCGGGCCGCTCAGGAGAGTATGTCGCTCAAAGGATCGAAACCAAACCGCTCTCGTTGGCCCTCCAAATAGAAAGACTTGAAAATGAGTACAACTCAACTGAAGACTGCTTTTCCATCACAAGCTCTCCCCACCTTGAGTGCCAGCTGTCGTCCATCCAGCACGGCCTTCTCGAGAGGATCCTTGGCCAGCTTGAGGTCAGCCTTGGCGCGTTTCCGCGCGGCCAGAAGCTCCTCCAGGATCTCAGGCAAGATACCCTGCAACGAACAGAAGACATGTCGACAAAGTGTTCTAGCATCCTAGGAATTTGAGGCTACCAGGCAGGGCTTACGCCTACCTCGCAACGCCTCCACTTTTTTTGGGGCAAGATGCAACAAATCCAACAATTGTCGATCTTATGATCTGTTGCGGAGCTCACTTTTCGACGCCTCGCGGTTCCGGCTTAATCAATTCGACTCGGCGGAACATATAAGTTCGGTATTTCTTTTCGCAGTCGTTGCGAAAACGATTGAGATTTTATTAACGCCTCGAACAATGGATGGCCTTGACATAGCCGCAACGTGCCTTCAATCGCAAAGCACGAAAGACGTATTTCACCAGACTGAGCACGTTGAAGGAAACAAGCAAAAGGACGGGAGCGAGAATCAGCGACCAGCCACCTTTTCCATGTCCGCCTTGACGAACGTGTCCCCCGTCGGCGTTTTGGTGACGTTCTCAGGCCCGATGTCGCTGGCAACCTCCGCCACTTGATTCTTCGGAATCTGCGAGAAATGGACATGATTATGCAGTAAGCTAGAGTAAAGCGAGGGAGGTACTCATGCGTTCGTGCCGTTTTCGTTGGATTTTTGCACCACTATTTATCCCTCAAAGCATTCTTTGGTGGTGGCTGTCAGCAGGCCCTCATTTTGTCAGCCACACCTCTGCCACCTTGCTCTTCGGCTACTTGTCTAGTATCTAGACAAGTAGCCAGGAAAACGTGAGCAACAACAACAACGTGGACAACTGCTGGAGACATGGTGAGGGCTTCACGGCAGTACGCGAGTTGCCTATTCACTGTGACTGTATCTTCTTGTAGGCAAAGCTCTTTCGCTCACACCCTTCATCGAGAAGCTCTCTTAGGTTTACATGTCGGTAGCTCGTGTCATTGGCAGATTACCACGAGGATAAAATCCGGACCTTGCGTTGAGCGCTGAGAAGATTTCGATCGGAGTAGTGGGTTTTACAAAACAACGGAAAAAGCCACGCAGCTTCAGATTTCGTAGTCGAGTTGCCTTCAGAGTTCTCTGCAGCGAGAACTTCTGCATGTGGCCAACAAAGCACCAAGCCCAGATTAGAAATGCGGGATAACCTCGGCCCTTACCAATGTTGTATAGCACAGGTTGTGCGCCATCATGATCGACGGGTACAGCGACGCAAAGTCGAGCGTCGCGATCGGCTTTTCGTAGAAGCCCTGCTTCGCCTCCAGCACCGTCGCGCCCTCATACGCTATGCCGTCGCCCGGTTGACCTTGCACCTTGAGATTCGGCACCAGCAAGTCTCTCGTCCGTGCTTTCCGCATGATCTGAGATAGCACCTGAAAAGAGAAGCAGTTTGGAGTCGGATGTTCAGGAGATGGAGGCATACCTAACGCTATTTGGGCACTAGCAAGTCTTTTATGCGTCTTTTCCGCATTGGTGACAATAATACCTGAAGAACCAGTATGGCGGAATGTGATTGTTTCAGATGTGGCGAGATCGACTAAGAAAGCCTGTTGGGCACCAGAAGGTCTCTCGTGCGAGCTTTCCGCATCGTCTGAAATAACACCTGAAAAAAGGACGTCGGATGGAGTGAAACTCCAGGGAATAAAGAGAACGATAGGGCTTGTCGGACGGCATGCGCACTCAACTCCGCAGTTAACCCAAGCTTTGCATGGGTTTTGTAAGGGACAAATGATCTGTCTGAATCGACGTCTGATAGGACAGAGTAGCTCCGAAGGGGTTCGAAAGAACGAGGGACGAGCAGCGAACAGGTTGAAGGAGAAGTGAGAGACAAAGTGCATGTTGATGTACGAAAGAACGCTCTGAAATGCGTCAACGTTCAACATGAACCCCGGACCCCAAGACGCGGTGTCGAACCCAAGGTGCTGCTGAGACGAGAAATTTTGCTTACAAGAGACTACTGAACAATACAACGAACCCTTGCTAGCACTTCGAAAGCGGTACTGACGAAATTTGAGAAGTGGGCTACCAATGACATTTGATTCTACCTGAAAGCCTTCCAGATTGCATATTTGAGAAAGGTCGACGTTACGCTGACCTTGATGGACTGGCCGCGCGCGAGGAGGAAGCCGAAGGGGACGCCCGTGACACGTGCCATCTCGACGTAGTTGTAGACAAACATCAGCTTATCCAGCAGCCGCTGCGGCAGGTAAGCGTCCTGGCGAAGTGACACGTGTATTCAATTAGCGTGCTCGGTAAGCGTTCTAGAATTGTGTAAGTAACCAAAGAAAAAACTTAGTTTGAACCTAATGAATGATAAGATGAACAGCCTCCTCAGGTTCCAGGCCGATGAACGGAGACCTCAGCAGGTAAGTGTCCGGCCGGGGAGACGTGTGCTTGTTGGAATGCACATCAAACATTTACACTATAAACCACCCCCTGGTCGGCGTAATCCGTTCCGGAAATTGCATGGAAAGCGGACGCTCTAGCAATCACAAGCCAAAAGCGACATATAATAGAATATGCTAGAAGGACCGCTTTCTGCAAAGAAGCTCTATGAAATTCTTACGAGAACAGGGGGGGGGGGGGCTTTATAGAGATAAGAACATGTGTGATCCTGATAATCTGATGACCAAACTAACAACATTAGAAGGGACAGGTATGCTAACATAACCGAAGGTCACGAACGGGGTTCGAACCGAAGCACAACTCCAGAAGCCGGGAGATAGAACAAAAGTGCACGTGAAGGCTTGAACCTCCAACCTTTCCAATATTAGCGGCGTGGAGGCAGACCGTTGTAGACTTTAGAGTCACAGATAAGGTTGGGCCCAAGTCAATGTAAACCGGAACCTGGACAGAATCTCAGCCCCAAACTTCTGGGAACATTTCACGGGCTCCTGCCCATATAGAACACGTCACAAGGTTCGTAACTTCCTGAAACCTCCTAAATCCAGAAACCCAACTTCTACATCCTCCAAACCCACCTTGAGGCAGTAGACGGCGAGGCGGCGGCGCGTGTCGGGGTTTCCGTTTTGGAGGTCGGAGATGATGCTGTGATGCACGTCCTCCTTTTGCTCGCCCAGAAAGATGGCCGACACCGAGTTGAGGGAGTAACTGCTCAGCTTGTAGTCGCGCTGCATCGCCTGAAAGCACAATCAAGATTCGCGCGTTGGTGAAAAGCAGATCATGGCACAGAAACGACTCACAAAAGTGCCAATCGAGTTCAGAGAGTAGCTGCTCAGCACGTAGTCGCGCTGCATCGCCTGATAGAACGCACAAGCGATGGTTAGCGTGCTGATGAGAAAGTGATAAGACAGAAGCGAGTTTGAAAGATGGCGGATACGGAGTTCGAGGGAGTAACTGCTCGACTTGTAGTCCCGCTGCATCGCCTGATGGAATGGAAAACGCAACTGTTACTGCATTGATGATGACGCAAGACGTTGGCACAGAAAGAAAAGGTAACGAACAATCGCCTAACGACTCGAGACTGCGCTTTGTCGACATGCATAAGATAGATTGCTCATTCGACAAATCCAGCTCGCAATGACCAAAGATGCCAACACCACTAAGCCAGTCTTCTTACCCAGGTTAGGAAAAAGCAACACTTAGGACTTGGGGTGTTTAATCTATCATCCACAAAAAGCTTTACTTACGTGGTGCAGATTGGGGCAAAGAAACGAAAGGGCTTGCGTCGCACTTTACCTGGAGGACGTCGAACTGAAGCCGCCCCTCAATCGTGATCTCTTTACTCTCCCGCGTTCCGTACGCTCTGCGAGGCACGACACATTCAGTTACAAGCCGTCGCTGTCGGAAAAGAAGCAGGCTTGGGCAACTTTTGTGTAGAGAAACGAGGAGAAAGAAAGCTTCTCAAACAGGCTTTTCGAAGGTCCCCAAAAGATGCGAGGCTTGTTGACGAGGTCAGAAAAAGGTGCGAAGCTTTCGGATAAGATGTGACGACAGAATGTCGCCTTGAAGCCCACACAGCTGAAGATACACCTCACAGTTGGTTGGTTATGGTGAAAGAGGGCAAGGGTTTCTTACGTTTCTCCAATATGATTTCGACATTTGTTGATGTAAGCTCGGTAAGTCTTCTGACCACTAAAAATCCAACCGAAAATGCTTGCCCGTTCCGCACTTGTACACATACTTAACCCCCCAAAGTAACCCCACGCGTCCTAGGCAGTGGGCCTCATAGTATGTTGCCCTTCTACTGAGTCAGTTCGAGCCTCCTGGAAAGCATCACACTGACACGAGACAGTATTCCGCATCTCAATCCTCGTGTCAATACTCTCGCAGAAGCGGACTTGTAAAGCGCCAGATGAACCCGAAGACCTTCCGAAGAAAACTTCGAATTCGGAATATTTTTCTGAACTCGCAAGCAGCAAAGAAGCCACTGCAATAATCTCACGTGGACGAGGTGATATCGCGCATCTTGACCCGCGTATTCTGCATTCACCCCAGATTCCCAGATTTCAAAGGCCAATGAGTGACCGAATCGCACGAAGTCTTCATACATGCAGTGACAAAAGGGGACGAAAAATGCATGACTCACTTGGACGAGAAGGTGGTGTCCCGCATCTTGATCCGCGTGTTCTGCACTCGCCCCAGGAACTGGAACTCCTGCAGGCCCTTGACGCGGGCGCGCTCGATGAGGTACGGCAGGTCGAAGTTGGCGATGTTGTACCCGATGATGACGTCAGGGTCGACGTCACGCACGAGCTTGGCCCAGCGCAACAGAAGCTCGGCCTCGGTGTCGTGGGAAAAGACGTCAGCGCCGACGATCGGGGAGCAGGAGTTGAGCGTCATGACGTTGCGGATGAGGGGCTTGGAAGAACCTTGGAGGGTTACCAGGTTGGCGATCTGAAGAAGCGGATTAGCGAGCAGTTAAATGTGGGTTAGTGGAGAATATATCCTGAGATTTGGGGGGGCAGGAGTTGAGCGTCATGACGTTGCGGGATGAGGGGCTGGACGAGCCTTGGAGGGTCACCAGGTTAGCGATGTGGACGAATGGGTTAAGGGTCGAGTATTAACGAGTAAGAGTCAAGAGTCAGGGGTTACGCAGGGAGAATGGTTCAGAGTTTGCATGGGGAGTTAACGGAGGCAAGGATTCAGGCTTAGAAGCTGAAGAAGGACTTGGACGAGCCTTGGAGGGTCACCCGATCGGTGATCCTTGGAGGGTCACCCAGATCGGCGATCTGGACGAGCAGGTTAGCGAGCAGTTGAGACGCAGGTTAGTTGAGAATATCTTCTGGGGTCCAGAATTCAGCGTCATCACATTGCAGATGAGGCTTGGAAGAGCCTTGGAGGTCACCAGGTTTGCAATTTGGAGCAAGGGCGAAGCAGGGATTCAATCTTGAGCTAAAGTAGAATTTTGAGGGGGAGTTTTAAGACATTCCTAGAGTTGGATGGTTGTGGAGGAGTCGTGTAGAGTCACCTGCATAGCGAACTGGAGGAGAGGATTAAGCAGAGGGTTCTGATTTTGGGTCGAGGAGTTGAGAAGGAAAATTTCACGGAGGTAAGGCGTTGAAAGACGAGGACAAATACGAGGAGGCCTTTAGAGGGTCACCAGCTTCGCAATCTGGATAAGCAGCTTAGCGAGCAGCTGAACTGTGGGTTTGTACGGGACCTATTTTACTGCACTCTGCTACCGGAACAGTCGAGGGTCTGGACCATGAAGAGGGCATGAAGCTGGGAGAAAGGGGCTTGGTGAACCCCAGAAAGGGGCCAAGGTTCAGACACAAGTGCATCTTCCCACCCGGTATGCACAAGTAATGACTTGGGTGCCTACACTCTCTCCTCTTCGAACATGATTGCAGCTTCAAGTAGAGACTGGAGAAAAGAAAGCATGGGAAAGACACCCCAGAAACCGTGCCGTGCTCAACTTGAACGGAGATATTTCGCATCGCCCGACGACGATATTTGGACTCATGACTCCATCAGCAAACGAAGAAAATAGAGAGCATGGGACTAAGATCGTACCTGAATGACGGGGTCCTCCTTGGCATCGGGGAAGTGGCCCTTCCGGCCTTGGCACTCGATGTCGAAGCTGAGGATCCGGAACGGAGCGAGAGTGGAGTAGAGACCGGAACCGCTCGCGGGGTGGCTAATCAGCTTATCGAACATGACGTCAACCTGCACGAACGACGATCAAGGAGGGGTGTTGTGGATGCTAACTCCGTCGTCTTATATTGAAACAAAGTGGCCAGGCCTATTGTCAAGGAGAAAGGATGGACGCGAGAGCAATACCTAACTCCGAAGGGGCGGCACGCTTAAGCTCAAAAATCACAAAATCCACCTTTGATCTGGTGTAAGGGAGCAGGTGCCTGCCAATGTCCAGCGCCAGGCCCCTGCCAAACCCCCGAGCAAGTACAAGCAAAATCGGTGCAGGCTGTAGCAACAAGAAACACTGAGCTAAGCTTTTTCACCTATCTGACGCAAAGATCGTGGCCTGTTCAACCAGCAGGCCTCCGCCAAAAGCTCGAGCAAATCTTACCAGATCCTCTGATAGAAATTCTTGGATGTCATAACGCCGTAAGTCCCGCCCATCTCAATCTGGCAAGACGACTTTGGCCTGCCCTGGTTGAGCCGGTAGGCCCTCAACAAACCCCCGAGCAAGTACCAGAAGAACCTCCAATGCTAAAAGTGAACCAGGATGTTGTGATCCAACGCACCTCGATCTGGCAGAAGGACCGTGGCTTGCCCCTATTGGCCGGTAGCCTCCCGCCACCATTTTCTGAGCAGGACTACCAGAACCTGTAATGCAAACCCAAGAACGCTGAGATTAAGCCAGATTTTTACGCACCTCGATCTGGCAGAAGGACCGTGCCCTGCCCCTGTTGAGCCGGTAGGCCCCCGCCGGGAGCTCTATCCAGTTGCACCCCACAATGCTGCGGTCAATCATGAAGCGCAGTGCGAAGAGGACGTTGCTCTCGTACGTGTCCGTTGGGAGGTAGACCCCGTTGGCCATCAAACCGCGCTCAATCAAGCCTGCAAAATGAAACTCCAGAGTTCGGTTATTTGGTCCGGACAAACTTGCATTTGATGTTGCGGTCAACCGGGGAGCGCACTGCGGAAGAGGAAGTGGCTCTCGTACGTGTCAGTCGGGAGGTAGACCCCGTTGGCCATCAAACCGCGCTCAATCAAGCCTGCAAAACGTAAGAGAACTTTTCTTTCAAATCGGCGATTTTAGTAACAATGCTGCGGTTGATCGTGAAGCGCAGCCCGAACAGGACGTTGCTCTCGTACGTGTCGGTAGGGAGGTAGACCCCGTTGGCCATCAGCCCGCGCTCAACCAATCCTGGAGAGAGTCTACTTATGCAATTCAGACATCTTGCGCAAGACGTTGTGGTCAACCAGGGAGCACAGTGCGAAGAGAGTGGCTTTCATACGTGTCGTTTTTGGAACAGCTCCCGTTAGCCATTAACCCACGCTCAATCAAGCCTGCAGAAAGCTCAAGAATCTGGCTTTTCCGTTCGGAGGTTTTCGCAGTTGGTGAAGCAGTCGATTATGGAGCGCACTTCAAAAAGGACGTTGCTTTCACAGGTGTAGGTTTTGAATGGCGACCATCGGCCCTCAGCCCGCGCTTGATCAAGCCTGGGTGGGCATCCAAGGACACCAGGGTTTCAGATATCTCCAGGGCCATTGAGCCTTCCACAATATCAATGTATCCTCCGTCCTCCGCTTTGGGTACTGTGCGCTCCAGCAAAATCCCTTCCACAGTCCACAGTCAAGTCTCGCGCTAAGATCAGTCATTTGTCCCCACCTCTGAGCGTCGCCACCATCGTTGGGAGCGCCAGCGTGATCTTGAGGAAGGGCCGATTCCGTTTCCGCTGGTAGTATAGCACGCTCTGCTTCCGCTCCACTTCGATGTCCAGCACGTTTGACCCCGGCCGGCCACCTTGCCGGTCCGCATTTGCGAGCGCGGTCTACAAGGGAAGGGATTGGGGTGACCATGGGTCCGGCATTACTCTGGTGTTTTCAATCCCGGATTTTTATATTGGCATTCACAACACGTCAGATTGCATCTGGCAAATCGTCCCGCTAGACCGGCCCGGTTAGCGCAGTGAACAAGAAAATATCTTTTCGTCTGAGGGTTTGATGCAAAAGCTCTGAGCAGTCAAACCCCAAGGAAGAGAAATCGTACTCCCAAATTCGGGCTAGGCATACCCTTGGCTGTTGGTTCTCAAAGCTGGCACAGCCATTTTCTCAGAATCTGGGATGGCTCCAAATTACCGAGAAAGTGGTTGAAAGCATTGCTTGGTCTCAGAGGGATTCCGGCGATGCCCTTCACAACTTCTGACATTCCTTGATCCGGAGATCTGCTTTCTCGTTGACAGCGGTTCGGGACTGCAAGAAGCTAATGAGACACGGAGCAAGCGGATCTCACGTCAAGGTCCCTGAGGTAAATATCACGCGAGTCGGGGTTGTACCCTGGGGGTAGGGGGATGTAGAAGTACGGCTCAAAGCCATGCACAAAGACGCAGACGCTGTTGCCTGCAAGAACAAACCAGAAGTGCTAATCATGAATAAGCATTCATGTGAGTGCATCCTATGAGTAGACTCCAAAGAACCTGTAAGACAAAGGATGGGTGCAGGACGCTGGTTCACACCGAGTCTGACTTGAAAACTAACCCGAGTCTTAACCAGTCCGTAGAACATGGAAGCACGATGAGGCTCATTCAGGCCCAAGTTGCTTCCAATCTGCTAATGCTATCCTAATGCAGCTTTTGAGACTATGTTTAAACCGTGGCGAAAATGCTGTTTTAAGAGGCATGCGATTGCCCGTGCCAACACCCTTCTCCAGCACCAGCCAAGCAACGGCTGCTATGTGAACTCAGATAACTTGGCATGTCCGAGACTCTAACATTAGCTCCCAGGGCCTAGCAGCGCCCCATCAGGCGCCCTTGTGATACCCCAACCATGAGGGCAGGTAGAGATGTTCAGGCAGGTGCAGGTTTCACCAAAGCCTGACAAGGAGCCATACCTTGTGAGTTGACACCAAACATTCTGATGATTGCGGCCTTGTCGGACCTTCGGTAGGGGAGAAGGTCGCGATTGGTCGTGCCAACCACATAGTCGATGTCCAGCTGCTGAAAAACTGCACACAGGATCAAGGCCAGGATTATGAAATATGCCGCACGAGGGAGGTCAAGGTATAGTAATGGGCAGTCTGCCAAAGAATGAGTTATGATCGAGGGCCAGGTTACGAAATGTTACGCTTTACGCTTTATGCATGCGATGGTGGCAAATCATGATTCTACCAACCATACAACAGTTGCTGCATCATGTTTAGAGCCACGAAAACTTGGAATACTTGGTATGGAGAACCAATTAACTGGGAGTTTATTGTTAGCAACGGTTAGGAAAGCACTTACTTCTTAGCAGCTGTAACATTCCGGCCTGGTGCCTCAATGGATCAGGAGGCATCAAACACAGCAAACACCAGAACTTTTCCTTCTGCCGACTGGTGAGACTTAGCGAGGAATGCTATCAATTCAGACCTATCCTATGAAGCTTGTCACATGTGCAGAAACATTAGACACTGCTCGCTCCATGTTGCCGCCCCCCGCTTTGCTGAGAACCAGCTGAAGTCTCTCCCATCTGATCGACCCGTGTGAAGCGAAACCTCCATGGAAATCAAGAAAAACCCTAAACTTGCAAAGACTTGCCTATGTCATCTGTAGCCTGGTTAATGGGGGGCTCTACCGGCGGCCGCTTCCATTGGCGCATCCTCTCATCGTCCCCACCCAACCTGATCTCAGCTGCAGCGGGTGGTGCTTCCTCCTCAACATAAAACTCCTCCTCCTCCTCCATAAAGTCAGGGTCTTCAAACGGGTCAGGCGAGTCCCCCGGGGTGTCATGTGTGGGGCCCCCATTCAGACGCTTTGAAGGGGGCGGTGCACCCACCGACTGCATTCCGGGGCGCTTGCCGGAGGTCTGCATCTTTCTCTCCCCTGCTATTGGAGCATTGATGGGATTGCGTCGAGGATGTTCTTGGCAATTAGAACTTCTGCAAGTGGGGGATTGCTAGTAAGCTGTGCCTAAAAGAATATTCGCCTCAAAAATGGGCCAAGAAAGTCCGCAATCGGGATTCGCTAATCCAATGCGTTTCAACCTCCCTTTTGGCGTCGCTAAAGTGTTGATCTGTACAGAAAAATCTAACACCTCTTCCTTAGCGTGCCGCGCCGTTCATTCCCAATCAACTTGGTGTACTAGGACTATCAATCGCTGCAAGAGACCGCTCAAAAGCCTTCTGAATGCAATCCCTTCTCTCCCCTGTCGCTTCCAGACGCCTGCCACTGGCCCGTGTCAGGTTGACAATTGCAATGCCAAAAGATGAGGAAGACTTGCAAGAGCTCTGCAAAGCGAAAGCCTCTGAGACTCTGAGTCAGAGTGAGCTCAGGCCTGCTTTCAAAACCAGGGTGGCGGAAAATGGCGCGAACTTGCCACTACGCGAACCCAATGCCACGTGGCGTGGCTTTCTGAAGCTCGCCCGGCAAAACCGGAGACTTTTGTAACTCTAGGGGGTCCAAGTTGAGCCTCAGAAGTGACCCCTGACATTCCGTCAACAGAGCCGGGCGTGCATGCATGTGCCCGTCCGCTCTGCAATTTCGAGCTTTTTGCCCAAAAAGGTGCGCCGGCCGGGAATCGAACCCGGATCGACAGCTTGGAAGGCTGTTATTCTACCATTGTACCACCGGCGCGGGGTGGATCGCTCGCCCGCTGCCGGGCAAATATATGGTCCTTGTAGCTTAAAAGGGCAGCTAACCGGGTGGTAACCGACGGGGACAGGAGCCGCGAGTTAAGACCGCAAGGCTGGGGCATTGGACCGGGCGGTCGTTATACGCGGTTTGCGGCTCATTCCGTGTGGGTTCCCTGCCTGGTTTGCGGTCCCGACAACCGAAATCTGGAAATCCCGGTTAAGAACCACAGATTGCGGTCCGTTGGTACTGGTACTTCCAGAATCCAAGTGTACACTAGCTAGTGTTTAACACCGTACGGTACTCGCACCGAACCGGTACCTAGCTCATTTCACCTCTAGACTCGGGAGAGCAGCAAGTAACCGGGCACTCAAACCAAGACCTATGATTAGGGGTCTATTTTTGGTTTACGGTACCGGTATCCGCACGCCCTCCGCACGGATTGACCCACCCAAGTACATAACCCCATGCATCTTCCGGGCGCCGGTAAAATGCCTACAGGTGCGTAAAATTGCATGAGAATGACGCTGTACGGTACACCGGAATGAGACTCCTCAGTTCACGTGATACCGTATTACCGTACTACCGGTATACCGTACCGATTGTCCGGTTGGGCAGATTTTGCCCAATAATTATTTTCGTATGCTATGGAATTTGGGCAGCTTCATTTTACTAATTTATTTCGTTTTCGTACGGGGCAAAATGACTTGCACAATTGAGATTCGAATTTATCGTATATTCAAATATGTGGGCAAGTCGAAGAATATTTAATTGTTGCCCAACCGGACAATCGGTACGGTATCAGCTGTCATGCACTTTCAGTCAACACAAGGTTCGATCAACTTCAAGAACTGATCTGAAGAAAGAAGCAATGAACGTTTCTGCGGAGATGGAAGCCTGATACCGATCAATTGGGATGGGGCAGTGGAACGGATGCATTGAAGATCTTCAAAAAGCCTAACAATGCCTCGTGTTTGAGATCCGGAATGGCCGCATCTGCACGTTCAAGCTTTCTTGATTCTGGAGTTGAAAGGGAGCCCTTTCAGCCACTCTGCACCAGGAGGTGGAATGCGTCTTCCCACGCGCTGCATCCTCGTGCATTTGTACAATTTTACGTAAATTGATGCCGGTAGCAGGGCTAGCTTCGACAACTCCTTGAACTAGCCGGTGACAACGCACCCAACAAATGTAAGGAAGAGCGAGCTTTCACGTGGGTGATCAAACGCTCAAAGAACAGCCGCACTCGTACCACCAGCAAACCAGCCCCGTTCCTGAGCTACGCGCTCGCATACTTTTCAAAAGGGGTGGTGGCACTCAGTAAGTATGTTCAAGTCTTGCGCCCTGATGCTTCTCTCCTGCGCCGTCCTTTTGGTAGGCTTGAGCTCCATGGCCCTGTCCCATTTCCACAGGAGTGGTGACATACATAGTCTAGTTTCTGAAGAGTTGGAAACATGTTCGGCTAGCAAGGCCTTACGAAGGGAGACAATAAGAGCCTTGCCGGGGGATAGGAGATGGACCAGGGAGGCGTGTGCAGAGCACTGGGCGGAGGGCATCGACAGAGTGGCCCACGTGAAGCTGGCGAAAAAGCGAATCTTTCTTGCGATGAACCTGAAAAACAACGAGCAAGGTACGCAACACTTTCTGCACGTTAAAATGCTGAAGTGTATGATGTCAGCACTTTGAAGCCTTTCACTTTCCAAGTGACGTTCTGTGCGTGCATCACACCGCAAAGCAGAATCAAGCAATTGCAAGGATTCACATCAGAAACTTGGAAGAGGTACTATTGGCCCAGAAGATGCCCTCAGGAGGGGACACCGGTATGCATAACTACGTCAATCTTTAATATAGTATTGAACGTTTCTTGATTTGGATCGCAGTTTTGTTTCCATTGGTCATATCATAGGCAGTCCCCATGATTGGTCCTTGCTTTTTCCTGACGGCGTGTGAAATAGATTGACTTGAATTGTAGGCTAATCATTCCAAACTTCTGCAGTAGTCTACTGTCTCCAGCTTTGAGCTGACTTGCATCTTCCCCTGTTTGTCTCAATGATCTGCTTAGTCTCTTGGTCCTTTGAAAGACTAGGGCAATTCAGAAAGTCTACAGACGCGTTTCTGTCCAAGTTGTTGTTACCTGACTCATCAGATTCTGCTGTCACTGGGCTTGACTGTCAGCAACGCCTGGGTATGCGCCAACACGCACCTTTGCCCTTGTGCCCCCACCTCTGCACTTGTGCGGCCAGCCAAGTTCAGCTTCAGAGCTCGATTCTACTCAGTCTTTGGCACCAGGTGCTGAACCTTTCAATACTTTTCGACCATTCACTGGAACAAGATTTTGACCCGCGCACTCTTAGCTAGACCTTTTCTCGGTCTTGCACTGAAAGTATCAGAGTCGACGTCAGTCAAGTGGTCAACTACTTGTACTGATTTGAACCTGGATGCCGTTTCGAATTTAAGACCACCCAGACAGCGAGCAGCTAATCTCAGCTGAACGCGTCCTCGTCCAATAAGACATTTGAATCTTCCCATCTCCGCACCTTGACCACGTGTACGGTGAGTTCCTTCTTGTCGACTACCTGCGGCCCTTCCAATCGGAGATGTCCCTTTTCGATTCAGGATTGATTCAAGTTCATGTCTGAAAAGTCGTTAGTGAAATGCGCCGCAAATTCTCTGCGGACTTACAAAACTTCCATCTCCGCAGTATTCAACCGGCTATGCGGCGAGCTCCTTTCTGCTCACCAACTATCTGGGGCACCGCAGATCTACTTGTCCAGCTTCATTTGAAAAAGCAGCAAGAGGTCACGATTTCAAACCAGCAAAATGTTATGACCTGGAAGTCGTTAGTGCCAGTGCCGCACATTCTATGCACGATACACAAAGGATGACTTGATTGGAACTTTTTCCCTCTCTGCAGTGTTCGACCACCTCCGTGGCGAGCTCCTTCTTCTCGCCGACTACCTAGGCCCCTCCCGGTTGTACATCTCCATCTACGAGTCGGGGTCCTCCGACAGCACCCCCCAAAAACTGCAGACGTTCAAAGAGGAGCTACGCCTCCTGCAGATCCCGAACATGATCCTGACCAACGGCGTCGGGAAGCGAGCGGACCAGACGCGGATTGACTTCCTGGCAAACGCGCGGAACACTGCGCTGGCGCCCCTTCTGCACGAGGTGAGCACGCGCCTATGCGGGGAATGCAAGACTTGCCGAACAGGTACATAGGTCAGCTCGGAGGTTGTCAGAGCTCGTCAAGCATAACCGAGGAGACTAGGGGCTCAGCGAGAGTGTGCTCAGCGAAGCATCTGGCGCCCGCCTCAAAGAACCTCAAGTCCTGAAGGGCATCCATTTCCGTTCGACAGCACGAACCGTTTTGCTTGCCCTGCGCCTGGACAAAAATCAATCTCGGTACTATTAGAATTCTGGACATTCGAGTGCAAGGGCAATCTGAATGGCCTCTTTAGGATCCGCTTCTTCTCAGTACAGGCTCGCCACAAGATTTCTGCCACTGACCGCCGTTTGCTTGGTTTACGTGCAGATCTGGCACGGTCCGTTCGGCAACCATAACGCCGGCAAGTACTACCACGGGCATGGTTGCTGCGAACCGCTCTCAGCGATCGAGGTCTACGCGTCCGAGTCCAAAATCTACGGCATCCAATTCAGCTTTGGGGGGGTCCGCAAGGGTCGGGTTGGATCCCCCCTTGGGGAGCTATTTGCGCTCATCTTGAAACCGAAGGAGGTCGTCGTGTCGGTGGCGGGGGCTGGGGGTAATGAGGTGACGAAGCTTGTCGTCACCACGAGTCTGGGGCGCATGTTGGCTGCGGGCAATGTGCAGCAGAAGGGGTGGGAGAGCAAGGGCGCGAGGCTGGAGGACGTGCGAGGGTACGCGTCCGAGAAGGCGGTGCACGCGCTTTCGTTCGCGTGGGCGAAGGACGACGGGGCACCGCGACCGGTGCGTGCTTGACTCCGAATTTCACAGTCATGTTCGATGAGTGTTGTACCCTCTTTGAGTGCCCTGACTTTCGTCCGAGATCTTCTACGCCTGGGCTGCTTAATCTTGGCTTTCTAGTGGCTGTTCTTCAAGGGCTGCGACGCCTTGTTTCGACCGCACAGCCATGCTACGCCCCAGAAAGCATGTGTCCCTTCCTGTCCCAGACCCTCCCAAGATCTAATCACGGTTAGTAGGAAGTTTTCACTAAACCGGTCAGCTAGCGGTGGCCACCTTGGCGGGCCATCAGAGTGTAACCACTTGCAATCTCAGTTCCGCCTTCGCTCTTCAATCCAGCGGCACTTCATAGAGCCCCTCCATGACCGCGTCGTCATTGTGAACGACGATTGTAGCTGCTATGGAACCCGTTGTCTCGAAAAGTCCGACTTCTTCGCCTCAAGAATCTCTCTTCAAACGGGTCGTCAATCTGAGCAACGGCTACTTCATCACCAAAAACTATTCTTCTTGTCCTGTTGCAAGGCCAGTAACTTGGACATGGTTCCCTTAAACCCTCGTTCCCCAGAGGAAAATCTCTGATTGTCCTCTCCAGCTAGCAGCGTCCTGCTGCGTTCCTTTGGTCTTATTGCACAAAGCTGCTAGCGGGGCTCGGAATTACCTCAATAGAAATTCGACTCCGTGATTTCCTGTGAAGCTTCTGTGATTATCTTTCTGCAGTCGTCGGCAACCTCAGCGACCGCTGGTTGTGCCTGTAGTTTATCCTACCTCTCCTCATGTGCGACAAATGGACCATTCAATCGTTTCTGGTGTTTTCCATTTCCCCCTAGAGATATCCTCCGTATCCACTAACTCTCTGCAAAGTTTCCGCCACCCGCCTTTGCAGATCCCCGCTTCGACCGGGTCTCGATCCTTACGACTGTTACTTGTGCCTCCAGGACAATCTGCTTCTTGTAATGCTCGACAGCTGATCCTGCTCTATCTTCTCCTAGTGTTCTTTACTCTCCTCCTCGAGGTCTCTATCCCGTTACTTTTTGAAATGCCCCGCAACTTGCTTTGCAGTATCCCCGCTTCGACCGGGTTCTATTCCCAAACGACGGTTACCTGTGCCTGGAGATGTTCTGCTTTTTCTAATGCTCGACAACTTGTCAAGCTTTGATTCTTGAACCCTTCAAAATCTCTCGAGCTACCATGTTCTTTGACTTTCTTCAAAGTCCCCCAACCCGCGTTTGCAGCATCCCCGCTTCGACCGGGTCCTGATCCTCAACGACAGTTACTTGTGCCTGGAGGACATTCTGCTTCTCCTAATACTCGACAACTAATCGAGCTTTGATTCTTCAACACTCCACAATCTCTCCTTTGAGCTACCTTTTCCCCCAACCCGCCTTTGCAGCATCCCCGCTTCTACGGGTTACCTGTGCCTGGAATGACATTCTGCTAAATGCTTGACAACCAGTACGCTTTAAATCCTCGACTGTCCTCAACCCCACCCCTCAAGGCTTCCATCCCGTCACTCTCTAAAGCCCCCCACCCCGCCTTTGCAGCATCCCCGCTTCGACCGGGTCCTGATCCCAGCGACGGATACTTGTGCTTGAAGTACACTCTGCTTCTCTCAATGCTCGACAACCAACGAAGCTATGATTCTCCCAAATGTCTTCCTCGACCTACCATATTCCGTGATTTACTTTGGAATGTCCCCCCACCCGCATTGCAGCATCCCCGCTTCGACCGGGTCCTGATCCTCAACGACGGGTACCTGTGCCTGGAGGACATTCTGCTTCTTCTGATGCACGACGCCCACATGGTGACCGCGGTCGACACGATCGGACTGCGCGAGGAAGAGAAGACGCGCCGGCTGCAGGTGTATGACACGTGGGTGGGGCGGGACGTCAACGGCAAGGAGCAGGGGCGCGAGTTCCCGCTGAGCAACATTCCGCAGTTCCGCCAGTGGTGCGTTGTCTTTCGTCGCTAATTTTGCACCTGTCTTTTGTATTGCTTTGGTTCGTTTGGTTTCCTCTTTCACTTTTGAGGTTTATGGGATGTGTCGGGCGGATCAGTGCGACGAAAAGCGGCAGGAGCAGCATCCCCGCTCAGCAATGCCCCGGTTCCCTGTCGGTGCAATAATTGTTCATGTCTCAATTCGTATGCAATCCATCAACATGATTGTTACTCGCTTCACTTCGACACCGAGGTGCTGTGGACTGGAATATAACTCCGCTTCTGGCCTTCCGGTCAGTCCCTAGTCTAGTTCCAGCACCACCCTTATGTAGCGGAATCAAACTTTGATCCGATCAATCTTCACCCCGGCGGTTATAACCCCAGTTCCGCTCCACCATGAATCCCCCGTACTAACTCTTCCTCTGCTGTCTAACCCCAGGTTTGCGGAGGGCAAGCCGTTCCCCGTCTTCTGCGCGTGCCACGGGGCCGTCAACATTGATGCGGACGTGTTTTACAAGAAGCGCATCACGTTCCGCAACCGCGGCTGGGAGGGCGAGTGTGCGGCCTCCGAGTACAGGTGAATCGCCTTATGTCGTTGCAGGAACTAGTGTGGAAACATTCCGGACAAACCGGGACGGCTCGTAAGGGTCCGATCCAATCTGAGCAGCACATTGTCAGGTTTAGACATGTTCAACATACCAGTGCGGAAGGCATATGTCGTCGTGTTGTTGAATTGCACTCGCGGGAGCGGCGAAACTCTTACTGGGGGGAGACTCTGCCTCCGAAATTTGGTGAAATAGATTCTGAGGGACCTGGGGTCCCAAGGTGGGACAAATGGCTTGGATGAGGCTCTTCATGCACGTAGCCTCTCAGCATTTGCAAGCGTTTGGCTGTTAATTCAGCACAGGGTAGTTTTGTCTGACCGTGTTGTCGAATCAAGGTCATGTCTAATGAGAGGGCGTAATCTCAAGGTTGGGTCTACGAATATTTCAAACTGATCCAACATCAGGCCGTGTCATTACATGGACAGAGCTTCTGAATTTCCGATCTTCCGATCGTGCAGAGCCGTTTGGACCGCTGCGATTGGGCTTAGCACACGTTGTTCCACGTGTTCGCTTGTCCCGACGTGTCAAGGAAAACGGAGTAGGATGCTTTCGATTGTGCACTTAATTGCCAAAAGCCGGCTCAGAGTATCCCTTGCGCCGGTGGACTTCGTCAAATAGGAACCAAGAGACTTCCACCCTTAGTTCTTTCCCTCGGATCAATCTGTGAACCGCTCTCAAGCGCAAGACCGTCCAGTCCGTATAGAAAATAGAATGCTTTGCTCTGTTCAGTAAAAGTTAAGCACCTTCGCAGAAATCTCGGAAAACTTGTTATTATGAAGCTAGAAGCGCTTCTGGCTGGACACTTGACTTATTCACGCTTCTTTTCTCGACAGTTTCTTGTGCAAAGACATTTGGCGCGCGTACGGGAACGACACGCGCATCGTCATGGACCCGCGGGTCGTCATCGGCGTCGACGAGCCCGCATGGGAAGACGTCGTTCTCGCGCGGTCGAAAAAGCTGCCCTCGCATTTCAAGGAGGCTCCGTTCGACGTCGGAATCCAACCCAGCCCCTGGCGCAAGCTCCCGGATATGGACATGTCGGTACGGCGTCTCAGACTCCTTTGCTTTTTAGAGTCTCTGCAGATAAAATGCGCTGTTGCTCCCACCATGATTGGCTGACGGTTACTCATCGGACTCGAGACATAACTTGGTGGAAGGGCAGTCATCCAGGTTGTTGGACCGCTACTCGAGTGTAAGCTAGATGGGTTACGGGCGGGATTGTTTCTGGAAAAGGGAGAATCAGTGATGTCGTTTATCCATTGACTTGGATTTCTCAAAACGTAGAAATGAAGCAACAAGAAAAACAGGTGTCTTCAATGCAGGAGGGGATCGGCTTACCACACCGACATCTCATTCCCTGTTCACTCTAGTCCGGACGAGTTCACCCCGAAACGACTTTTGATTCTTTCAATACAGGAGGAACCAGTAAACCTTGTTGTCTCCCCATCCGTTTCTTTGACACGAATTGCGCCAGCTTCAACGGGGCCCCCTAGCCTCAATCTCGTTTCGCTGAAGCTCATCCGTCACATGCAGAAGCAGCTGCAAATGATTGTCGATGCCGAAAGGAAATGGATTGCGTTGACACCCTAAAACTCAAATACATCATGCTGTTTTCTGATGCAATTCGTGCGGGATACGTTGCGACACTTCCGGGCGTCGAAGTAGGCGCCCCCCGCCCTTGTTCCTCCTTTTATAGAAAGTCCTCCTCAACCCGCACGACACCACTCGGATAATCTTGATAGGGTTTTGGGTCCCTCGACATACGAACGGCCGTATCGACACTTTCCCGCTTTTGTATTATGCAATTTGTGCCGGACAGTTGCGATACCTGTGGGGCCTCAAGTTGACGGCGCTCCCTCCTACAAAGAGTATCTCTTCCGAGGAAAAGATTGATCGCCTCGACACCCCAAAATTCCAAATAAGAACGG